AGTATCGCATATTCTGGCGTCACGGTGTCTAGTATCCACATCCGTACTATACATATATTAGTAAGAACATTTGTACTGAGGATATCTATCTCATACTATGACACTTCTACTAAATTAAATGGGGAATTTACTCAAATAGCTCGTATTTTGTAAATTAAATCGAATCTATTATATTATTTATTTAAAATAATTTTGTCCGCGTGTATCATGTGTGACATGTACTTTTCAGTACATAGAGTATGTAAAGTAACAAGCACGAGTATAGCACGCGATTATATTTCGAGTAAGGGGGTGTGCTAGTTTTCATTAAAATACGGTAGAATTCAAAGTTTTATTAAATTTTTACTTTTGCTGTTGCGTATCATGTGTTCCTGCTATCCTTCCCCCAAATGGCCACTAAAATTTTCGACCTTATCCTAGTTCTCAAGGATCTTAAAATTTTAGGAGATAAACTCAAGACATGGGTAATTGTTCTTTGAAAAATTTTTCACTTGAAACGAGAAAATACTCTCCTCTTACATAACATTGCGCTATCCGAGTTTTACTTACTTAATTAAACGGAATGTATTGCTATTTCGATAGTAATTCTCCAAATTAAACAAATCATTTTGTCACCACTATACTCCTGTTCTATTATTCTATACTAGTGTAGAATAGACGCACGCTGTCTACAGCGTTGTACATTTACAGTTGTCGATAGTAATGGTATTCAATTAATACTAATCACTTAGTACTCGTGCATGCTCACACTCAATGTACTGTAATGGAAACATTGCATTGCGTAGGATTGACTTTCTTGTTCTAGTATAAGCCTGATGTTATGTAGCTAATTTAGATGAACTAAATTTGACAAACTTGATATACTCGTACCTGAGTTATTACATAATTATCGATGTTCCTTTTGTTATTATTTCACGGTTATGAATACATCTAGAATAACTTGTAGTAAAAATTTGATGAATTTAGACGGTACGTAGTCGTAAGGCAAATGAAATAACCGAGTACTGTATTAATGCTAGCAACATCTACCGTATCTGCATACTATACTGGAAATGCAAAAACATGATCTATTTCATCACTGCACAGGAAAATATCCGAAGTTGGAAAACTATTTAGACGCTATTTATCTTTCATACACTCACTAGCTTTGGATTATCACAATACTTGCACGGGAAATTCGTAACTTCTACCTTATACAGTTAATTGCAAATATGAACCATCAGCTTTTCTACACTCCGTTTGATATACATCTCAAAAGGCTATACAAATACTTTAAAACCTGATAGTGTGGTGATCCACAGCTGAACAATGAATGTTATATGGAAAAATTCTACAGATCAATTGCCTACGTATTATCCATTTTATATAGATTGAATGCATGGACTGTGCTTTGGCAGAACATTTATATTGGAACTACTGATGCGTAAGAATTTTATCATAGTTTTATTATGTTCGTACTATTATCGATGCAAAATAGCGTAGTATATTCCCAAAAAGACTCCACTTTCAAGGTGATTGATCACATTTTTCGGTGCTTAGATTTAAGATAGCTTACTGCTTTGAAAACTACTGATGCTATGATTTAGGTATGTCCATTACTATATAATTGGCATTAGTAGAGATTCAAGTGAATTTAGTTACCATAGTCGATTGCAACAACAAAGAATTATTGGAATAAGCTTTTGTCATGATTAAATAAAGTATTAGTAATTCTGTATAAGAGATCTTATTTTGAATATAAGATAGACTAGCTCAAATACTTTATTTCGTTATTATAACCGGTGTTTGTAGTCATAGCAATTACTGTATGTATGAATATCCTAAAAATTTAAGCCAGAGTGGACTAATGGTCTAACAATTTTAGGAGTACTCGAAAAATTAAGCTGAAACGTCTTAAAAACGTACTATAAGCGTATCCGAATGTAGCCGTGTTATGGGAGGAGCGAAACATGAAGTTTATGAAAATTGAGTAATCACAGTACAATTAGTTTGATAAGAGACAAAAAATTGAAAGTGACTGGGGCTACTATCAATCAATCATATTAGCGTGATGGTATGTGTGTCTCGCTGTTATATGTTGTAAAATTTGCTAACATTTTTAATATTACTAGAGCACTTTTCCAAACACAGGAAATCTGGATCTTAAAAGTCGAGATATCAGACTGTAGTTAACTAGAAACATAACAATTTATTAGGGATTATATTTTTGTTTAGATAATTGAGTTTTAATGACTTTATTCATACATGATTGAAATAATACCTATTCACACATGGATAAATAATACCGTAAGCTTACTGGTACATCAAAAGAAATTGTCATAGATGGATAATTGTCTTTGAAATGTTCAATATCTTTAGCACACCTATCATATTACGAATGGTAATATACCATAACCCTAGCTTGTGACAGTTGAGCTATCATACTAATGGCAAACCGTATAGTCTACTATTATAGTTTACTTATTCATCCTTTAATAGAAAGTTATTCGTTATCAAAGAATCAGTTAATCTATTGGCTTGCCTTATGCTATCAAACGAAGCTACGCTATTCGACCACCAAATCAGGTTCGGAGCGAATACTATCGCTAAATTAGACGCAGTCATCTTATTTACATCTGATTTGGCTTCAACCTATCAATATGAACCGTAGTAACCGTCAACTTTGGCTCTCAAGCCAGAGATTGCAAAACTGTTACAAAACTTCGAAAAGTATTAAATAAGGTATCTTCAGCTATTATAGGTAAGGTTTCGAGAAAGCACATAATGAATCCTAAGAAAGTATTTGAATTTTAACGAAGTATTACGCTAGCTAACCTTTTTCAAAAAGTCAAGAAGAAAGCATAAAAGTACGCGATTTTCTTCAGGAAGGTTACGGATGATCTGTTTAATAATTTCTATCTGGTTATCATCGTGATTTCCTAATTAGAAAGTGAATCGATAGAAGCGAATAATATTTATTATTGAAAAACCAAATCGATCATTTTCGATTAAAATCATAGAATTATGTACCATCAAAGTACTCCAAGAACTTATTTGTTTTAAACGTTAATAACGGTTCTGGAAGCTCGCGTAACCACTTTTTTAATAGGACTGCTGGTAAGTGGATATCATTATAATAAGCAAATTCGACATCTTCACCTGCCGAGAAATAAGAAACATAAACAAGAAGCAGAATTCTAAGTGTGAAACATATATCATAAAGTTTGTGAAACTTGGGGAAATATGTATTTCAGATATTTCGCAAAAATGTCATTAGACCTAAAATTATTCGTATCATAATATCTCCGGTAGCAAAGATTACAGTGGCAGTTACTGTGCCCTGCATCAAGCAATTTTTAATAAGAACTTGCTTGATATAGATAAATAAATTTCGGAATAAACATACTGAGGTAGCTTTTTCGAGAAGAACCGGTACTAGAAATAGAATTTGATCCTTTATTGTTGGATCACAGTTGCGCTGCCGCGTGTATACGAATGGTACTGTAATATTTTTATAAGTACGGGGTTTCGTAACACTGACTATATTACACCTACTAAAATACCTACAATACCATGCAGTATGATTCCTTGAAATGGAGATAATAATTTAGTAAAATCTTTCAAAATGTTATCATTACAAAGCTAGAAACAATACTTAGACAGTTATAAAGATTTACATACGCGGCCAATTGAACTTTTAAATTTATTGCTGAGTATTTGATCAGCAACTAAATGCAACATCGATTGGTCGTACATATATGTGAACCATTAATTTAAGGTAACATAAGGGATAGTGATTTATTGTAATTCAATTACGACACTCCCTTCAAAATCGCGTACCATCATCAAACTTGTTTTTGACGTCATTCAAGGTTAAGAAATTTGCAGATCTTCGAAATATCCCTTCATTTTCTAAGCCTGCAAAATGTACATGAAATGTACTACTTTATCACTTATACATACAGGGTTTCGAATAAGAAAGAAATCTAACCATTTTCGGTAATATATTCACAACAACGCTCTACTATAAGCGGTATCTGTCTGTCTTCTCTTAACAATAGTCTTATTGGGCGATAGAAAGTTAGTAAGCATTCTTAGTAATGTTTCAGTTAACACAAACATTACTTACTGCTTCAGAGAGACACCAAAAACAGAAGAACCTCCAATATTCGTATTTGAGACATTACGAGAGATCTTAGAACCCTTTCGTTGATCATATCTGATGAAATTTATGGTTACATCTTACAGCTATATTACTTATGCATATTCTTTATTAAGCTACATAATACAAATAAATCGCATATACTCGTCAACTTCGGACGGAATATCTAATTGATCATAGTGAGTAAATTCTTTTAATTCTTCGAGTCGGTTAATATATTGAACTTTTCTTCCAAATTTTCGGCTTTGCAATAGAGGGTGTAGACACTTAGTAATGTAGATTCAACCCAAATTTACAGTCTGCATATACTTATACAAATAATAAGTAAAAGAACTTATCTGAATCTATATATTAAAATGAAATTACCCTAAATGGTAGTACCTTATAATGGGTCTCAAAAGTGTGAACATTACTTTAATGAAGTTGCTTGCATGGACAATATATAACGCCTTCAAATTTTTTTTATACCTTAGGTACGATTACAGTAAAAGGAGGTTAATCGAGTTTACAAAGAAATGATTGCGTGCAGGCATTCAATAGGAGTCCAGTAATTACTAACTTTCTATCAAAAGCTCTATAGGCTTGGATAAGCCAGGTGTACGAGGGCTTATTCTTACTATTTAAGCCATAATGAAAATAAATCAACGAATAATCGCTTTCTACATAGCTATCCAACGTTTTTTTCAAGTATCTATTTTCAAGGAAGAGAAACCATTACGATGGTGTTAAACTCTATTCTTTCATAAATCAATTACTCTAAAAGGCGCTCATGTTCAATTTCGGCGACAGGAGGCAACCGACAACTGTAAAACAATATCAATTTTCGACTATTTCTATCATCTCCTACATGTAAATAAAATAAATGCAAAAAATTTGTTACTGTTACTTCAGCATAGCCACCGCAATGCTGCATACAGTATTTGCATATTTCTTACATTAATTAATTAAAATACAAAGCTGTAAATACGACTCACTTAATTAATTTAAATTATCGATGGCATACAGATATTGTGTTTACGATTAGCATAATTTTATCGTAAGAAAGAGCTGGTAACAGGTGAATTATAATTTCGTTACTAGATAAGTAATTAGATATGCTTTCGAATTTAATTTCAGAGTACAATCGAACGATTACGGATAGTTTTGGATTATTCGATTTCATACTCGGGGTTCCTGGTACTCACTATTCGTCTTCACACACAATGATTGTAAATATAAACAGCAAGTAAAAGTTGACCTATTTATATTACTAAGTTATATCATTCATTTCATTAGCCTCTTGCCTTTGCACATACATAGACTGCATTTTCAAGTTACTAATCGGATGGTACATTATTAAGCAAAGCAAAGAACTAACTTTATTTAATAGATAGAACTAGTTTGTTTGATACTTCGTTAAATAACGTACTACTGATATCCCAGTTATTTGCAGAGTTGAATGTTTAAATCATGTTAAGTTATCCAAATCTGGACAACTGCAAAGAAAATAGTTTATGACTAACTTATAGTGCAGAGTACTGTAGTCAATGCCATTAATAATGATAAAATCAGTATTACCAGTGTAATTTTAAAAGGAATACGTGTTAATTTCTAGACCCATACATCAGACTAATTGTGTAGTAAATGGAAAAGTCACATTTTACACAAGATGAGAGCGAATTGACTGTAAGTGTGAGGGTGTAATTCAAAATTGATTCTTTCAGATAAAAAATGCTGGGTAATACACTGTTAAGGTATAGGTGGACATAAATATAAAATTTAACTAACTGTAACTGGTGCAACACTATATACTCGTATGTGTTTCGAATGTAGGATTACAGTATAGCTACGTAGGATTCTATTGTCTTTACAATACTTTACTAGTAATAGCCAGTAAATTGCATTATCGTTAGCAATTTATATAACGCCATTCCATTGTATGATAGGTCATTAACTCTGATCCTGACCTGCAATCGATAGCATACGATATTTTTCTATGTCTTGAAAATTTCCAGAATCATTCATCGGAGTTAAGCCACTGGCATTGGAGCTACCTACAATGTATCATTTCGCAATAAATACAGTAAATTCACAAATTTTGAAAATAATCATTTATTGATATAGTAATAACTGCAGCAATGCGTCGACGTTAGAAATGTGCAAGTTCGCCATCAATGCCGACACGAATGCTTAGCAATATTTCTGAGCTTCTTTATATATCGATTATGCTCAATTATAATTAATTAATAATCCATTATCTTTATATTGAAGTGCTGCGCAATATTTCTTAACTTAGTAAAAATTCTGTAGCAACGCCCATTAATGATGACGCTCTTTGGCAGAGACGGTGAGTCTCAGTGACTACCTCAAGCTCAGAATTTCAAACTACTGCATTGCTTCACGCTTAGTAGCTAGTCCTGTACAGTATTGCTAACGATTCCTATAAGTTAAGATTTACCATGCGCTAACCAAATAATTACTTAAGTTTTGTCATTAACAGATACGTCTATCTATGGCGGTACTTTACTAAATAGCTATCATCATTTGTTTGTTCACTGTACTATTTTATTTATAAATGTTTAACTACACTTCGTAAATTCAAACCATAGTTTTCGTACTTCTATGGTTCAAACTTTCACAGTTTCGTGAAGTTACAGTATAAGTTACGAACATGAGTTTAACCTAAAAGCCTATCATAACTATATTAATTAATTGTCTCACGTTTTTAGATGTTACAAGTTATTTCAACAAATTAGTACAGTACTACCGTTATGTTTCATAAAGATTATATTATTAACTTAAGACTTCTGCTAAATGCAGTACTTCATACTGTACTTATATTTGTATTAACATAGGTTTACGTTTAGTGCCCTTCAACAATACGATAATACGTTCAATTCTAGATCATACAAGATGTAATACTAAGGTAAAGAACATAGCGTTATACTGAATGAGCAAATTTGAACCTTCAGAAACTGTTTCCATGGCAAAAATTTTCACTCTAAATTCGTTTCCAGGAACATCCAGGTAGCGTTGCTTTGCAGTACCTTAACAACACTGTGCTGGATAAATTAATGTACTCATATGGTATATAGTTTCAAAAATTAGTCTCTTTTAGTTGTCAACACAGGCTACTTAGACCAAGTTTACAAGTTTAAGAAAATTTTTATCCAGATGTGAGCCGCTATTGAATAGTAAAATGTACTGTAGTCGTTCTTCTGTCTCCGCACGATAAAAATAAATAAATAAATAAAATAATACTGTATACTGTACAGTACTGTACTGTACAGTAGTATGGCTAGAGGCATAGCGCAGCGTAGATTCTCTTGCAGCCGAGCCAGTGGCCTGACGACGGCTGACGTACACGGTAACGTACAGTAAAATCCACCGTCATGGGAGGGGAGGTTAGGAAAGTTGGCGACTACAGTACGCACTGTACTGTATTGTACTGTGTACGGTATGTCCAGTCTACAGTACAGTCTACAGTACAGTACTGTACTGTACAGTACTGTAGAGTCCGGTATCTTGTAATTACAGTACTGTACTGTATAATGTACAGTACAATACTGTATTTTACTGTACAGTACAGTACACTACCATAGACTTAGTAGTCTACAGTACAGTACAGTACGCTCTGGCTCATAATTGATGTCTAAGTATGTACACTATAGTACGCTAGATCACCTTTTATGGCTACAGTAATGATCATCATTACCAAAAGAGAGAGAAAAATGTGCACTACGCGTTTCTTACCTACGAAAATTATATTATTACTAGTGCAAACTCCCGTCGCTTTACTGACGGTTTACGATAATGTGCTCATTTAACAGAGGTTCAGTAACTTTATACCGTACCGTGTACTGTCTGCTGTACAAATGCACGGTACAGTACTACAATACTGTACAGTACTTTTACTTAGTAGTCCTAATAAAATCTCTCAACAGTACAGTACTGTACACTGTACAGTACAGTACATCTTTGACTCGTATTGTACTGTACAGTGTACAGTACAGTACGATTAACTTAACTTAACTTACTGTACAGTACAGTTAATTATCTCAAGTTATGCGTGACGGTTAGACTTACTGATACAGTAACGAAAGTTTTCCGGCGGTTTTTTTAACTGTACAATACAGTACTGTACTGAACGGCTGAGTTGTAAATACCGTACTTGTTGTAGGGCAAGTAAGCAATGTAAGAGTGGAAATAATTTCGGATCAAGTTGATCCATAATTTTATTATTAATCTTGTCTAATAGCGTTATTTAAACAAGGATTTCGTTGAAGTAGTCAAAGGGAGATGAGCGGGTATAAGGATCAGCATGGACATGAGAGACAACAATTTAAAGCAACCGTTATGTGGAATGATATTATCAATTACCTGAATGAGAATCTACCGATTCCAAACAAGTCTTACAAAAAAAAAGGATTCCAGAATTCCTTTACTGGTAAAGAGCTTTTGCGGGTCTTAGCTTCCTTTGCAAAGGAAAAGGACAAGCAACTACAACATGCTCAGTTATGCAAGTTAGGTCAATATTTAATAGATAGAAATGTTCTTATTCGCCTCGATTCTAAGTTAGCAAAATTTAGGACAAAAAATAGTACATATTGCTTAGTCAACCGGAAAAATAGTGATACAAAGCTAAAAGACTACAATTTGGTTAAGATCCTTCGTGCTGCCGACGGATCAAAGAAAGCTCACACTCGCAGTGCTACATCGAAAATTTCTGACATCACTGGGGGTAGTAGTTACGAAATGGGAATAAAAAGTATGACAAGAGAAATCGCTTTACGCCGGTTACTGCAACTCATAGAAATTCCTTTCTTAGAAGACGTTATGAAATTTCGAGATACAATGTCTACTCTTTCGTTAGATCAAAGTAACTGTGATGGCGATGACTTTCAATCCTTTTTGGCCATCATAAGCAAGCAGAACTATTCTGAGATATATCACTGTCAATCGGATACTGATAAAACTTGGGTAGCGTTAGCATTCAACTGCCTCAACAAGCCATGGCCTGAAGAAGAAGGAAGTTTTACTAAAAATTCAGCTCATGTAAGACCTGACCAGTTTTCATTATCGAATGTATGCGTACGTGTTGTAACATGACTAGACTTACAGTAATTAATTATACCTAGCAATTCACTGAACACAACGTACAGTACAATAACGTAGGCGTAACTACAGTACAGTACATCTACATCTATCTACGTCAAAACACAAACCTGAGATTGAAGATCTCATGCCTACCTTAATTTAGGAGTTGTACAGAAGTTGCAAAACATATTTTAGTTTGTATCTTCTAGTTTAGTTTTTTTATTAACCTTAAAGCTGGCTATTCAGTACATACAGTGCTAGTATTTATTTGACGCATGCCATTATGTATTGTTTAATTTAGGAAGCGAGGAAAGAACTATTTTATGCTGTTTTAAGACGATATGATTCCTTGTCTCAGCCTTTGCTTCCACCTAGTTTAACGGTAATCTACAATTCCATAGAGGATTTAATTAAGATGGGTAAAAGTACGAGAGCCTGTAGAGCATTACAATTTCTCTTGTTTCTCCTCCCTCCAAGTTACAAAATACTGCTTTCGAAATTGTTACGGTTCATTAATCATACAATAACTTACAAAACGCTGGGAGTAAACATTGAAGCGCAGTTTGTTTATCAAAATTTTAGCAACTGCATGATCAAGAAATTTGAGGTAAGGATAGTATTGTATTCAAGCATGTATACATATTATTTCTAGCGTATAAAATAGCATATCTTACAATACAAGACAATGTTATCATTTTACCCTTGAAAAACTAATTACAGCACGTTTTCTAAACCGTATGTGGCTAGAGCATAAAAATCGATGAGCTAGTAAAGTTCATGATTATCAACTGTCAAGAGATTGAATTCAAGCCAATTGAAGTTCAAGACGGTTATCGTGGCCAAGTTTTTTGTTTTAGACAGTCTGTAGATCAGTATCAAAGTGAAGCAAGTGCCTGCACTAAGGCAAGAATGGATACATTCCCAATTTACTCGTTTATATACAGGATGCTGATATGCATGTCAGCAGTTTGCACGTTGCATTTTAAGTTAAAACATCAATATATTAATTTATAATTTTGATTTGTAGGAATCACTTCGTAAACTTCTGTCAAGTGTCATCAATGATAATTCTGTTCCAATGAAGCGAAAAGAAATCTTTTTAAAATTATTCCTTAAGCATCATCCTGATGCAAGCTTCACAGATACCAGAAATTCCGAATATTTATAATAATTGTGATACAGTAGCGTAAATTCGGATTTAAGTTTTATAATACACAAGAACAGTACGTGTTAAGAGATGGGCTATACCATATTTTACGCATGATCTTATAAAATTACTAAAAGTTACGATAAGGTCAACTAATCTAACAAAAAATGAAAAGCTTGCATTGAACGTTACTACAGCGAGCGAAATTATATCATTTTTAAGGACATTCACCGTTCATTGTATATTCTATTTGAAGAGATATAAATAGAATATTGAAATGTTGCGTTAATGAAAATCGCTGCTTCTGTAGAATGTTAAAAGAGTTGGAATAGAAATTGGATTAATTCAGATGAAAATTTGGTAAAGATACCATGCAATCTAAAATATCTCAAGCGAAGTTGTGGTCGTTATACACGTACATTCGAAAAATGGCGATCTTTTTTAATAATTGTTATATCACGGCTAGAAGAATCAGGGTCTGCTACTAGAATTACTCAGCCCTAGTAAAGTGGAAGTAGCTGTCTTTGACGTGAAAGGGTATCGGCTGTGGCTTAATGAGGCGCGATATGCGAAAATTGTATCGGTGTCAATTTCCTTGTGTTGTTGATAATGCTATGATATGCCTAAGCTTTGATAGTGAGGAACCCATGAATAGCTAAATCAGAACTTACCACAAAAAATTAATCAACATTTTACTAAGGTGGTAAAACGTAATTTACATCAATTCATCGAAACTTTAAAGAAAAGGAAGGCTAGAAATATTACACTAATTTATTAATAGCTTTGTAGTTGTTTAATAGTATAAAAATTAAATTAAATTAATTATTATAATTGTAATGATTCAAAGCTGCCCTCACTTGGGATATCTCATTGTGAAACATTTACTAATATAATTAAAATTAAAATTATGTAATAGACTGCTATCCGCAATATGTAGTTGGGTAACCCAAAATTATGGATCTCAATTTATGATGTTATTGCAAAAAATGATCAATAATTTAAAAGCAGACAACTATTCTTCAAGATCAATATACTCACTTAAAATCGAAATGATATTACAAGAAGAAGTGTACACTACAGTACGTTGTACCCTAATATGTGAGTACATAAAATAAAAATCAGTAGGATACGCGAGTACAATACGAGCGATGGTGCACTAGACAATCTTCAACGAGCGTAAATATACGCCCGGATACCCTAGTTATAGGTTAAATGTTTATTTTATCCTACTGGCAACACAAACCAATCGTGAGTAGTAGTTGGATAAATTTTTAGTTATGGAGAGAAACTGTTAGGTTTTATATTAGTTGAGTTCGGTATACGAGGAAAACGGGATTTTGACGAAGATACTTATACATAAGTATAACCATGAAGGTGATCATTTTGTGAAAATGTGTATTTGATATAATTTCGGTACTGTAATGTTCTTTGTTTAATGACATGAGTATAGGTTACGATTGTTTAGAATAATCAAGAATGACTTATTAAAGTGCTTCGAGATGAAGACCTGCAAACAGGAATATTTGGTGATTCAGCGTACCATACGACGTTACTGCTTATATTTATGCTGTAGACAGTGATACTTGTGCTACTGTAATTGCGGAACACTAGGGGGATAATTTCATGACAACAAGAAATGTTTTACTATTGGTTGAATAATCTCTGATATCAGGAATGTGTTCTGCATTTATTGGCTGGCTACCATTAATATTTGCATGACAGCAAGAAAATCTGGCTGCCACATGCACGAGATGTGATACGGCAGGGACTTTTAAGAGAAAAATTCTTAAACATTTCATCTACAAAAACATACGAATATTTAAGATAACTTACACACACGTTATACATCACTGGTACGAACGATGATCGTGATCCTTACTGTAGCTTGATTCTCAAAACTACACTAGAGGTCCTGCCATTCCGGGCTAGTAGTGTTATCGAATTACCGTAAATTTATACTGCGTCTGTACAGTGTTGCAGTTAAAAGTTGTGGTACTGAAAAGCATATCGCTAGACAGTAATGTAGGTAAGTTTGCTATCAACATGAAACGTCAGCTTGATTTAGAAATTGATTAAAACTTTAAACTAGTACTAGTTATTAATAAATACCACAGTAAATAAATAAGTAAACAGTAGGAATGCAGAGCATAACGCAGTAACCGGAAAGGGAAATGATACTACATAATCCATTAAAATGTGGATAAATATAAAACCGTATATGATACATTAAGGCAGTTACAGTTTTATTAAGGATATTTGTAATCATTATAATTATTTAGAGAACAGTTTTGAATGCTCCTATATATTGTTAGTGTTAAAATGAAAACTGTTAAAGTCATTACACGAGTACCGTGATAATAGGTCGCCATTTAGTAAATGGTGAATCTACGCACAGGGATAATGGCTGGTTTATGATCTACAGTCTAGTAACGATATGATCTTTCTTTAATATCACTTTTTTATACCTCTAAGTTATAAGAATGTTATTATTTTCAATTTAGCCGCCAATTTACTTGAATAAAGTAACTTGAGATAGTAAAACAATACTACATTACACATGCAAACAGATAACTGTACGAATATCTCTAGAATCTTAAATTATGGCAGAGAAAACATCATTCACAAGCCAATTTTCCATCAAAACTGCTTAAGCTAATAGCAAAAGCTTGCAATGCCGATAACGGATATTTGTAGTCCATAGTGAAAGCATCTTCTGATACCCGACCGAACTGCATTATGATGTAATCAACTGCAAAGTTCAATGAATATAAATACTTAAAGTTTGCGGAGTCTGCTGCTATTAATCCTGCATATCAATCAATAAACTAGTACATGAAAGATACAATTTATTCTTACCATCATTATCATGAACAACTTGAAAATTCTTTACTGATGCTTGAGTTACTCTCCCGTGAAAGTTAAGAACATATGATTGGGTATCTAAAATTAAACACGAATTACAAATAGTGATACTATTTCTGGATAACATGTATAATTTTACAATAAAATTATATCAACTTGACTTTAATTTAGCAATATGGACTGATGGATTGTTAGATATAAATTCCAAAATAAGTGTCTTACTATCGTTCCATTCAGGTGCTTTATTGTGCAGTTCTAATAAATTATCCATTCTACCACTTTTCCATCTCTCTAATAATGTTTCATTAGCCTAAGAAAGAGTTGCACAGTGTAATGTTGATGACGATTCAAAAAAACAGGACACGTTTAAAAGCTCCTATAAGATGTTTATTTACTGGGCATGTTTTATACCAAATCACTGACAAATTACTGTATGATGGACTAGTATTATCGTGTTCCAGATACAGCCGTAGTTATACATATTAGCTAAGAAATTACAAAGGTTTTGTAGTAAATTAAATCAGTCACAAATAGAGCACAAATCTTTAAATATTTACATTTCTCGGTCTAACAGCCACTCTTTCCTGATTTGCATCCATCCCAGGGATAAGAATTGTCATTTTTCTAGGTCCTTTGAAACCAAGAACATTGGTATCCTTTGAATAAATTAAAAAGAAGACGCAAGGTAGGTGTACATCGTACTTGATAACTCCGTAAAAGTGATGGTTCTCACGTATATTATGGCGGCGAGCTCTTCTCTATTACTACTTCCGTCAATGCCAACTGAACCTTTCGCAGGATTTATACCATTATCGTATACTGTAAAACGAGTTCCAATCAAATTTGATCTATAATCCAGAAATTGTTTATGACCTTTCAGTAACCGCCGAAATCATCGTACAATTATGCTGATCATACTATTGCATTACCTTAGTTTACCAACAAAGCTTTCTCCATTTCTGGAAAGATCAGTAGCATCATTCGATATCAAATAGTTCGAAGTTTTACTTTTCTTTCGTTTGCGACCTGCCATAAGGAAAATCTAAGAACAGTAATTCAGTTATTACCTAATACATTAAGATTATACACTAAGGATTAGATGATTTTAGATTTTACCTTTTTACCATCCTCTCTTTCCAGGTGGAGATAATAAGTAGGATAGATTCCCCGATCCACCCCTTTTTTATCTCTGCTAATCCTACATTTTATTGTAGTATCTTGTGGAGCAGTGCTAACAACGTTAAGGTCATTGTAATTTAGCAATCATTCTCGATACATTGTTACTAATTGATCTTGGTCGTACGATTTTAATTTTATGTACCTTTGAATAAATTTTTCTATATTATCGATATCAAGATTAAATATCGATGAATCCTCAGGGGATCCAGAGGGTGAATATTCCTTATTGGAAAATAGTATTTGCTCGTATTACGTTTTTAAAGCCAATTAAACATTTAATCTTATCAGGAAATAAACAATTTCCATAATATATTCTAACTAAAAATTTAATCGTAAAGAAATGATAAATTTAGTATTCAATGTACCTGCTGTGAAATGTAGTGAGATGTTATGCTATTACATGTACGAAAATTAATATGTATACGATAGTGTAACAATAGGCAGGTACGGAATTGAAAATGGGGAAATTATTACGATAATTATATTTTACCAACAATCCGATATTAGCAAGAGATATCGGGTAAAACTATGCAGATAATGCTATGCATTTGTACGTGTGACGTGAGTAAGGTAAGATAAGAGAGCATTTAGTACTGTAACCTTATCGCATGAAACTGCATGCTCAAATAAAATATCACAAAAATATTACAGTACCTCTTTTGATGGATAAGAACGAGGAGATCTGTGAGTAGGAACTTGAGATTTGTCCTGGATAGGAATTACAGCCGATGATTCGATATCTTCTTCGTCTTCATCATAATTAATTTCATGCCGCAAGCCAAGATTTGCTAGTTTACGTTCTGTTTCCGATACAGCCTAATATTATTTACAGTTACGTTACTTTGTTGAAGTTTATAAAAATCATTCTGCAAATACTACTACTATTGAAAAGTAGATTTTATTTATACATTACTACACATAATCGACCAATAGCATTTTATCGTTTACTTTTGCAGATGCAGATGACGGGCTTTCTTTATTATTGTTGAAGTCCATAACTTTCGTCGCGGAAGATGCAAAATTATCATCATTGTCCATCTGTAAATATTCGGTACCTGCATATCGCGTAATTTTATGTTTTAATTTGTGTCTTCCGTTAGTATCTTATGTTATCCAGGTTATTATAGCTTCATCCAGTAGTAGTTATATTATAGGTATGTATATTTAAGTTTACATTATTGGTATATAGTAAATTTAAAAAAGTATACTCTAATCCTAAAGAGTTGTACAAAAACGATTCGCATTCATAGCAAAACCTATCCTGCCAAGAGCTGAATTGTAAAAATATGCTAGAGATCGCAGGTACGGTATGCATGTATATAACTGAATAAGGATGGCAATTTGATAACGTTAGTATAATCGACTTATCTAATATTAATTACAAAGCTAAGCTAATAACACCAGGAAGTGCGTCTATTTAAGATATGATGATGTGCACGATTGGTGTAGAATTCGAATAACCAGAAGAATGTCTGATCTTTCATAAATCTATAACCTCAGATGTGAGCCATACGTAAAGCATTTCAGCGAATTGTCCAAGTATTCAATAAGTATTCTTTATACGAGCAATAATATCAATTATATGGATGTACTTATACAGCTATACTACAGTATAGTTTATCTTAACAGTTTAGAATTTTTGTTGCAGATTAAAATAATAACTATAATCGAAGCATAACTTCTCATCTTTGAAAAATAATGGATTCTAGAATATCTAATTTCAGTTACAGTATTATATCAAACGTAAGCCATAAATGTTATTTTGCCAACTTTAGTAACTAAAATAGTGTTTTGTTGATATTATAATTAAATCGTAATATTTTGTAATTAATATATATATATATTTACTGTATACTGCCGTATAACACTAGTCTTCTGGGCTATTATTTTTGTGTTAATGTAACATTTTATAAAAGTTTATTATTAATGTAAGCACTGTATCATAAGGTCACAAATAAATCAAGGGCTAAAGAATTAGAAATGTTTAGAAATCCTATAGTTTGAGGTTATTCCAATTAATCTGCGAAACTTGTACGTGATGAAGTATTTTAGGAGATCATTTATGTGCTATGATTAATTGTCCGATCCGCCTTTTGAAATACTGATAACAATTTGGAAATTTATCTATGGTAATGAAAGATATACTGTAATGTTATCAAATCTTTAACTGAAAGAATAGTAACGCGATCGCTACGTTCTATGCTACCTTTATATATTACCTTCTGCATCTTTGTAAGATGGTACTTGGGGTATGCTTCTCCCTGATTTAGACGAAGTTGGGCGATGATCATTTAGCTGCATCTTGCCTTAAATATAAAATAATTTATCTAAAACCTCTAGTTTTTAGTAGCTGAGATTATAAACCATCATATAAATTTAAGCTTTTATTTAAAATTTATACAAAGTATGAGTTCTACATAAGAAATATAGCATTAATACTTAGGCGTAACATACATATCATATTTGGTACCCGAGACAACATTTATAGCCATGAAACTGATAACTATATTCTTCGTATCTATTAGTATTTCCCAAAAAGTTGCAAACTGAGATATTTGATTATATATTTAAGATTGGCCTGAAACTAATGTCTTTGTACTTGACGAAATCTGTGATCTTATAAACGTAGATAGATCGCAAAAAACGTATTGTGATAATAATAGTTACAGTCTTCGCTATTTCCTACAATTATTTACTATTGTATAGCCTGTTTATGGTATATGATGTATCTAATTCTACAATCCTATTCTCTACATGTGTTCTCTCTCTAAAACTGTAAATACTGATGATTTTTGCCTCAGATTTGTTCAGTTGCATTTGTTAGTGTTAGTATCTACACACGTTACTTCACGACAGCTTATACGCTGATCCACCAGTAACTACCACACTGTACCTAGTTATTCTCTACAATAAATATCTCTTTTTTCTAATAACCCCTTGTATCATTATTGTAAAATGCCTAAGAAGTCCACGTCCGCAGACTCTTTGAACCCTCCATCACAATAGTCTTACCAGCTTGCACACGCTTCACCTTCTGCCTGGCCTCCAATAGCTCTCTCTATATAACAATGTAATAATGACAACGGTTATCATGTTTAACTTTAAAAGATTAGGTAAAAGTATAAAAACATGACGAAAAATTTAGCGCAAAGATTCTCGAAAGAAGTAAGTTGTTGAGATCACATACTGTTTGTTTCAATAATTATTATTTATGTGAATTTCTTGTATGTAAGATTAATTCTTAAAGTCGTAATCTATCTTATTACTGTCATATTAAGTTTTGTTAACTGTAGAGTTCAAATTCTGAATTCATACATGCCCTGTAAAAGTAACCTGTCTTTAATAAATTTTTGTATTACACATACATATTATGTATATATACAATGTATGAATTTATATTAGCTGGGACGTTGATAGTCGAAATTTAATTAATATTACATATCATATGGTATTTTATGTCTCCATGTTTCATAGTATTATATGTTAAATTAAGTAAAAGATCTTCCAAATTGGTTAGTAGAAAACAGAAATTTTTCGTACATCTTAAAGAGGTTGTCTTATGAACGTGATATGTATAATTTGAAATATATTAATATAGCATTAGCAGGCTTTGTAGTAGCATAATAATAATTGTTTATTTATGTGCCATTGCCTTCTATTAAGTATATCAGTTGATTTAGGTGCCTGTGTATATATATATACTGTGGTCTGCATTTATTTAAAAACCTCTACAGAAAAATTTAGAATAAATTTAGAATACAACGGAGATTAACATTTTGGATTGATAATTCATTATAAATCTCTGTCAGTAGTACTAAGGAGAAAATTAATATATATTGCACGGCAATGCCTTATCGTAAACACTGGGAAAACAGTTTTAACAGAAATCACTATAGCGATGCTCCATAGCTGTGCGGTATATAAGTGACGTTCGAAGTCATATGTCGTATGAATTCCACATTTGTATATATTTAAATGTAACTACAGTAACTACCTAGTTTTGTAATAGAGTGATATAAACTGCTTTAGAGCTATCAATTCACACTGTTTAACTTGATTATAAGAGCTGATAGCAAAGAAATCTACTCCATCACAGAATTGATGTTACATTCGTATTAGTGATTCCAAAAATACATGGGAACTAGTTACTGTAGTGAACTTAGATTTAGCAGTTTAATGATCTCATTCGATGATATACCCTTTTAATACTATATGACCTATGCTAGCATATATGCAGTAGTACTTTAATATTTAACTTATAACTGAGAGTGTAACGATAGTAAAGCTAATCTGACATTACTAATCGCACCAGAATTTAATTAGACACATAAAACTTATTACAGCTTTCAATATACCATAGGATATAAGCTAATCCCTAATTTATTTTTCCGACTAGACTTATCATTGAACAAAATCTTAGTACCATTAGAAGGCGCCGTTCTAGTACTTAAATTGTATGTCTAATTCTTATTATGATTATTTACCTGCCGGTTGACTTTCTGCTCACGGACGCTTTGTGGATTAGATAACGTCTCCTCCTCAGGAACGCTGTGGTAAAATCGCTTGATTAATTCGTGACATATCAAGACTATAGTGATAATTTTTAGATCAAATCTCGAGATAATTATATCAACTCAGAAATTCTTTTATTATTTCAGTCAAAATCATATAGTCCCGAAAGTTATTGTATAACAGATATTCCTCGTCTACTTTAGGCTTACTAAGCCAAAGTTTACGCATAAGGCTGCATATTGATTTACAGTACGATACCTTCCAGGAGGAGCGGTACCCCAAGCATTTGCATTTGGATAAGGTGGTGGCCTCAATTAAATAACGAAAAGAATTCAAAACTTTTCTTAGGACTGCAGTTAGCAAAATACAGTATACCATATATAGGATATTGTAGTATGATAGTATAGCCGTGAGATACCATACCGATTATATTAACTGTCAGTGAAAAAGAATATGTACTATTCACAAATCGTTATTGTGGTTGAATTTTTGACTTACCCACCGCTATCGCGCTTATAGTATTGGCTCATGATAGATAAATATGTCGTTAATACAGAATTAGATTCGTAGCCACAAACTTTAGTAGTTTGGGTGTCATCAAATTTTAAGTTAATCTGTCCAACGTTTCTTCTCCAAGACAACGATCACAGACTGCGTACTGTACCGTAATCTCCTTATTAACTGTTAAGTTAATTAATTAATAATAAATAAATAAACAGTACAGTATGTACAGTACAGTACTATGGTACAGTCAATAATGAACTACAGTACCTTACTATACTGTACAGTGTACAGTACAGTACAGTACACTACAGTAATGTGGTAATTCTGGGAGACTGGGACTCCATTTTCCCTCTACTGTAATCCTGAGTAGTACAGTACTAAATACTGTAACCACAGTACTGAATACTGTAAGGTACAGTACTAAATACTGTACTGTATAGTACAGTACTGTACTGTAAGTTAGTCTGGTACTGTACTATAAAATCTCGACTCGAAATGATGTCACCTTAGTTTCATTTCATGATTTCATCCGATCTGTCTTCGTCTTCGAGGGATATCCACAGGAGAAGAGGGCTTTTCTCTTCTAATTTTTACCTTGTACGTACACTACAGTATAACAGCCGGAAATTTTTAAGTGTGTCAGGATTGGGACTGTACAGTACTTCGCTGCAAATGTTACGGTATTTGTACTGTAATTAACTTAAAGTAAAATACTGTACTGTACTGTACTGTACGTACAGTACAGTATGCTAGTAACGGTACTGTACTGTACAGTACAGTATACAGTATATTACGCCATGATGTCTACTGTACTGTAGATTGTTTTATGTTTTTTTTGAAGGAAAATGAGTGATCTTCTACTCTAGTTTAGCCTTTATAGGATATCGACTCGACATTGTCGAGTCTTGTACGATGCACAATTTGCAGATACAATACAGTACACTGCATGGTACTGTACAGTATGGCATGTTTATTAATTCTTCAGATTTCTAGATGGCAAAGTACTGTACAGTACTGTAGAAATTCTTGCATAGACAGTTGTGAATAACTTACTGTACTGTACATCTATCAACATATACGAAAACTTCAGCCCTCTAGCTACATGTCGGTATAAAGTACGGTATTTTTACGTTAGTTCAGTCCTATTTTTCCCCTTTTTCTATATCTAAAGAGAAAATAAACATGCTCAGGACTGTACTGTACTAGTACATACCAAAATTATTTGCTGTACAGTACGTCAGTGCACTCATTGTACAGTAATATGCTTGATTGGGAGACAACAATGACAGATGTCAAAGATGATGAGAGGATGAAGAACAGGTTTATTTACAGATTGAGAATGGCAGTACATAGGTAGAACGTTAGATAGACATATAAGAGGATGCTACTGCCTGGTGGAAATATGAACCTATCTATGTTATATTGTGCTGTATAATTTATACGTAGGCAGTCTGGCATGTGATATCACTTATTGGTGTAGGGCTGTACGCATATAAGGTATTGTATAATTGTTCCAATGTAGATTTTAGCAACGATAAATGTGAAAGTTCCAATGCGGATGCAGTCAGGAACTTGGAGTACAGTAATAATGTGTCTTGCTGCAAGTTTTACTAGTGCAGTATATATATATACATATAATATACAGTATATCATACATACAGTTTATTAACAATACCGTAATAATGCTTACTAGTTATAACAAATAAATACACATTAAATGTACAGTATATGAATAATTATATGATTAGATCAGAATGAGGGAAAATGTACGTGCGTATATCCCTCTACTTAGAATCCAGAATCTTAAGATATTCTACATTTTTTAGATGCACAGTAAAATAAAGGTTTTACATTTATACTTAAATAATTTCTGCATTCGCCTTTCATTTGCTATGATATACATATACGAAGCGGTCTATCGTTATCGATGTACAGCTAGGAGAACAGGATTACAGTACTTATGATAATAAATATTAGACCATTTTATTATTACAGCTCCGAAAAATTCGTTTTATACTATGTTGGTAACAAGTACCAGTTTTGAAAACGAAGTACGATAGTTGTAAGTACAGTATGACACACAAACCCTCCTCAAAATATCACGGAATTTATATGAAATATAGTTATAATATTTACTGGTAAGCATCAGTATGAAACTTAAAGGGATAAAAATTTTAGTGATAATAGATCATCTTAAATTAAAACTCTCTAATTAATTTTACTTCGAAAAAATTAAGTAGTCAATGAGTATACACAATGGAGTACAACCGGGAATTACACGATATTTTGAATAATAGTGTATAAGTTAACTTCCGGAAATTGGACTCTTTAATTTATCTCACTTTAAAAAATTTTAGTAGCTTACCTTGCTCATAAGATACAATTTCCATTGCCGTTACGAGACAGATCCAAACTTTAAGTAAAAATTACTACTTTAAGACACACACGAAGAATATTAAAACATTTATCAGCTATACTCATGGATTAGAGTCCCTTGACTAAAAACACATTGGTATCGAAATCTCACCGTGCGCATGCGAATAAAATACAAAGAATATGCATCACTTTAAGAGACGAAGCGTTCCATGCTTAACATGTATAACTAGTACAGACTTCATTAAGAAAATAACACAATATTGCTTGATACAATCGATTGAACGCAATCATGTCACTACGTTAACAAAATATTTTACATAATATAGAATCACTTAATTCTGATCTATTGCTCCAATCAGCCTTTATCCTTATTTCTGTTTTCCTGAAATTTTTATCTTTAAAAGATTTCTTTCGATGATCCTACATTTACGGTGATCAAATATCACTAACTTAGCTAAATTAATTAATTATATTCCATTTAAAATAGTATCACCATTCGTTTTTTATTTTGAACAAGAACTTAGTCTCAGTAAACTTACCTTTACATGCTCGCTTCCAATACTTTCCTTACGCTTTACTATAGCATCAATGGCTCTACTCTTATCCAAATTATCAAGAAAAGCAGTATTCTGTTTTTTCATCCAAGAAATCTCAGTTCGTAAGCGCTGTTCTCTAATGACATTATGATGAGCTATAAATAGTAAATACGTTGTTAAGCAGTATAAATTAACATGTCTTAGTAACAAAGTCGTCTCCTAAACATTTTAGGATGGACAAGTGCAACCAATTTCGCACGAAATACGAAAAGATCCGTTAGCAAAGTGTTTTAAATTTCACTTATATCAGTATGCATGTCAATATTTGCAAATTGTACATTTACATCAAATCAATGAATGACGTCCTAAACTACCGTGCTATCCCAAGAAATCGCATTAAATTGGTATGATAGCATTATAGCTACTATTAAAGAAGAGTAGCTCCAATATCAAAAGGAAGTAATATTTACTGATACTATGCATACATCAAGGCATGACTAACATAAATAACATGTAGAAGAAGAATAACACTGTGTGAAACCCATAAAAGCAGTTTCATAGTTAACTGAGTCCCAAGAATGCTGTAACCCGAAGCGAGATCGTAAATCATGGCTCAAAGTGAAAAGTAAGCGTGATAAAGGAAAGAAAATATACTACGGAGTAAAATTTCGCAATCACCGGCTATTTAAGACTAGATTGATTTTAAATAAAAGGAATCACCCGCTTTCTCATTTAAATGACTCCATCTGAATTTTCGTAGATATTTTAAGTTCCAGAAATCGTGATCATAATAGCCTCTATTTTTTCGACCTAAAAGAGTCAAATCAGTTTACAGAATTTAGTTGTACCAATTTATTAAGCGTGAGTTTATCGTATAACTGCATCTATGAGCATTCGCGGTACAGTAATCACTTTAATCGGTACGCTTACACGAGCGGCCTACCAACAAGTAAAAAATATAGTTGTACAGAACGTTATATTCCCATTTGCTATTTAGTTTTCCTTGAATTAATTAAATTAAACAATATATACGGTATACCGTATTACTATGGTGGTGAAAGATCGTGTGCTTAAAAGGGTGTCATACTTCGTTTGAGCTTTAATCTACATTCAAAGCAGCTTACCAATCTTTGTATTGTTTAGGGAAAACGCAACGGATTTTGCTATTTTCTTCTTCTTAAATTCTATCCATCCTTCGCTGTATAATTTTGTTTCATGAATTCTTTTAGATCGGACAATTTCAGTAGAATCTGTTACAGGCAAACGAATGATTGATCATCTAATAGAATCTATCTTGTGATAATAGCATACAGTAATAAGTTATTAGGTTGATATTGCATTTGTTTGGCGCAGATCAAAAACGGCTAAGCTCCAGTAAGAAAATTCTAACTCCAAGTCTCCAACCATAGCCTACCGCTGCTGCCATTCGCATACAAACTTCGTATGGTCAAAATCAGCCCACCGAAGTAATAATATGGACATACTGTACATAAACGGATCGCTTGGTCAAAACATACTGTTTAATGTGGGGTGCAGTACAGTACTGTACTTCTAGCCAGGTTACAAAAAAATACACATGACTGCCAAAATAGTAAGATTTAAAAGTAGAGGATTCACAGCGGCAATGGAATGGTTATAAAGGTTCCCTTTCCACAGCGAACATGCAACGTACTATTATTTAAAATCGGTTTATGACCTTTTCACTAAGTCAAATACGTGTTAGCATAAATCGAGTTTTGGTTAATGTAATAATAGTGTATAATATAATAACTGTTCTACATACTTGCATCAACATTTTCAAAAAGCGATGAATAAATCTGATATTACTCCACAATCGCCAAGTACAGCACGGTACTTCATATGCAAATTTACTTCTAATATTAATCATTAATGAATAACCTATTGGCTGTAAAAAGATCCTGTTGATTTGTCCATAGCGTGAAAATATTCGCTGTATTTTAAGTGGATTCATATGTGGTGGAATTCTACTAATATAAACGATGCCAGACTTGCGCTCCATGACTAGCCTTTTTTTGATATAAACGATTCTTTCTGCTTTTTTTCGAATAGCGCAAAATACTCAGCTACACATCAATGAAGATTTCGTACATATTGGGCCACAATGATTCATTTTGTGGACAAAATTATACTGTACAGTACTGTACTGTACACTGTACAGTAATGAAACCGCAATAGTTTCTAGTACAGTACAGTATAATACTGTACACTGTACAGTACAGTACAGTACTCAGTGCACTGTATCAGTCTGTACTGTACTGTACACTGAGTGTACAGTGTAGTGTACTGTACAGTATAGTGCAGTACTGTATAGTTCAGTACAGTACAGTACTGTACTGTACAGCAGTCACTTTTAAATAATTAAATAATTTAAAATTTAGTGCTGAACCCGACTTGAACCTAACTCGATTTACATCACTGTACAATACTGTACAGTACTATAGTTACGTTACTTACGTACACGGTACTGTACAGTAGCGGTCAAGGACTCAAGGCAACCTGTCAGTACCAGCTGTAAAAAAGTGTCGTTCTTCTGTTTTGAAAGTTTCAAAAATTACTGTACCGTGACTACAGTACAATGTACTGTGCAGTAAAGCTGATCGTGTTACAGTACTGTACAGTACTGTACATACTGTACAGTACTGTACTGTAGAGTGTGAGATCACACATCATGCTGATGATAACTGTACAGTATTACAGTATTAGAGACTAGTCCATACTTTACAGTACATACAGTACAGTATGTACAGTACAGTGCAGTACAGTACTATAACGCAGTGTACTGTACGGTACAGTACAGCACAGTAAGAACAGGGCTTCGGATTCGGAAGCTCGAGAGTGGCAAGAAAGTAAGGAAGTCATTTAGTCGTTTAGCAATTTTGCCCCTATGCTTCTTACTCTTCTTCTGAAGAGCGTTTCCGCTACAGTACAAATGAGACTTATGTATACAGTACAGTACTGTTACATGTCGTTACGTAGTGCATTATTAATAACGGGGGATATGCATGGTTAGTTACACAATCTGTGCAGTACAGTACTGTACACTGAGTACAGTATAGTGTACAGTACTACAGGACCAGGACCACTTTCTGTTGGTACAGTACGTTGGTACCATAAATTCGAAATTTCCCGCATCTCCCTGATACAGAATCATGCTGCTTTAAGTTCAGAGCTGTAATCAGGCCCTCTGCGCAGAAACATTGTACCTCTTGTTTCTGGTTTCTGATTGCGGGTTAAAGTCTTAAAGATCAGAAAGATAAAAGATTAAAATGATAGACAGTGAGAACGAAAACGACTCTCAGGAAACCAAGGTTGAAAACCTCGTCTTTTATTCTTAGATGATCCCTTGATGAAAAATAGAGATGAAAAAGTTACAGATAATATTGCAGTGTTGTAAACTATGTAACATATTATATACAGGCAATTTTCTGAATACCAGTGATTTATATTTTACAGTATAATACTTTGCAAGTGTGCATGATAATAACTTATAAGCAAAATATTAACTGACAACACCACGATAGAGATAGAGATATGAGAAAAAATCTTATATATAAGGTTATGGACAACACTAAGTAGTGTACCGTCTGTACGTTGTAAACTTGGTAACGTGCTGTATGTATATGCCTCGAAACGGCAAAAATGAAATGGATCGTATTATACTTTAACTTGTCTACTACGTTTGTTATCCGTAGTCATTAGCTAACATGCATCCACTAAAATTGTTTTTTATACTTATACCGGTTGTATGTACAGTGCGGTTAATTCTAAACTTTGCATGTAGCCCAGTTAGTGTTTACTATACAGTACACTGCATGCACTTGTGTGCTAATGCGTCCTAGAAGAAAATATGGAAAATGACATACTGCACTGTACAGCTAGCATCGGACATGCACTGTAAGGAAATCACGAAAAGTTTATACGCACACACAAATATTGTTGAGACAGCATAAATCATCGTACAGTATTATACAATCTTTAGCGATTTGCAAATCTGGTATTACGCAGTCTTGTTTTAATAAAACTTTCAGCTAATACGTTTGCTATACTACCTGCAATAGACCAAGTCCTGATTCGTTTGGCAATGCTGCATTGTAACTAGCAATGCGGTGGCTTGTTTCGATTACAGTATTTGATATTATTATTATATTATGCTCAGCTCAGATTGCCTAACTACTTACTACCTTCTGAATTAAACCATTTAGGTTTATGTTCCTCACAATGCTACAAATGCAACTACAGAAAATGATGATCTTGTCATGGAAGAATCGGCTTATTATATGTACCATGCGGTTAGCACGTACAGTACACTAATTCTGATTTCATTCATATTACCTCGTACCTGAATTACTGCTCAGTAAGATTCTTAACAAGTAAACTATAGCAATGTTATGTATGCATAGACCGGATTACGAAAAGAACTACAATATTTTTATCCATGTATTACAGTTTACGATGTTTTTATAATTCTTTTTCAAGTATGTCGGGATTAAAACAAGATTATGTACTAACATACAGTATTATGGCTGAATTACAGTAGCTCAATACTTTCCTTGGAGTACTGATTGTATAAGATCTATTTTATGTATAACCTTTGATTATGTTATGCGATATAGAACAGTACTGTGTTTTATTGTTATGACTTTAGTTGTTTTTAAAGCCTGTAGATAATTTTGTCTATAAATCTGTTTTCTAGGCTCAGACTGGCTACCCATGTTTAAGTTTCAGCGTTGTTCCTGATAGTTTGGGAGAAAATCGAACTGAGGTTTGAACCTTGAGTGAATTAGTATTCTTTTAAAATTCTACGTAGTGGCTTTCTGCAGTCGCAGCAGTCATTCTTAGAGCTTAAGTCATGTCATTACTCTACTATAAATATTGCTGATTGTAATGATGTGACTTAAACAATGTAGGTCAGATGAGTTCGTAATATCGTATTTAATCACCTTCATCGGAACTTTTCAGTTTCCTATGACCGCGTATCTGGTAGCAGGAACCCAAGCTGATGAAATGAATAAGAATAGTGTTATTGTTGTAAAAATGTCAAACTTGCATAAAACGTATAAAGAAGGTATTATCTGTTAAATATTGTAACTTAAATGTAATATTCAGAAAAATTATTAATAGTCATAGTAAATGATTTTTGTTAAAATCTATAGTGACATGTTAATATGATCATAATTATTTAAGGTGACTGCTCTGATAGTGACGAAGAACAAAAGATAGACTGTGGTCCTAGCTTGGATATAAAATCGATACATCATGAAGGGGCTGTAAATAGGATAAGGGTACGCTGTAATACAGTCTAAACGTATCTACCATTCTGACTCATTTAATTTCTTAATTCAAACTAAGAATTTTTATTTTTATAACTACTTTAGCATGCTTTAATACCAAATAGGCACATAGTTTCCACGTGGTCCGATACAGGTTGTGTTCATATCTGGGATATTTCTAAAGAACTTATGTCGATTGATAAAGATGATGAGAACGCTTGTATAGGCGCTGGACACAGTCGTCAAACACCACTGTTTTCGTTTAACAAACACTCGGTTATTATTAATATGCGCATAAAAACCATCTTACTAGCGATAATTTTAAGTTCATGTCCAAAACTGGTTGATAATTAAACATTGTACAACTTTTGACTATAGACTGAAGGGTTCGCTATGGATTGGTCCAAGATCGTTTATGGAAGGCAGTATTCATGTTACGTTTATGTAGTAAAGCTATATTTATAGAAATATGACTCCTAAGACGATCTTTTTAAATTAAAAGGTTACTAACAGGAGATCAAAAGAAAGATATATACTTATGGAATCCGATAAATGAGACCTGGGCTGTTGAGCCAACTCCATTCCAAGGACATACAAAGTCAGTCGAAGATTTGCAATGGAGCCCCAATGAAGATTCTGTAACGGATCGTTCTTTATTTGCAGTATTTTTAGCATTTTGGCTTGGTATTTACGCTATTTATTCTGTATATTTGCTTTTTATAGGTATTTGCATCATGTTCTGTAGATAAGACGGTAAAATTTTGGGATATTAGAATTGCAAAGCAAAAGGGGTGCATGATTTCGGTGGAAGCCCACTCAGATGATGTTAATGTTATCTCGTGGAATAAGTAACTTATCTGTCTATTAGAGTTCTCATGAGAATTATTAGCTAATAATGAAGCTAATTGGCGTCATACTCCATTTCCAGCAATGATCCTTTTCTGCTATCAGGTGGCGATGACGGAATTTTAAACGTTTGGGATCTTCGACGACTCCAAAGGTGTGATTGATATTCTATATATCAGGTCTTAATGTGCTCGTACATAGCAAGCCCTTGGAAGATACTATTGTAGGGTACTCTATGATATTTCTTTCTTCCATAACATAATACTTCGAATTTATTATTTTACTACATTCATTTCATGATTAGGTTAAGTGTATTTTTATGGAACGTACTGTGTACGAGTATACTTGTTTTGTGCTTTGGCTTAGTGAGACCCTATTGTCCAATAGCATATCACTTATACGCAATACTGTATTACTGATCCCTTAATGGTATCCTACACATGACTGCCACACACACTAAGAAAGCAATTGCATAGCATCTATTTTGTATTAATTACTTAGTATTAACTACTTTCCCGCTGGCTTTATTTCAGGAGGGCAGACTTAAATCACGTTTCCGAATTTTCTATACTTATAATTGTATTGTAAATATTTACAGTAAAAGACCTGTTGCAACATTCAAGCACCATCAAGCGCCAATTACATCTGTAGAATGGTACCCTATTGACAGTACGGTATTTGCAGCTGCAGGTGCTGATGATCAGGTACTCTACCTCACTAAGCTAATCAAAAAAACGGAAGGAATTGCCATCATATTAAAAGTTGACTATGTTAATTTCCTAGTTAACTGTCTGGGATTTAGCCTTAGAGAAAGACGTCGAAGCCAACGGCGAACATGAGGACATTGACGTACCCCCGCAATTGCTGTTTATTCATCAAGTAAAAACGTTGCCTTATGCTCGTATATGCCTAACTGCAGGTATTTTTAAATTTTTATTTCATATATTCATTAGGGACAGAAAGACATTAAAGAGCTTCACTGGCATTCGCAGCTCCCTGGTGTTATTATCAGTACTGCACAAGATGGATTCAATATTTTTAAAACTATTTCTGTTTAGTATTAACGTTTAACATAGTGTATCATTACACCTAGAATATATTTATCAAGATTATGTTACGGACGTCGAAACATGATGATTTTTTAACTTTAGACCTGCAATATGCTGATAGATTAATTAACAGAAAATTGTATAACGTCAAATAAAAAAGTAACTATGAAAATAGAAAGCATACAACTGTCTAAAGAATGAGCGTTGCAAAACCCGCTTTCTAGTCGGTACTATTTGTTCTAATTATTGGACTCTTGTTCAAATTAAATACTCAAGCAAATAACCCGTATGATCAATGTAACATTTCTTGAAGTAATTTACCAGCTAAGGAAGTCCAGCAGTTGCTCTAGCCTTTCGAATTAGAGCCTTTAGCATGAACTGCCTCCTCGATAAAGACCTAACATGCTAAGTAATAAACATATCATTTAGTTTGCAATATAATAATGAAATTCCTGCATGTACGTGTATAATAGTAATTACAAAATTACAATTAGAATTTTGCTGGGTCTTTTATTGGCTAAAGCGGATACAATCCAGTGACCCTTCCAAAAACTTACTTTAAGAAATATTTCTAGATCGATAACCTCCCTTCTCAGAGCTTCCCCGAGATAATAAATTGTGTCTTCTATAGCACATTCCTCGGTATGCAGATTAAGAATTCTTGTGAAATAAATATGAAATTAATTTGTGAAACTTGGCTAATGAGTTAAAACTTACTGAATTTCTGGTATATGAGTACATACACGTAAAATGAGATCAGAATTAAACTGATCTTCCTAATACAGTACTGCCTGAAAAATGATTCTAATAGTAGGAAATAAATATATTTTCAGCATTTAAGAGTAACTCACTGTGTATATAATGGGGCAGTCGTAATAATAGCATCATCAATGTTAAGTTTCGATGGGTCTGTGCCGACACGAGACTCAATTTGATGCAGTTCACTCAATTTCGTGGACATAGTATCGATTTCAGCCCTAACCTGATCCTAAAAACAGAATTTAAAACTGTCTTAAAAAAATCACCCAGATCATACATAAGTAAGAGGTTCTCGTCACACCTCTTCTTCCTTTAACCGCTTTAATTTGTCTTCTAGAATAGTGGAACTTTTCTTCAATTCATTTTCTATATGCATTTGAGATTCGATTTCTGTCTTGCCTTCTTCTAAAGCTTCGTTTAAGCGCCTCTTTAATTTCTCTTCAACAGATGTTAACAGTGACTGATACATTACTTGTTCATTTGAGGGATTAATATCTCCGAGTCGAGGCGAGGGAAATGAAGGATATGAAATGGAAGCAGTACTAGAAGCTGGTGGATAAGGACTTGGGTTGCCAGGCTGTGGCATACCATAAGAGCTGGTTGGAGGATAGGGAAGATTGGCATTGGGGTTGACATTCGGTGGAGGATAAGGTTGTCTTGGATTGCTGTAACGGGGATAGGAAGACTGTAGAGAGGACGAGTAACCAGGTTGAGATGTTTGTGAAGGATAAGACGTGGCCTTCTTGCTATAAACAGGCATCTCGTCTGCGAACTGTAGGCATAATACTTGCAGAAACGTAGTTAGGTCTGACTGAGGCTGAAATAGAAAGTTTTTATTAATAGCGGTTAAGAACATATTTCCATTTTATAAAGTAGAACGAAATTTGTCTTGATACTTACATATCTCCAATCTAATAAGTACGAAATGCTAACTTTTCCGTCAGCATTCACGATTTTCGTTTGTTTGAGGATCATGTAGTTTGTGGGGCGAACAAAGCAAATAGGACTCTGATGAGGGTAATTTTTTTCCAAGTAGATGCAAATAGGAATGTTATACGTCGTTCCTGAAGCAAAGATCACGTATGTACACTTTACTAGAAATATATATAGTATACGCATACTTATGTCTACAAAACATTACAGTAGAATACTACGAAAACAGTATGAAATTATGGACACTTTTACTATGCGCTTTTATTAATGAAAATTACGTAGTATACCTTTATAGACAACTGGAATGGTTCCATCCATGCAGAACAAGCTACTTTCTCTACCATCGTTATACGCTAAATAATATTTAATTAACCTGATTAGAAGCACAATACGCATCTCGAAACAGTTTTATATTCCTAACACTCCTGCCTGTATTGAGTATGAAATAGTTTAGAACTTACTATATTTTGACAAATCCAATCTAAAGTTTTGAAAGGTCCTTAAAACGGTGAGTGTATCTTTTATCGCATCATCACTGTACCGATACTAAAACCCAAGCACAGTAAAATACAGTCAATATATTGTTGTTGCCGTATCATTTACAATGTAGAAGTTGTTTTCCGAAATCGGTAACATAGTAGCACAGTACCGTTGAAAGAAGATTGCGAACTTTGGTTTCGATCTCGTTTGGCATGTTTGCTGCGTAAATTTACACTGAACCCTATTTATGCTGTACTGATTTTTTTATTTAATTAATTTTTGTCCAAAGTTTTTTTGCCTTCTCAGATCTACACGTACAGTACAATACAGTACAGTATAATAGGATACTTTCTTTATACTGTACAAGTACTGTACTGTACTGTACTGTACTGTACAGTATACTGTACAGTGTACAGTACCGTACTGTACTGTACTGTATAACCATAGAGTTAAGGGTAAAAATGTTTTTATCTTAACTCTACTGTACAGTACTGTACACCCCTGACAATGGGCTGATATCACAGTACAGTACAGTACTGTACTGTACTTGTGGGGGAGGGGGCGTTCAGTACTGTACTGTACAGTACAGTACAGTAATTACTTGTACAGTACAATGTACAGTATAGTAAAAAACTCAATCCTCGAAAAAATTGATCTTGCTTCCATTTGTCATACTGTAGATTGGTATTACGACGTGACTTGCATTACTGTAGTACAGGACAGTATACTGTAGATCTGAAATCTGCAATGTACAGTACAGTACAGTACAGTACAGTATACTGTACTGTAGATCTGAGATCTGCAAAGTACTGTACAGTACAGTATTATACTGTACTATACTGTACTGTAGGCGTACCAGCCACCATATCGTATAATAAAATGGAAGTTTAGCGCTAGTAATTTATAATTACAACATAATTTATATTAAATCAATGAAACCTAATACAGTCACACACTTGCAGTGTATCAATAAGTAATCACAAGAAATATATGAATTCAATATTGAGCAGACAGATAATGTAATCATAAGCGAACTATAAATGTTTACAGCAATATTTGAACGGGGACTACTCGAAAGAAGAGAAAGGGACAGGACACGATCCTTAGCTATACGTACTAGCGATGAGCAAGGCGACTTTCCTGCTGGTCATTTCAAGTGTACCGACCATCGGTAATCGTACCCTACGCGTATATTGTACAATGTACAGTACAGTGCACACGACCGTCCTCCAAATTACAGTATTTGCCTGGTTGGTTTTGCACAGTACGGTGTACAACTGTACAGTACTGTACGGTTACAGCCGTAGTGTATCCTAAAATGACCGCAAAAAAGTCGGCCATCTTATTTTTTCTAGCTTTCGGCCGTGTCTCGTCCGTCCCGTCTCTTTCCTTTCTCTTCTTTCGAAGTAGTCCCTGATTCGAAATACTGTATGTATACCATACGGATTAAATTTGCTATTATTGCTGCATGCTATTGCTAGACATACGTACAATCGTACATACGTAAATTGTATACTGCGAATGCGCGTGTAGTTATATAGTAATGTATGTTTTGTAAAAATCAAGCAATTTAAATTTTAGAACATTACTGATCTATGCGTAGCGTTCGGAGAAGCTCCTAGCATATTACAATATAAAATACCCATATATTTTAAATGCATTATTTACCTATTAATTGTGCGACATTGTACCTATTTGCAGTATTGTAAAAAATAGTATAGTACGGTCTCCTGACAATGTCGGCAATATTTTATCAATTAGATGCTATTTCCTAAGAGTTAGATTTAATAGTCTATTTAAATGTATAATTAATAAAATTGTATTCGCACATATGTACGTGCAACAAGCATTCAATAAAGGAAGACCTACGCTATTACTTATTACTAACGGGCCATCTTATTACACACACTCCTCATGATACTTTGCAACTCACATACTTGTTCACTGAATATACAATTTCAGTATACTTGACTTGAAGATACGCTGAGGGTGTTCGACTAGTTTACAGTAATAAATTATTGCATTTGTATGTAACAAGTTTAAAATGAATGAGTTATTCTAAGGGTAAAACGTTGTTTTATCAGTTGATATTCAGTAATACACTATTGTAAAATAAGTCTGGGAGATGTCTCAGTATCCGCGTATAAATTACTAATTAATTATTATCAAGCGACGATATCGATAGGTAATTGGTCTTACTGCATCAATAGTTGTAGAGTATTTAATTAGTTACCTCGTTTCGTCAACAAATAGGTGAGTCACTATCGAATGATGTACTTGCTAGGCAATTGTATCTCCCAACTCTTCGAATACAAAATATAGTAGGCGTATATGTATTCCTGAAGACAAAATTAAGATCGATATGTAAATCTCATTACTCTAGAAGTCTTTGAGACTTTAATTTTTGTTATGGCCTACGATGAAATTGAAGTAGTCTACCTTAGTAGCAATTCGTACAACGTATATTTTTGTGATATGCTTCTAATACCACAATAAACAATTATACCTATGTCTTTAGTGCCTGTAGACTCGGTATCAATAGTCATACACTAGTTCATGAATTTTTAAAGTGAGTAAATTTTTTGTTGCTACTACATTATGTTGTACACGTAGTAACTACTCTGGTACCACGCAGTTTACTGTTAGCAATTCGCCAGACGTCAGCAATGGCATTACCATAGGCTTTTGTTATTTATCAGCGTCTGCCTTTGGAGACAATAACTAACATTCAATGCAGTGACATTGATTACATTATGAATAGTCTTTTGTGACTTACAATTATTGCTAAGCCACAGGAACCAATTACAATGACTGGTTTAGCATAAAGAATAATCAATATAACTTAATGAACATTTTGTAACGATTTTGTTTGCTTACAACGAAGACAAGTAAAACGAGATATCATAAACTAAATGTAAAACGTGAAAAAATGTGTGTAGGGAAGCTCAGTCAGCGAAAATGTAAGTTGAGATTGATTACAGATAATTAAACACTACATTTATCTGATATCTTAGATAATCTGCTACTTTAACCGCAGTCTCTTCGATTGTCTTTTGTACAATTTTAAATTAAAGAAACTACTCCAACTACATGGATATCGCAAATGTTATAATGTTGAAATAACCAACTTTGTCATGACGCAGTGCGGCACGCACAAGCAGGTACTAAATAGCGTTTAGATACGCATGATAAGTACTATATATCTATTTTACTATCAATTAATTGTAATAATGACTTTATGCTTTAGTTTCATAAAGTTGATAATATACTCGTATGTTGAAATCACTTTTCAAATATTAATTAATTACTGATTTTGAATTACCTTCATTATGTCAGTATTGTCATCCACACACTACAGATTTTTAACAGTAAGTAATTGCCATGGATTTGATTTGCTCAGTTATAGTCGAATATGTTCGATGATTTCTTCTGTTCCATTAAATACACGTATAGCACTGAATGTTTGCGCATATGCTTTTAATGATAAAAATTAGGGTTGCACTGTGTCCTATCACAACATACAGTTGATCAAGAATACGAGTACTAATTAATTTGTCTTTACTGTATACAGTGCAGTGTGTAGCATCATATACAGTAAGCCTTAAGATTGTTAACGTGCATTTATTAGAGTCCAAATAAACCCCCCTTCCCCAAATTGTAAATTTTGCAATCAGAGTATTGTTATGGTTGTACGGTATACGTACTTATCGACGGTAAAATCGATAAGTGATGTATACGTCATAGTAAAATCTGTAGCATATTACGTAAAATCCGCAATTGTCAATTTATTACGTTTATGGTTTCTACATTAGGTTTAATTACAATTCAAAATCTTTAATAGTGACAAATACACTATATTGTACCTGCAAAAAAAGGCTTTTCTGTACCCATATATTAGTCGTACGTATATCCTATCGCAGAGACATTAATTATAGTCTTTTAATAACTAAACTCAGAGTTTTGATAACACAGTGATAGCTTGTTGATCTAATTTTTGTAAAGAAAAAACTAGGTAATTACCTAATCAGATATAGTTCAGCCGATTTTCAGACTAAAATCACTAAGAGATTAATTTTATTGTAAGCTAAGTAGCATTTAGTAACAAATAATTGTAGATTTATTTCCATAGGAACTTGCTATTGTTGGATATTTTACAGCATTAACATAATATAAAGCTTAAAATGCTGGTTTAACAATGCAAATTACATTTTTATTATCATATTTTGGTAACAGTAAGATCTAATGAATGAGTGAAAGTTCTCCTAATTAATGCTTGTTAGATACTCGCACATGGTATAAGTCCCATAATTCACTTTCTAATTTAATTTATTCGATAGATTTGCGATATTTTTCATTGTTCAGATTCCCGTAAGATTTTACTGGAAAAATTACAGGATTTTTCGAATAATCAGGAATCAGGTAAATTGTGTAAATACTTATCGGAGGATTTAACTGTATACTCTTTTCTTAAATTGACATTAATTGCGTTTTAAAATTTACCTTACTTAATGTCTGGTTTCAAATATACCAATAACATCAGGAAATGCATCAAGAATGAGTTCACCGGAGAATGTACCTGTAATCAATAATGGGACTAGCACTACAAGTGAGGAAGGTAGTACGCCTAAGATAAGCAACTTCTTTCAGTTAACGATGGCCATAACGAGAAGAAAAAGTGAAGAATTAGGTGCTACTCCAACACTTAATGCTTTACATAGACAAAATGTCAATCAACAAAGCACTCGTGATAAAAATAAGAATACCCGCGAAAAAATAAGGAGAGCGCTATTAGCAGCTGCTGCGAAAAGGCAACAGGAACAACAGCATGATAATGGGGACACTGGAGAAACAATAAAAACACCGAATTCTGCAACGCCAATGCCTGGAGGAGGAACACCAGTATTAGCAACCGCTTCTGCTGATATTCAGCCTTCAAGTACGCCGACGAGGCGTCTACCACCTCAACTTTCAAACAAGCTATTACATAGTATTTTGCAGGAACCAGTGGAGGATTTAGAAAATGTGACAAATAAATTAGATAACCTGTGTACGACCGACATTGACAAAGATCTACAAAAGGGTCAATCTCAATCTGCGCAATCGCTTTCTCCAGCTTTGCTGCGACCGCCACCTAGATCAAGATCAGCAACAACTACTGAGGAGTTACAGAAAGGTGGCAATGTCAAAAATGTTGTGGTTCCTAGCAGTAAAACTACAACGTTAGAAAGATCCGGATCAACATCTAAGCTTCCGTCAGTACCTGATCCTCAAACTCAGGCAGCAGCTCAGAAAATTCTAGCCGCATTTCGTAAGAAAAAAGAGGAACAAAAGCGTCGAGCGGAGATGGGGGGCGAACGCAAGCCTTCTATTTCGTTATATGATCTAATTCAGAAACTTAAAGCTGAAAAACCTTCTGGAGGCCATTCTAAAACATCACCGGAAGTAGATCTTAAGGAAGATAACAAGGTAAAGAAGCAAGAATGCCAGAAGCAGGAATCCGCCGAGACTGCTACAGCAAAGAACGATTCCACTAATTCATTGGTGCCAAGAGAGCATAGTATACCTGATACACCTGTCGTAACAGTCACTCACCCTACGCCAGAACATACTCCTGATATTGGAAGTCCACCTGTTTTATCCAGTAGCAAAGGTGGCGTAACAAACAATCATAAAATAATATCAACGGCTAAATCTTCATCAAATAGTGAGCCCGATCAAACTAGCGTTACTACAACTACATCTTCCAACAAGTCTAAAACGTCAGTTTTTAAATTAATACAGAAAAAAGTAGCCAATAAGGAATCAGCAACGGAGGCTGCTAAATCTGAAAGTGAGAAAGTACCCGTTATAGAAGTCAAAAATCATTCTAATGAACGCGACAATGAATACTCTACGCTATCTGAACGATCATCAATGCATAATAAGAACGCCGATCCGCCGGGTCTTGAACACATATCATCGTCAGTAAGCAATGCTACCGATTCCGTGAACTTTACCGTATCGAATGTTTCGTTGACAACAATTCATTCCACTAAAGATGCTCTTAAAGTTGATCGAAAGTCAGAAACGCGTAACCATTCTACGACCAAAAGATCTGTGATCGAAAATAATCCTAGTGATGATTTCATTAGGTTTGCTAGTAATCAGCAGGAAAGCCAAATCATCGAAATTAGTGGTCAGCGTTATGCTATTATTCAGAAACAAGATGGTTCACCAATGCTAATTCCAATTCATTCCGATAACTCTAAAGATAGCTCTAGTAAAATTAAGAGTGATGCGGAAGTTCAACTTTCTGATACAGTAAACTTGAAACAAGTGCATAGTGATTCTACACCCACCGTGGAACCGCTGCCTACATCGCTTTCCATCTCGACATCATCCATGTTACCGGTCAACACTGATCTTCCAGGCGTTAGCTATGGCGGAAGCCATACAGTAAATATTGGAACTAAGCCAGTTAATATAGAAATTCCTGAACAGTTGCAAGTAAATCATAAATTTTCAACTGTACCTGTTACCTCACCATCAGGCCTACACTACGTTACTGCTCCGACTTCAAATGCTCTCTACAACCAGCATCTGCTCAATGCTGGTAACAGGAATCAATACTCGCAACATTTTCCGATAGTGTCCGATCAAGAGCAATTATATTATGCAACTATTCAACAACAATTAAACGGCCCGTTCTCTTTTCTACCGCAATCACCAGTTTCTCCTGCTAGAAATGCGAACACAGTGTACCCATATTCTAATATTTCGCCTTTTGGTGTTCCCGTTAACCCTGTTTATTTTACAAGAAATGATGGTCAACTTACTACGGGCAACGATTTATCGCCAAATTCTAGAAGTGCTGGGTACAATTCATTAAGCGAAAATTCTAGTAATGAATTGATGTCTAGGGATATTTTAAAAGGGCGTGAGCAAGATCAGCAAAGCTATCCTACAGTAGTAAATAGCCCGAACGACAATTTCCCAGTTTCTCGTGCCGAAAATTCGTTTTTTGCAGCTTACGACCGCAATGAAATCGAAATAAGTAAAAGATCGGGTATTAATAAACCGGCTCACTCATCCGAAACTGAACGTAGCAATAAGAACGATACACAGGATGTATCAATTGATGAAATAGAAATATCTCGAAGGTTGTTAGGTGAAGTAGATGAGAAAATTGATCATGATGATCTTTCTATGAATCGACAAATGGAAAGTTCAATTAAAAAGCAAGCAAACGATCCTACGCCATATTTTCATGAGGAGAGTAAATACCGGGCGTACTTAGTAAAGGGGAAAGACACTCCCTCGCCTGCAAACAGATCGCTTGATGTAAGACTAGAGAACACAAAGCAAGTGCATTCCATTGAATCAAATTCATTAAATAGTAATGAACAAAGACAATTGGAAGACAGTAACCCTGTACAATCCGAGCGCGAAAATCGCAGTGGCTCAGCTAGGTATAATCAAAGAAACTCACGACTATCATCAAAACTTCGCCATATTAGCGACAACAATTCCCCAATCACTATGTCTCATGAGATGTACGGCGATATGGACAACAGCAAACCTAATAATTTTATGCCATCAACGCATTTTCAGGAAAATAGGAGTCCAACCATTTCTGTATTAGAATTGGTAACCTGAAATTAAAATTCTTATTATTAAATCCACAATTTATGTAAAATTTATTTATTTTCTGATACTTTATAGAGTGATCCCTCATCATTGGAAGAACGCGAAATGCTATCAAGATTGGCGTCGATGATCCGTCAAGAATTCGCGTATGATGGGTATCTTGAAAATGGCATCGAAGAACTGGCTATGGGTAAAATTTGCTGTACTACTATATTACGTATCTTAAATCCTATATTCTATGTTGTATACGATTCATTATGCTAACGTAAATATCACTCTATACTTATCGGTATGTGAATTTGTTCTATTGTCATAGCTGAATATATAATGTCATTAACTGGAATGAATCGATCCGCTTTCAAAGAAGCTGTGGCTGATCAGTACTGTGATCTATATTGGGATGAAGAACTTCTTAATGAGATGTATCGTGTCATCGATAGAGGAAAAACTTCAAATACTAGAATGAAACCAATGGGGTACGATGAAATTGCTGCGTACTATTTCCTTGTATGTGATCGAATCCTTTTTGAAACTTTATTGATATAAACATATGCTAATGATTTTACAGACAAGCCAAAATTATTCACAAGCCATCTAATGATTACGCCGCTGTCGGTAACTACGTACCATCTCTATCTACTAGCTCCGTAGTCGTCGGAAAATCAGCTGTCACTCCATTTAGAGAAGTTAATATCGATCGACCAAACGATAATTTTGATAATTTAGTTCACATAACGAGAAAATTACCAGATAAAGTGACTGTAGATGATCCTCTACTTAAACCGGTTGAATCCATTCAACCTACTGATACTAAATCGCGAGGAAAAGCAAACGACGATATCGATACTGGTTCAGACGTCTCCGGTATTGCCATATTGAAGAAAAAATTGAGACGTAATAGCTCAATATACATGAGCAAAGAAGAATTGCATAATGATATACAGCCAATTCTGGATTACAATCGGCGAATAGTAAGTATATATGGTTAGCTTTCTTAATTTATTGAGGCATATAATGTACTATGCTACTGTACTTAAAATTGGCGACGATTGTTCTTTCGAGTCTAACCTTATTGTACAGTCTACCTGTCTGCTACGCTTAACCATTTTTACTGATGGTGACGCTTGTCGACTTTCATCGAACGTGATCAATCTTTGAAATCAAATCTTTATGCGGTATAAGATTTTAAAATTGCTTCGATGATGAGATAGACATTTTTTTAGGTGGTAATTTAAGCACCGGCAGTTATTAGGGGGCTTTGATTATAGAGCACCTAGATATTATAGCACTACAATAGTAGTTGTTATATGATGCTTTAGTTTGCTATTGTTCTTAATAGTTATGAGCTCTAGGCAATAGGAGAAATATACAGATATAATTTAGGGTTGTATCATAAATGTACAGAACCTGGAAAATCTCAAAACGTATTTTAAATTTTTGAGAAGATCTTAATAGACATGAGAGATAACTATATTGGGTATTAATATCATATGTATTTATAGTGGTAAAAAGCTAAAATACATATTATACCTTTAAATTCTTCATATCCTGCAATGGTAGCTTTATGTTCGTTACAGTCCTTAACTACCTCTATCTATATGTTGGCGATAATTAAATAGAGACAGGCTTATTTAGGATCTAGCTAAGACAGATTCATCTAAGATTCAGTTGCATAAAGTAGTATTCTCTGGCTAATTACAATACTCACAGGTCGATTCGTCAAAAAACAAAACTTTGGAGGAACTAAAGAGAAATATCGTGCAAAAATTAATTGTACGTACATATAGCATATACTCGAGATCTTATCATGACTTGAAAGTATCAAGTAGTGATGTTGATACTAAAATTTCTGATTTAATTAATGTAGGATGTTGACCAACAAATTAAGGTTGAAAAAATGATGAAAGTTAAAACTTTAAAATATCTTTCTAGATTGCAAGATGTTGACGGAAAGCAAAGAAGTATATATCCATATACAACTAGAGATTACTACATTAAAAATTAGTTGATAAGAAAGAAGATTAACTTGTTTTTTGCTCAATATTTACTATGAATTAGTTTCACCAACTAAAGGCAGGCTAGCAAGGACTAAAAAAAACCTGATTGATATGGAAAAAAGAATGTCTTTCTTGGTTGCTGCAAAGCAACAACTGGAGGTTCGTCACTAATATCATCTTTTCGAAGACTTTGCATATTTCAATTGTTGAGAAAGGAGATAGTATAACACAGCAAATTATTTTTGAGCAGGAAATTGATGCCGAACGTTGGGGTTTAGATTCTTCCTTGCTGTTTTCTTTGGCAAACTGGTTAGTAGAAGATAATGTTACTTAATTTCTTCAATAGTAGGAACTTAAGTCATCGGCAATTATCTCATATAGCGATGGAAATCAGCCACTATCGTTCAGAGTTACACCAAAGAATCCTACGCTTATTTTTGGCGGAAGCTGGGACATGATTTCGCCAAATATGTTGTCGAGCTCTACAGGCTCCACGCCAGTTCTTCAGACTGGTACACGAAGGGGTTTATTATCTTTCTTGTATGCGCGGTATGGAAATATAAAGCCAATGCTAACTCAATCTAATTTAATAGCTCGCTATGAGGTGAAGAAAGATATTTTAAGGAATAAAAATACTTTTTACTTTCTAGTGACGCGAAAGGTCAAGATTATGTCAACGATTTCTTGTTAACCTTCCGATATATTATGACACCTCTACAATTATATCAGTTTATTACTAATGTTTATACCTCTGCAACTTGCGTCATCGAAACTGGTGGTACCCAAACCTACCAACAAGTTCAAGTTCAGTTTCGTTCACTAGACATATTGTATGAATGGATAGAGGTAATGCTCTGGTTATTGTAATATTCAGTACTTTGTCTTTTCTAAGATTCGCCTTAATGCAGGGATATTACGCAAAAGATTTTCGTACGAATCAAAAATTAGAGAACAACTTGATAGATTTCATGGAGAATACTGTGAGTACTACATAACAGTGTTTTGCGAGCACCGATTCTGTGGTTAAGGATTCATAGTAACTATATCTTTTTGATCAAATGTCTCGAAAGGTAATTCCGATTGACGCAACTGGAATGGGAGTGCGTGTGTTATACTTATGCAATGACAAAAAGTTAAGTACGAATGAAAGAGATCAAACGGAAAATACTATTATACGCGAACAACAGATAGATAAGGAAGAAGACGGTTAGCAAAACAGAAATAAATCATGTTAGAAATAGTTACTACTACTAATGATTATAACATTTGTTTTTGTTATTTAGATATCGAAACCAACTCTTCAAGTAACAGAACGTTAGGTAGCACTCCATCGGTAAGTTTTTCAGTGTGATAGATTGATGAGAATACGTATCAATTTTAAGCCAATGACAAATATTTGACGTCCAGAATTGGAGAATGTCAGTAAGGCGCTCAAATAGTACTGCTATGGGGATGCGAGAACTTAAGTGCTTCGATGATGTTCCTAGCGCTATTTCAATTACGGCAATGGATCGTGGGAAAAACTTTCATGATTCGTTATTGAATTACTCTACTCCTCAAATTGCAAAACAGCTAACCCTTATGCAACAGGTGTGAAAATCTATTTTTATTTAAACTGTTATTTTCCTTGTTGATCTGGGAGCTAATAATTGTAATTGTATTATAGAAAGAATAATAAATCTGTAAACTAATAACATCCTCGTTTACGAATACAACTTAACTTAGGAATTATTTCTTGGTATGCATCCGATCGATTTCTTGGGTACCGAAGCGTCAGACTTAAACTCCAGCGTTGGAAAATTCAACCGTTTTGGTTCAGTCGTAAATTTTCGAGCATCAATAGGCAAGCCTAAACACGAACTTGAATCTTTTAATTACATGACATCGGAGAGGCGAAGTATGAGAGAAAAGACCTCATTGAAGAATATCGCCAAACTGGAGCCTAGTGAATACTTAGAAATATTGCTTGAAAGAGCTCAAGGCGCATCAATATGGATCGCAGGAGAACTTTGCGGTTGCCCTTCCGCGAAAGTAAGAAATTGTGGATTATAATCTTTTGCAATTTGTGACAGTATAAATTTCTTAATATTTGAAATTATATCCACTAATAAGTGATGCATTTTTTGACATCTTGTGTTCAACCACCGTTCACTATCTAGATGCAGTTAACGTTATTAACGGAATTTATTAAAATCGCGAAATGGTGCTACGAGAAACGAAATTATGCCACTTTTTTACAAGTTGTTGAAGGCTTAGAAATGATTGTCGTTCGACAGTTACCGGTACGCATAACTACGGTTGTCAACGCGTTAATCGATATCTACAAGTATCGATGCTACTATGCTACTGTTTGCTGACCGAAACTTGAATAAGATATCACTGTTGATAATATTTGAAAATCTAATGACTTCGCTCAATGCAGTACAAACACTGGTAATACGAGTGTTGAAAAATATATTGACTCTACTAAACGAATTTTATTGATCTCTGGTAGGTTTGGAGAAGCTTGCCGGCAAAGGCTTTAAATACTATGGAACACTTATCTAGCTATAAGGTACCTTTTATAGCGAATAGGAATTTACGAAATGACTGTTAGGTACACCATCCTTTATGTTATCGCAAGGTATTAATTATAACATTATTTATTATAATTCCAGCTGAAGTTGCAAACAGACACGTTAACAGTAATTCTGGATTCGGTAAATGTAACCGAGCCGACACTACCGCCAGTTTCTTTATTTTTATCCGCGATTCAACAGCATGAGCGTGATGGCTTTTTAATGCCAAATGGAATGTATAAATGGTCTAAGATGAGGTAGGTGTCATATTGTATTGGTACAGTCCAGTGATCATCATTGGAGCAGGCTCTGATGACGGGACATAATGATGGTTGTAGGGTTGTAGTTTACCTTTTTAAGATAATTCTATGAGTATCATTATTATGCGTGCATAAAACATATGCCGTGAGATATAGCAATTTTAAGATAATGCGAATTAATATTTACGTTTGACTTTGATTGTAGGACGATTGCTAGAATTATAAATCAAGTCCGTATTTTTAAGGCGAATCCTTATACTTTCCCTGCTGATATGGATTTACAGAGACTGATTTCAAAACGAATGGTTGAATTTCAAGATCAGGACTTGCAGGAGCTTGTTGCACAGAATCACAATCATTTTCCCCGGTCGGCTCTCCAACGTAGCTCGCAAAGATTTCGAAAAAGTTTACAACGCGTCAAGTATACATTTCAAAGATCCAATTGATCAAAATGGAAAAGTACTTATAAGTTGGTATTTACCAGTCACATGCTATCATAGTTATTGTCAACAAACATGGCCATTAAAAATTAGCGTCATCATAATGTGATACCTACATTATACATTATAAACCATGGAATTATATCGATCATAGCTATATTTCGTTACTGTATATAATTTCTCTATTCGTTATGCCTAATCTACCATACGGTTTATCGACTCTTATCCAGCTGGAATGCTGTATCTATGCTTCAGAGAAATAGTTTTTTGATAGTTCTTACTAGGATGTACCAAATATCTGAATCGTTACGTATTTATTTTTAGTACTGCATCTTAGAAGCGATCGAGAAGTAATGATAGCATTTTGCAAAGAGCAAAACCATATATCTAGTGAACAATTTGATTCGAACTGCTATAGAACTTTCAGTGGGGAATTGTATTATTCGTTAACTTCTATATTTAGTTATCGACTGTAATAGTGCGCAACCGGCCCGCTAGGTAGTTGCGATTGCTTTTATATTTTATATCTTTTACTTCTAATTTATTGTCAATTCGATTTGCTAAAGTCAGAAATACTACATATTTATGATATCTGCAATTTCACAGTATTTTCACTGTTATCAGGTCTTAAGTCCTAAAATATGTTAATCGGAAAGCACTCCCCTTGGGGACCGAATAAAAGCTGTAGTGAATCTACACAAACGCTATTTAGCTATCTAGCGTTTTATTGTCTTTGCTATTACTTAAAACACGAATAAATTTGAATTGCGACGATATACGTAAATGTTGTATTGATATAAACTCATACGAATGCAACTTTAACAATAGCCATATATTTTAACTTAAATTCATAATTCGAAATTCGAACAGACGTTCTAACATGAAAAAATAACTATACAAGATACATGACAGGTATGCATTTTAATTTTACATGATCACTGTAACGGCCTTATTTTGTTCATAGACCTCGTTAACAAATGCATATTTCTCACTATTACAGTATAGTCCCTTGTGTCTACCTTACATACGTTCCATTGAATCACCAACGTTACACTGTAGTTAAAATGACAGGAATAATGAAGGTAGCTGTGGGTGTAACTTAGAGAAGTAAGCAATACTACAAAATGTGATGTAAGAACAATTTAATGAGTTACAATTTACGAATTACAGTTCGTAAATAATACAAATATCAATTAAGATTTGCTACACAATACATTTTAGAGCGAATGGAAACAGATTAAAAAAAAGATTTATTAGAATATAATTTAAGTCGAATCCTTTGGCCCTATAAAATTTATAGCAACGAATAAAGATACCGCTACAGCACCAGCAACTACAGCATACTGCAGAGGAGTTCATTACATTACCAGGCACATGAGATCAAAATCGATTCGCCTATCTTGCCGGGGAAACCACCATCACAGGCTTTTTCTGCTAATTATTCTGCTCCCTTCCTCATCATACTCCTTTCTTGAAACCCACATTTTTCGAAATGTATTTAACGAAGCAAGAATTGACCCTCTAGGACAGATAATTAATAATTCCATTATCATTTAGAATCATTTGCAAGCTGTTAGATCAGCCACAAAAGAAATGAATACGATTTAGACATATCATAATAATAATCATACGAACCCGATCCAAGTAGAATATAAACGTTCTTGTGGGGCAGAGATCTGATTGCAACAAATTTAAAAACGTGAGTATGGAAAAAAAGTTATATCTTCTAATAAATTTTACCCTTATCTTGATATCCTTTGGGGCAAGCTTTTTCATCTCAGCTAAGAGGCGATCACCAAAGCCTTTAAATAACGTTGAACCGCCTGATAATACAATATTTGTATATAAAGTACGTCGTAAATCTAAGTCAGATCTTTGGATAGAGTACGATAAGACCTATAAAAAGAAATAGCAAACGTTGATATAAATTGTGGATAATACTGCAGTCTAGTTATAGGTAATTCCAAATAAAGTTTTCCTCAGGCATGCGTACTTCATGCAACCCTTCAGCTTCTTCGCCTATCAAATCTGGCCTGAACATAAGTTCAGGGGCACGAAATCGTGCTGATCCAAGCTGAATAATAACAAAAGACTAAGCTATCAGCTTGCAAGGATATTTGGACAAGTACAATGAATGAATTACTAAGACAAATAAATCATCGACGTACTTCTATAATACTGCCGTCCGGTAGGGTATACATTGCACGTTCAGTCTCTAATGATTCCTGTAAGTATAAACGGTACAGTTTCCAATGTGATCAGCTGAAAAATTGTGCTAAATCATGTATTGTACACTATTCTAATCTTTGTAATAGTCATGATCAAACCTCTTTTTGTGGGTTTAAGGATAGATAGCAACATTTCTATGGAAGTGAAGGGCAGGTATAAGTAAGTAAATATTTTAATTTTTGATTGTGAGTATATACTTGTCTGCTAGAAATTCAGTATGACTATGATACCTCTTTAATCGTTCGTACTATTTCAAGTTCTGCCGAAGATAGAAAACTGTATCCTTCCTTGCGAAGTAACATTCGCAGGTATTTGGAAATATCTCTGTACGATCAGTTAGATACGCGTGAATTTCTAGCCGTTATCATCAATTTTTTAATTATCAGGACAGAAGAATTACCTTCCTCCAATATCAGTTCTCATGATAGAATGGGGCATTGCAAATCCTTCGTATATTGGAACTGCGTGTGTCACTCCATCGCCGGAATCTAGAACAACTCCTGTAGTCCGACCAGTAGCATATCTATAGTTTAAGTAAAAAACAAAGAATCTAACTAGTAATATCCGAATAGATAAAGCAACGATATGCTAGAGGACTATTAATTAATTAATTCTTTTAGTAGACTTCTATGTGTATGTACGTTCGTAAATATCTATATATATTATATAATACGTACAGACTGAGAATGGCTTGTATAGAAACAAATAATGCTGGCACATTGAAGGTTTCAAAAAAGATCTAGATTGTCATATGATTGATAGTAATAACTATAAATAGGATGATATAGTAACAGGTATGTTTAGTAAAATGTATGCCATACTTCAGCAGATTTTTCACGATTTCGTCTAGGATTTAGTGGAGCTTCGGTAAGTAAAACCGGATGCTAAAGTAAGTCAAATTGGCAATTGTAATTATTAACGAAAAGACTGATAAATGTAATAAGGAGGTCATAACCTCTTCAATGTTAGTTTGTAAATATTCTTTGGAATAGATATTTTGCCAAACTCTTTCCATGTCACTCCATTCTTTTATCACTCCATGCTACGAATGTAACAAGAAGAGAAAAATGAACAATTCATTAATCAGACCGGTAATAGATCCTTACTTTCATTTAAATGTGGTAGACTGTAAAAGTATTTCTAATGAGGATTATACGAAATATTACCTCAATTGGGTATTTGATGTGTAGCAAACCTCGGTGCTCCTTTAGTGTTATTCCATATCCATCAGGAGAGATATATTCATGCGTAGGCACAAGCATCAATTAAAAAAATTTGCATTTCATAATTATATGCACTAGGCTATACAATTATGCATCACACTTCTCTATCATTTATTACTTCCAATGCTAATACGAGTAAAAAAAAGCTAGTACTGCATTACTTACAAGTGTGTCAAACATTGATTACTGCAAACTATGTACGTATAGTAAGATGAATTAACAATATGATATGGTAAAATAATCTTATTTTTGTAGAGTACTAACTTCTGCTCTTTGACCTATGAAAACATCTCCTTCCAGTGCACCAGCCATGACACGAACGTGCTTCGGTCTTCCAACACTATTTAATGAATGCTTTTTAAATCATGGTACTGTAGTAAGGTCTATCCCGCAGCAGTATCATTTATTAAGTAGATTCTTGGAATGCATATTTATGTAACAATACACGTATACCGGGCATTATAAAGTTCCCAGTCTAGTTCACTTACAAATTGGGGAATCGCACTTTAGGGACCTGCTCTCCAGCGAAACCAGCCTTTATTATACCAGATCCCTAAACGGATTAATTAAACGTAAAGTTAAAATAATTCATGTAAAATATGCCTTAAAAACACAGTGATGTCCAAGTACCGTCTAAACCAATTTAGTAAATTTATTAGCTCACTTTAAAGCATACATATATAAATTAAACATACGTTTCTGCATCATGAATCATGATTTGTACTGTCAACACGTATTTAAAAACCGTGCGAACAAAAATAGTAACGCAGAAAACGCTCTTAAAATCTTTTTAAATCTGCGTTCTTGTTTTATCGTAGGAATACTAACATTGTCAATAACGACAGGCTGGTTAGTAATTACGTCATAATTATCCATTTCTGATAAAAAGCTACGTTTCTAATCATTAACGATTTTAGGAGTTAAGTTCGGAATCGAACGTCGAAAAGAACCTTCCCAGTTACTAGCATGAAGTCAGTTATTAGAAATGGTCCTTAAAAATACTGTACTGTTATTAAGGTACTGTATGCCTGCAAACGGTGCCGATCTCTGGTCAAAATTTATTAAGTCAAATAACGGTAGCACTGGAATGTACAGTACTGTACAGTAGAATGAGATTTACAGTGTACAGTCACAGTACATTCGGCCTCATTTTGTCAACGTACAGTACTGTACACTAGTACTGTACAGTACAGTACATTGATAGTTGCGTTGCATTCGCATTTGAACAGCAGGTTTACAGTACAGTAGTGTACAGTACAGTAGTGTACAGTACAGTACAGTATCACGAACGATTTACCCTAGTGAGTGCAACGGTAGCATTCTGTTGCATTTTTGGAGAACCTTTGAAATTGAAAATTATACTCAACGTCAATGCTGATTATAACATCATTCGAAAATGCAAGAACAAGAGTTGAATATGACTGCTTTTTCCATAGCAGTTAGTAAATAAATTAAATTAAATCGGATTATTTTACATGCACAAGGCATTCCTATGATATACTAAATTGTTTCACTAGTTATTTACTGTTTACTGTCCAGTACGCCATCGAATATGGTGTTGACTAAAGGTCTCTAGACTTGAGCACTGTTAATACAGTAAATTAAAAATTATTTTTCTACTGCTTCATACAGGAGAGGACGGAGACCTCAAATTCAGTAAGAGAACCTGATAATGATGATCACGACTTCGAGGAATATGTTCCACTGAAACTTCGACGGCAACGACAGGTTCGGATGGTTTAGACTGTGGATATACTTTAATGATTTCTATAGACTTTCCTTTCCATGCTATACTTGTATTTGTCGTTCTTATATTGTACAAAACGTATCTCCTTAGCACGATAAATACGATATTCAGCGCGTAAAGAAAAGAGCAGCAGGTATAACGGAGACAAGTTATAGCGCCAAGGTTTGGTTTTGCTTTGTATAAAACTCAAAATACGTGTGTTTGGAAAGCTAAATAAGAAAAATTATGAGGTTCGGTTAAATGAAGTTTTTTCTCATTATTTATTCATGACCTAAAAATCGTATTTAGGAAGATGGGCGCAATCTTAGACCAAACTCGGCCGTTAGCCTTTTAGATCAGCATAACGAACTCAAAAAGCATGCTGAAAGTATGGTATTCTCTTATCTTTTTTATAGTTATCGTCGGTGCAGGACTTGGATTTTTATTATTACCGCATAAAAATGAAAACTTATTAGACGTGTAGTGCAGCTTAGGTGTTCTTATTCTTCCGATGCAGCGCTTAACGAGACCAAGCACGAAAAACAGCTTAAGGAAGAACAGAAAATCTTAGAAAATATTTCAGAAAGGAAAGGTTTGTATGGTTAAAGATTGTGCAATAATGAAAAAGGATAAGCTCCGCTAAGCAGGACTACTACACCATAGAAAATTAATGCCTCATTATACTATACTTTTGTCCTAAAAGGTTAAGTACATGATGTTAGATTTATAGTAATACGATACAGTATATGGTAGTCGATTGCAACAAACATTTTGGGACCCTTCGTAAGTCATCAAAAGGTGATGCATGGTATGGAACTGATAGACATTTTATAGAACCAACCGAAATTATCTTGAGTTGGGAGTGTTTTCTTTGTGCAAATAGTTTTATAAACTCATTACTACAATACTGTAGCTAGCTGCTTTGGTAGTACACATTGTTAGCGATTTATCAATCAATCAAATCTAAACTATAATGATTAAAAGAATGCAACTTTTTTAATTAAGAAATCTAATGAAAATGTTAAAGACTTCAGCGTAGGTATTAACGATATAAAAGTCGTTGCCATAATTCGAGGATGAGGCGAGTGTTAAGCGGTCTTCATGAGCTAGTCTTCTGCATAACTACGTATGCACTAGAATATGACATTTCACTTTCTCTGGGCAGTAACCGTATGACATGACGAACTAATTTGTTCTTATATCACCGCTGGAGATTCAAGGATGCTTATTAGTCTATGATATAGTAAATGTATGATGAAGTGAGCATAAATGGAATGTACTTGTACAATACAGTAATACAGATTTATTAGTGGCTAAGCACTTATGTACTTGGTAACCAAAAAATAAATCGGAAAACGACATTGATGGCGTATAATGATTTAATTATGGCAAATTTTGTTTCAGCTTTAATGGCAGCAGCAGAGCTGGCTAAGGGTATAAAATATGAAAAATCTTTAAGAACTAGGTAGATTATTAACTAAGTAATTGTTTAAAAAACAGGTAGCTGACAATTCGTCGTAATAGCAGCATTAAACGCAATGTATTTTGGTGTCTATTATAATTATTATCAAAGTTATACTAGTAAATTGATGTTATCGTAAGAATGTGATTTAATAGCTGTACCTCTTTATCATAATATAATCGAAACTTTTGAAGAATTATCAAATTTTAGAGTCGTTGATTATATAATATATTACTCACAGTAAAGAAATTAAGTACGATAACTGGAAATCCTGTACATCTGTATAGGTTTAAATTACCGCTGTATTATCATTTATTGCCCGCACGACCTTGTAATCGGTATTACAAATTAGCTATTTAGTTATAGTGGTAATATGGTATACAGTACTATAGACAATCTGAAATAGAAACATGTACGAGTGTCGTAATCTCTTCCACAGTTTTTAACCGATAAAGTTAAATGTTAGTAATGCAGTAACTTAAAGAATTTTGCTATATGGAAGGGTGTATAATAATGTAAACTTGTACCTGTAGATCTTCATACTGCAATGCAATTTTAACTGTAATATGTGCTGTACATTACAGCTGGCAGCCTCCAGGATATCTACAGAGGTTATCAGAAGGGGCTCGAGATCGTTTGCGAAAGAAATGGCATATAATTGTAGAAGGTGCTGACGTTCCACCCCCTGTAAAAACGTTCAAGGTTCGCGATTGAAGTATTTATTGCTATACCATACTTTACTGTAACTTACATGCGTTTATTGATCTGTTATTGGTACGCAGGAAATGAAATTTCCCAAGTCAATTATTCATTCACTAAAAAAACAAGGCATCACTCATCCTACTCCAATTCAAATACAGGGCATTCCAGCTGTGTATGTTATAGTGATATGATTATCTAAGAGCTTGACTTAACGGTTACTAAATGCTGCTATTATCTAATCGAGAGTTTATTAAATCCATCAAAGCTTATTTGGCCGGGATATGATTGGCATTGCTTTTACCGGATCCGGAAAGACATTAGTCTTTACACTCCCGCTAATCATGTTTGCTTTAGAGCAGGTATTGCTATGACGATTTGAAGTAGTCTAAACTTATTCAACTGATAAAATAGGCTGATCGTTTCTATGGTTGTCATTTCTATCAGGAAACTGGCTTACCATTCGTCCGGAACGAGGGCCCTTACGGGCTAATCATGTGTCCGTCGGTAAATTTCTTGAGCCATGTAATTACTATCTATCGATGTTGTTAGATGTAATTGTATGATTTTTTAAGAGAGAACTAGCAAGACAAACCTATAATACTATCAAACGTTTTTGCCAAGCATTGACTGCGGATGGGCATCCCGAGATAAGGACAATGTTGTGTATTGGGGGTATTTCAATGAAAGAACAGACAGATGCTATGAGGAGGTAGTGTAAAGTGCAAACTATATGCAATCAAGTTATGATTATGATAAACTACTATTTTACGGTATTTGGATCTTTAACTGCCATAGGGGTGTTCACATCGCTGTTGCAACCCCAGGAAGATTGATGGACATGTTAGATAAAAAGTATTTGTCGTTAGATATATGCAGGTATATATCAAAAATTGTTGAAATCGCTCATTGGAGTTAACTATTATCTATTTACGATGTGTATACGTCCTATATTTGCTGTAATGAAAATAAAATAAATATCATAGGTACTTGGCAATAGACGAAGCCGATAGAATGATTGACATGGGCTTTGAAGAGGATATGCGTACAGTTTTTTCGTATTTTAAGGTATAAGATGATAAGTTGTATGGATTGCAAATGCTATTCGTGAATGAAATTTGTATTCTAATTTCCATTTCATTAGGCTCAGAGACAGACACTTCTTTTTAGTGCTACTATGCCAAAAAAGATTCAAAACTTTGCTAAAAGTGCACTTGTTCGACCAGGTAATTCTAATCAGGGACTTATTACATGCAATAATACAACATAATCCATTCTATATTAATAGTTACTGTAAATGTCGGACGAGCTGGAGCTGCTAACCTGGATGTGATACAGGTTATTTCTATTTGATTACGATTTCGTTCGTGAGAAGCGGATCGATGGATTGTACTGTAATAATAGTTCGAGTGATACTTGAAAATATTTATTCTAGGAGGTAGAATATGTTAAGCAAGAAGCGAAAATAGTCTATTTATTAGAATGTCTCCAAAAGACAGGCCCTCCTGTTCTAATTTTTGCGGAAAAAAAGAAAGATGTTGACGACATCCACGAATACCTCTTATTAAAAGGTGTAGAGGCTGTAGCTATTCATGGTGGAAAAGGTACTTGTTGTTTTAGATATTCACGAAGTTAGTTCGTCTACTTGACTTTGGTACTTAAAATGAAATGGATCAACTATTTATATTTAGACCAAGAAGAACGAGAGTTTGCTATTACATCATTCAAATTGTCCAAAAAAGACGTCTTAATTGCAACAGATGTAGCTTCCAAAGGGCTAGATTTTCCCGACGTAAAGCACGTTATTAATTATGATATGCCTGAAGATATAGAAAATTACGGTAAATATTTTTCATATAGTCTTCCATCTCTATATGATATACTTTCTAATTAATCGGCATTCGTTATCAGTTCATCGAATTGGTCGAACGGGTCGCTGCGGGAAAACCGGACTTGCAACTACTTTTATAAACAAATCTTCGTGTGAGTTTGGCTACAGTTCTTAATTCATATAATACACTCTTAGATACGTGATTAATCGAATTGACAAATATATCACAATTTAAATTAATCCTATTCACTGTGGTGATTGCCTATATTTTGTAGCGGAATACGTTTTATTAGATTTGAAGCATCTACTAATTGAGGCAAAGCAGAAGTTACCTCCATTTTTATTAACTCTACAAGCAGCCGATGACGCCTGGTTGGAGATCGGAGGTTTAATTCTTATTTGTACATCAATCCTTATTAGTTGTATTTGAATTTAGATTTTATTAAGATAATGTAGAGCTTAAAGTTTCAACCGTATTACACCTCCGTAGATACGCAAGGATGCAGCTATTGCGGTGGACTTGGTCATCGCATAACCGAATGCCCAAAGCTGGAAGCTATGCAAACAAGGCAGGTCGAAAGCATCGGTCGCAAAGACTATTTAGCTAATTCTGCTGCGGATTGGTAATCGGTTTAGAAATGCTATAAAATTATTATGTCTATGTAATCAGGACTAATTGTAAATAATATATCGCGAGTTTGTGAAGAATTTGGATAGATTCAGTCACGATAGTAGTGTCGTTTATAGTCTTGGTATGATCTCTCGCACCATTGTTACGTTATCTCAGGCAGTATGAAATTACAAGTTAACGCTACATGTATATATCGCCGATATACCGTACATACTACGAGATGTCAAGATGTTTTTGTAACACGAACAAGCGCTAGTGCGCATTTAGATATGATGGTTTCTAACTTAGTATGTGCATGTAGAAATTAATACTATTTTGGCCAACCCGCTTTATCATTTGGTAGGCTATTCAATCAGTTTATACTTTTTGACCCCATTTAATGTACTCGTGAACTAGCAATTTGAAGTGATTGCATGTATATACTAGATGTTTTTGCTCGATGATCTTCATAGGACTGTATGATACTGTTGTACGTACTACAATGCATGTTAAATATACGCGTAAATAGCGTTAACGTTAAAGTTTTGCGATTTGGCATACTAATTAAAACTGTATTCCGTGGAATTTTCATGGGTTCTACCAGTTAACTACGAATGCATTAGATTTTTAACGATGTAATTACAAACTCTGTTTTACACACACAGTATAAGTCAACTTAGATAAGAGTATGATGTAATTACCAGGATACGTTATATTGTAACTTACTTAAATTAAAGACACTAATTTTTCCCGTATTGTAACCTAAGAATAAAGAGCAAGAGTAAGTAACGATCATTTTATATTTTTTATAGTAGATAATTTTAAGTTCGCAGTTTTGTTTTGGAACAATATTTAATTTCTGTAGCGAATTTACTTATCAAAATACACTGATTGGGTTCATAGTAAAAGTTGTAAACAAAAAGATTTTGAAAAGACATGCAGAAAAGGTAAACAACTTATGAACTACTCGAATACCTAATTATTTCGTAGTGACCTATACTTTAAAAGTCAGAATGTTGTTATTGAACGATTGAAAGGAATACTACAAGATACTCCGTTTACTTCTTCATTATTCTGAATTCGGTATGGATTAATCAATAATACGATGCGGCGTCGTTATCATTACTGTTGATAGTTTGCGAATATAATGTAAATCTTCAGCCATTACACCAATTTCAACCCACGTATTACGAATTTAAATATGTATGACTTGCGTCAAATAAAAAAGGCTTAGTTTATCCGGGGACATCTAAGAGAAAATTCCTCTTGAAAATTTCTGGTTTATCAATCATGTTCAAGTATTGTGTCGGGTGTTGGGACTTAGGACGTCGAAAAGTATCAGTGCAAAACATTGACATAGTTCTATGGAATTTCTAGAAATTTTCTGAATTGAAAAGCCTCTGAAAGACTATGGCAGCATCTAAATCAACAAAAGATCACACACCAGTCGGGACGTAAATTGACCTCTGTTCATGTGTTGTACAATAGTGTATATATACGTATACTTATATTGCTACTCAATTGAAAAACCTAATCCAAGATTATGCCGGTAATCGTCCTATTTGCAAGTTTGTACAATGCAATATTGTGGTCTGTAGATGTTAGTAACAGGTGTTTTTACTTCACGATATTTTGTTGGATGCGAAGTTCCTATCAATCATAACGCAATATAGTAAAACTATTGCTTACATACATGTACATTCTTTCTTAAAAATATAGTATTGGTCCAATTTTTTTAAATTTTACTATGAATACATTAGGGTAACAGTACCGGTGATCCTGTTAAATCAAGATATAGATTATTTTCGTTGATTAGAGATTGTCACTATTTAAATCGGCAACTGCTGTAGATACGTTAGTAATAGCTATACAGTTTTATGAAAAGTGTCTTGATTGACTGCGCCAATGTTTAATTGATAGCTTAAAGCTCTATATCCGAAGATTTACAATACCTCAATTTTATATCGTAGCATATGTACTGTATACTTACATAGCAGTATTCCGGGAGAGGATGTATTGATAAAAATTTCTGGATTTTGCATTTTGCATCAATGATAATGCAAGATATTTTAAGAGAATCTATAAACTGTTTGTAGAGCCATTGACTTACACGCATAGTCGTAGGCACTAAGTACTGTAATGGCTGTTATGTACTCAAAATCTGCTGTATAGTGAGTGATGTAGCCAATTCTATCTTTAATTCTAACCTTTAGACAGGCATTTGCTCTGTAGTTTTCTTTATCACTGTACTTGTCATGTTCACTATAATCGCTTTAATTGATTAATTATGCAAATTACCTATTCAGTATCACTACGTATCTGTACCTCCACTCACACTGGTATAAATCTAAAATTGGTGCGAACATTTTTCTGATTCTTTGATACTATTATATCCTATCGGGATTACCATATACAGTAATTATGAAACCCTTATAGTAAATACTGTGCATTCAAAATGGATTAGCTTAGCCAAAATAAGATCTGAAAGATACTGTACCAGAATAGGACATGATCCTGCGATAATTTATATAATTACATACAAAGCTGCATATACATTACAGCGTGCAGTAGTGTACTGTATGTTGTGAGAGACCCAATGTGATATTACAATACATTTTCTATCCTCTTTTGGCATGTGTATTTCAGGCAATTGCGTTAGTCAAGAAATAGTTTGAAATGACTGATATTCATTATCCCTTTCGAATTTAAATATAGCCTGAAATTATAAATACTGCTTGTACTACTGTATTACAAACACGTTCATTCTTTCCAATGAAAATTACTGAATTAAAGACAGAAATACCTTTAAAAGATTTCGTTGCATATTATCAGCTAAAAACCGACATCACAAGACAAAGTCCTGTAAACTACTATATCGTTTTTCTGTATGCATTACAGTAACGAAACGTAGCACATATCTGTATTTTTACTGTACTGCCGACTAATGATATGTAGTAGAACGTACGCCTTTACGAAGGTATGATGTAACGTTCGAAATTTCTGTTGTTCGACCCGGAATCATACAGTATCGCATACTAGTGTAGAATTATCAAACTTGCATAAGTGGGCCTATCGAATCTTCGATTGTTTGGTATATCTGTTACGTCAAGCAGGATAGTAAAAACTAGAAGCTCAATTACTGAACTGCTCCTTTGCATTAGTACCGTTACTGATAATAAGCTGTCACATTTTATCGCTTTATTCAATTACGTAGCCTCCAAAAAATAACATTGCATCAGTTTAATGAAAGCTAATATGCTAAGTTTCTTTCTTTTCGTCTTCATTTGCCTGAGAGGAATCCTTACTGTCCGAATCAGAAGCCATCTACGAGTTAAAATGCATAACTTGGTGTTAATATCCAAATGAAAGACTACAGAACGTAACAGTCAATGAAATAAGTAGATTTAAATGTATACATGCACAAGTTATGTATTAAAACCGAATTTACTTTCTTGTAAGCTGCTTCAAAAAGTTTTAATGACGCTTGCTGTAATTCATTAGTCTTTTCCTTAATCGACTCCGCAGTTTCATTATCCTTGTTTTCTAACATTTTACGAACAGCGGCAATCTTTTCTTTCAAATCATTGGCCTAGAACAGTTACGGAATTAAGTTTATCAATCCAACAAACAATCGATCATTACTTATTTATCTGTGAGAACAAACTGTATTACTTCCTCATTTGGTAACTGATCCTTAAATTCTTCAATTTTAGACTCCGTATCATGCAGAATGCCTTCAGCATGATTTACTGCTTCTATCAAGTCCTGAAAGTGGTAAATATATTAATTAATCTTCCTAAATTAATCTGCAGTAAGTTCTAAATAAACAAAACGCAAAAGGAAAACAAATTCCTAGTTATTCGCAAACAACCTTTCGTTTTGTATCTTCTTCGGCGTATTTCTCAGCGTCTCTAATCATCTGTTCTATTTGATCATTATTTAGCCCACCCGATGATCTAATTACAACTACATAGTTTGTATATAACTTTAGTTAAGTCATCATCTGCATACTAGTAGCGCTTCATTAACCTTACTTTGCTGTTCTTTGCCCGTTCCTTTATCTTTTGCAGATACATTTACAATACCGTTGGCATCAATGTCAAATGTTACTTCTATTTGCGGAACACCACGCGGTGCGGGTGGAATTCCAACCAATTGAAATTGTCCTAAAACTTTATTATGAGCAGCAAGCTCCCGTTCGCCTTGGCATACTTTTATTTCCACTTGGGTCTGACCATCTGCAGCTGTCGAAAAGACCTGTTTGTTGCGTTAATAGTGAAAGATAAAACAAAATAACTTTATCGATTCAATGTAACATTTAAGCATACAAATCTCAGAATTAAAGACCAGCAACATCCAGTAACTAGATCAACTGTAAATAACCATTATAGTGTAACCAGAATGTAACATCAAATACTTAAATTTATGGTCATACTTGGCTTTTCTTAGTAGGAATAGTTGTATTTCTTGGGATTAACTTTGTAAAGACACCTCCGAGAGTTTCTATTCCGAGAGATAGTGGTGTTACATCCAGTAACAAAATATCTTTTACCTCACCAGCTAGAACACCACCCTGTTATTTATTAGAATTTACAATTAACATGTTACAAGGTAAGTTTTTACGAAGCATTAAAGATTACTGTCTTTTCTTCATCTTGCCTGTATTGCTGCGCCAATTGCAACTGCTTCATCCGGATTAACAGCTTTGCTTGGTGATCTACCAAATATTTTCTTAACAGTTTCAGCTACCTTCGGCATTCGTGTCATACCACCTACCAAAATTACCTAGGAACCCGAATGAGAATTACGTTAGAAGCAGAGTAAGTAAAAATGATACAGAATATGACAAAAATCTCGTTTGTACTTACGTCACCAATGTCGCTTCTGCTAACTCCAGCATCTTGTAAACATTTTTCGCAAGGCTTTAAAGTGCGGTTAATTAATTCCTCACACAATGATTCTAACTTTGATCGAGTTAATTTCAAGTTCAAATGCTTCGGTCCACTCTGATCAGCTGTAATGTAAGGTAAATTGATGTCCGTCTACACCAAATATTAATACAAGTGATATTGTAGCATCCGTAGTGCGTACAAACAAAAATATTTAGTAACACCTTGTGTACTGACATATACAGGTATTAACTGACTTACGAAGAAATAATACAGCAAATCGCGCTACACCCTAGCTAAGACGATATCCTAATTATTACACAAAGCATACTTTTACATACTACTGAAACTGGAGGACAGCTCTGAAAGGTACAATATGATTGTAAACCAATGTGCTGTATGAACAATATACTATATTATTATAATCTTATTTATTAGGGTACTGCTGTTAACGTAAGAGCGATGATAAGAGTTTGTCTTACTCCTATAGAATAAGAAAGACATTACAACGACATAAAATAGTATCGCTCATCACACAACATTCACTGTACATTCGAGATCTAAGTTTAATTCAGTAATATGGACTTTATATTGCGCACCACAGCAACACAAATCCCTAAATAAACCTGTTTCACAAACGACAAAAATATACCTGTAAGGATGAGGATAGCTCTGTTTTCGCTTTTTCGGCAGCTTCACGGAGTCTTTGCATAGCCATATTATCCTTCGTAAGGTCTAGACCTTGCTCGCGTTTAAATTCTTTTACTAAATAATTAACGATAGTATTATCAAAGTCTTCGCCTCCAAGGAAAGTATCACCATTGGTAGCCTTGACCTAAATTTACAAACTCTACTATCAGTATATACCTATAAAATGACAGCCGTTACACACTATTACTAAAAAAATATAAGTTATATCAGTACTAATTCAGTTTCTATTTACGAAAGTTACTCAAAACAAAACTTAATGGTAAATTAACCAAATGATCGATACTATCACCTCAAAAACGTTTAATACTGTTACCTCAAAAACTCCTTTTTGAATTTCTAATATGGAAATATCGAAGGTTCCGCCACCAAGGTCGTATACAGCAATTCTACAGCATAATCAATTTGTTTGAGACATGATGGTTTATGGTTACTTATAATTTTTCTATACACACATCTTATCTTCAGATTTGTCCATGCCATACGCCAACGCAGCCGCTGTTGGTTCATTAATGACCCGTAAGACGTTCAGACCAGCAATCTGACCAGCATCTTTCGTAGCTTGCCTTTGAGAATCATTAAAGTATGCAGGTACTGTCACAACGGCATTCTTGACTTGACTGCCGATATAACTCTCTGCCAATAAAACGCAAATGACCTAATAATTTAACTTCTCAATCGAAATTGAACTGCTTTGATAAGACTTGCTTATTAGAATTACCTGCAGTTTCCTTCATCTTCGTGAGAACGAATCCTCCAATTTGACTGGGAGAATATTGTTTATCTCTTGCTTTTACCCATGCATCGCCATTAGGAGCTTTAATTATCTCATATGGCACAATTTTGCTGTGAATTAGGTGAGATTCCGAAATTAGTGTATCAGGTCCTTTCTTAAAATTTTAGCGTTATCAACTCAACCTACATGTCTTTTTGGACTTCAGCATCATCGAATCGTCGACCGATCAAACGTTTCGTAGCATATAATGTATTCGTAGGATTAGTAACTGCCTATATCGAAAAAGTAATATATATTATGCTTCCTGATCGTAGGGAAATATCTATTTATGAATAAGCCAATGCACAATAAAACAAACTTGACGCTTTGCTGGAGATCCAACTAGCCGCTCTCCATCGTTTGTAAAAGCAATAACGGATGGTGTAGTTCTTGAGCCTTCAGAATTTTCAAGTACCTTCGGCGTCTTACCTTCCATTGCAGCCACACATGAATTCGTAGTACCGAGATCAATACCACAAACGGCACCTTTAACGGTATCTGAACTAAATTCAGTTTGACAAATAAGTACACGATATGTAACAATATTGCACTTTACCACTAAAATTACCTTGTTAGCCTAACAGAGACAACACTAAAGTATAGGTAATAAGATAAAAGCAACTGTGAAACTATACTGTAATAACTGCATAGACGATATCCTTTGATGTAGTATTGAGCTCAATCGTAAGATCTTGTTAACGCGTTGATTATATACAGTACATAGCAATAAGGTAGTACCACATTTCAATACTAAACGTAATACTGTACTGTAACCGTACACAATAAGCTATCATTTCCTTACCTATTGAATCGCATGTGTAAACCCAAAATACTGCTTCTTTTATAAATCACATTCTGAAATAATAATAATTATCGTTCGAAACTTAATTAGAAATACTTCACATCTTGTAACTGTACTGGATATTCCGTGATCACAATATGTTAGAATTACAGGTCTACAAAGTGATACCATATTCGCTTAATGTTTGAAACGTCAAATACCTGAGCTATGGTCCTCTTAGAAAGGAATCTAAAGGAATCCTTTGCAATCAGTTTGAACCAAGACGCGTTATTGATAGCTAACATTGTACCCATATACGTATTACGCCCGGAAAGAAATACTGCTCCAGATAACACGCGTAAAATAGAAAAATATTCTGTTGCAATGTGACTAGTATCCCACTTGTTTCGTATCCAAACAGATTTAACACTAAATCTTGAACTGCTTTGAAAGAGAAAAGCACAAGCTTTGTTAATAAGAAAACTTCAACATGGACTACAGACTCGAAGAAAAGTACACTGTTTCTGATATTACTAACTTCAAAACGTATCTGCGTTCCCTTTCAGCTGTGTGAACAACGCACCAACCAAGAAGCTGGAATGGTTATTAGCAAAGGCAAAAGACACAGTCTGTTCAAAGTTGGGAAATTCCAGCTAGCGACCGTACGCACATGCATACTGTACTGTAGTACCAGTATGAAATCTATCAGTTAGTATAGTACAGTACAGCACAGTACTGTACATTACCGTACATTAATGCTGAGACTGATACTGGTACTAGTGCTACAGTGTCATAGCTGCGCATTGATTAAAATTTTTGACTTTTAATTTCTAACTGTTTTTAAAAGTTGGCACGTGCTGATGATACTCAAGTTAACTGTCAGTTACTTTACCTACAGTACTGTAAGTTACCGTTACCATGTACTGTACAGTGTACAGTACTGTAGACCAAAACATCGCTCTGTACAGTACAGTACTATTTCTTAGCTCATTTTCATTTACAGTACTGTACAGTGTACAGTACTGTACTTCGGACTCTCTGTTAGGCTGGGCAATATTGCATCATTTAATAGCAGATACTGTAACAAGATCACCTTATACTGTACAGTACAGTACAGTACAGTACTGTACTGAGAAGCTGTAATTTAAAGTTGGCATACAGTACGTACAGTATTCAAAGTTTTACACACGATTGTCTCGTGTGTAAAAACTTGGACAATGCCAACTATAAATTACAGTAGTCAGTTTGTTTTCACATGATAATTCTGATGAAAAGCTAGGAAAACTCGGAAATACCGAATTTTTTGCGAGTTTTATTCAATAAGATGGATTTAACGTTATTACTTTATAAGCGTTTTTCTGAAGAAGGCCGTGTGATTTTAAAGCGCCAAGAAGCTTATCCATGATTTGTTCTCATTTGCATTGCATTACTGCATTTAAATACAATTTCTGTGCGGAAGCATGCGTATTGTACAATTTAGAGACCCTGGTAGTTAATTTGACTGATACGTATTAAGGTTAAGAATCTATTTAATTGTAATTGTGTTTAACCATTAACGGTGTTTTTACTGTAACCCCCCCCCCCCCATTTAATTAAGAGGAGCAAAAGCTAATACTGTATAGGAAAAGCTTTAAAGTTCAGCTGGCGTGTCGTGTAGCTAACTATACTGTATGTACACTTGTATACTTGTGTTACTGTACTGTATATCATTACAGATTACATTTATTTAATTAATTAATAAATAATTATATAAAATTTAAAATATGGCAAGTGGATATCCGGTAAAAATTCAGATGGAATGATTCAACACCATTTACTTAAAATACCAACAAGAGGAATAGAATATCGGTACCATTAAAACTTTTGGATCAACATGTTGATCCAAACTTTCAATAGAATTATTGTGTTAGCAATGGCGATTAAATGAATGAGTCACGTGCGTTGTCTAACTGGATAAGCTTGCATGATGAATGCATTGGACTGGAAGTTTTTTTTATAACAATATTTGATAATTATTACACGTGACACTTGATTACCCTCGAGTGTCTACTACTGACTACTAGTAAGAGTAACATCAATAATGTGATGATTTATTGCTAAGATTATGTATTTGCATTAAAATCACCTGTTAAAAACATTTATTGTACTTTACAGTTCCTTTGGGATACATCGTGTTATGTTCTCGGGCGACACTAGATCAATCACGCTATAGTACGGTAGCCTAAGTACAGAATAAGACTGTTAAATAGTATTGCTTCTGATATAATACATGCAGATGTTGCATGGCTATCTCGGTATATCGATCTCGATCCTGTAGAGTGTCCTTGCAATAAACCTAAACCTTATTCTGAATCATCTGCATATCGCGTATGATCGTTATCCTACATAGTCTTGGATCTAATGTATGACTTCGCACATTACAAACATGAGCATTATCTCCTGCGTATTTATAAAGTAGCATAATAATTAGTTAAAAAATGTACGATCGTGGGTTGTAACATGGATCTGCCAAATTCTTATGCTAGTCTAAATTAAGTAGCCGTAAAAATTGCGGAAAAATTACAAGTCTGATCGCTGAACCTTTTCATATACTGTACGTCAATATTAATTATTATTATCACCGCTTTCAAAGCAAAAATTTTCCTCTAAATTATTATCGGATAGTGAATTACGGATCACTTACTGTTGTCGCTGAAGGTTCTGATACTGTAATTTAACGGAGAGCAATATTTCAATTTCTCAAATGCGCGGTCAATACTTTAAGGCTATGTATTTTAAAAATACATACTGTAAGCCTACAGTACATAAACTACGTTATTGTTGTCAAATATCTTACCCGTAAGTTAGTAATATTAGATAAAAATAGATATTATCAAGTACAGTATGGTTACGATGCCATATATCTGCACCTCATCGCCCGATTTTATTAAATCTGCAAAATTATCAAAATCGAATTACTAAGGTCATAATAGTGGACTATCCGGAGATAGACTCAAAAAATGCTTTTAATTACTGTGACTAATCTTAATGTCTTGCTATTACGTGTATACGTATGTCGCGGTAAGAATCGATATTGTCTAATCAAAACAATATATGAGATAAACTTCTCATCGCTCTGACAAATTCTATACATAGGATTTAATAAGGATTCAAAGATTAAATTTTTTTTAATTTACATAACACGAATAAGTAAATATTTATTTCTAATCAAAGTGAATTTAAAAAAGTAATTACGAGAAAGAATCCATAACAATGATGTCAAATATTTTCTACTCATTATAACTTCATGGATGACATAAACACGAATCAACATTCTCCTTATGCTGCTAAAATTAGTATATAATCTATTAGCTGCAAATAACTGAGAATACTTATGAATGTTACGTAATATCTTCTGATAATAGCTCTTCTAATATAAATAAGTGGATAGATAGCTGTTATTCATATGCTTCTATACTATTATACAATAAATTACCGATACTGTGCTATTCGTGAACATGGTTAGTCAAATAATTACTTGTGGGTCGTGTTTAAGATAGTAAGCTCTACTCACTTTAGCTGTATTGAAGCCTATCTAGCATATGTCGGGCGTTAAAAAATTGTTTACTTTATCACCAAAATTTGTTTAACGAAAACATGAAAATACTAATATATTTATTAGTAACAATCTCAATATGACCCATGCAAGGTTTTAGACCTATCAAAATTCCCGTATGAAGTATGCTAGTGGTAATGAGGATTTTCAACCAAACCTATCGAATTTTTTACTCATTAATTATTGTAAGTGTTAACAAATCCTTTCAGCTATATTTTAGATTGTCAGTTATTATTTTACTGCAATTTCTAAATGAGTACAGTACTTGAAGAACAGTATCTCAGATATTGCTGGATACTAAATCGTTTAGTGCACTAATATATTTTGTTTATAAAATCAGATTCATTGGTGGTGCGTTGCTCACTATAAACATGTCTTACAGATAAAACTATAAAAGCGACCGCAGTAAGCTTAAGGGTAAGTAAATCACCAATCATACGAAGCATTCACTATATTAAACTCAGCTATTACTTAATACCTCTGTGGCTAATGGCTATTACCTTAAAAAACTTTGAATCATTATTTCAATATAAAATCGATCTTGTTGGCGACCGGGCATATATCGTTATTGTATAAAATATATAATAGATTTTACATGTATTACAACAATTTTTTTATTTTTTCTTCTTCCATTTAAATTATTTCTCGCGTGCGCCAAGGTCTCTTCTATTTTGATTTTGTTTTCACCTGTGTTCATAATTAGGTACGACTTTTGACATATTAACATAATTCGTGAAAGTGGCATCATTTGACATCACTTTACGATAGAAGAAGGAGCTATAATCACTTTTAACTTATCACGTAAAGTCCTATTCACTACTGTTATTGATTGATTTCTAGGTAGTAATATACTGTAGAATATTAATTGCTTTATCCGAGTTTCGCGAGTACAGATTGTGTTGCTTACATTCTCTACCTTCGTATAAATGATACAGTACGTCGTATACAGTACTACAAAGTGATCTTTATGTCATAACATCGCCCGTCCTGTAAACTACTGCTTGTTACCTTGTACTGTACAGTAGTGTACGCGCCATAGAACGTGGGGAATCCTAGATATCGTACAGTACAATACTATTTACTATTTACGGCTTATCTACATCTTATCTACTGTACTGTACTAGATTAAGATCACATGCTACAAATGTTCACGTGCGTTAGGATATGGTATTAAAGTTATGTTCGTACTAGAGCTGATTATTGCCACAGTTCTTACGTCTCGTTAACGTGTGTAGGATATCGCGCTTGGCATGTACTTCCAATGAGTAGGCTAAAGGAAAGCTCAAAGTCTCAGATTCTTGATCTCGGTTACACTTTATAAAAGGTTATACAGTACTTCGTATACGTGCAGTTCTTTTTTGGTACTTATTTCGCATAGTAATAGCAGTTTAAAATAAGTGATTAAAATTGCGGGTGTTTATGATGTACTAGCAAATAGTTGAGAACAAGTGCACTATCGATAATATGATTTTATCAGTGGCTTGGAGTGATTCTCAGTTAGATTGCTATGATGTTAGCGGCAGAGGAATTAAGAATATAATTTTCATAGGAGTAAATAAGAAACGACTACAGAAATAGCAAAATATTACGATAAATCGTAAGTATTGTTACTATTATTCTGCTCTATATGCACAAATTTAGGCCACAATTCATTAGCGTACTTTCGATTGTGCAGCATCTCATGTTACTGTTAATTTATTATAAGATTAATATAATTATTTGCGACAGGAGTATGGTAATTGCTATACCATATATGAGTTTCTGCAGTTGTTAAGCTAGTGTACGCATCTAGATTATCCGCAGGATTACAAATTTTGATTGTCGAATTTGTGATGGTCAGTGCTCCATACAATCCCATTGTTTATTGGATGTATACGTGATATAGTATCTACTAATCACATACTAAAATTCCGTATAATATATTAAATTTTAAATTTTATTAATTTCTGAATGCTCTTAGCAAATAAATGTAGATATTATTAACGTCGTTACACTGGATTCTTGGTAATACAACAGCATGTACTGTACAGTGATGCGTATAACATGCATCATTAAGTGCAGAGTATCCTATTTCTTGCTCATAATGTGGTATACTTTATAGCTCGTTGGATTTACCTAGGAGATACGTATTGCGCCGTGTCTCTACATAAAATTATTTAGATGTTAATAATTCTTTTTATCTGTGTGCAATGCACAATGCACATTGTGTATCCTCTTAACAAGCTAAATAAAAACTCATTTTGACGGCGTACTGTATCCCTAGTTTATACCGTAATATTGACAGTAGGTAAGTAGGTACAGTACTGTATACTGTACTGTAGACCGGTATTACAACGTGACTTGTAAAATGGTTGGAGTGACCGTGCATGTAACAGCGACTGATCGTTTGCATTAGAAACTTTAAAGAAATATAATTATTCAATACTGCGGTAAAAAGTAATAAAATATATCAAGAGCTAATTGCTCAAGGTTGCACAGATCTGTCTGCATGGAATTTGAGCCAAATTTAAAGTACTGTACTGTACAGTACATTTCTTCAAACATTTTAGAGGGCTCGCCACGCCCCTTCAATAGTGGTCTTTGTTGTAGAGTACTGTACTGTAGTACAGTACAGTACAGTACTTGGATTGTGAAGTTACTTCCATTAATAGGTTTGCTATAATTTCAGTGTGTATTCTATTCTATTAAATATAGATATTGCTACTTAAACGTGTTAAAACACACATTAATTGTACCATATATAAAGTAATTTCGGAAATGTATAAATGCACGATTCTGATTGATTAATAAACGATTCTCAATTAAACCTACTGTACAGTACTACCGATTACCACGAACATAACAGTCTTATAGTATATACTGTACAGTACGCTATCCTTCGTCAAAAATTTACGAATACTGTACAAATTAGAACAAATCTATAGAAATAAAAGCCAGGTTTACATCCCTGAGTTATTGGGCTACGTCTACTGTACATCGAAGCTTTTATCTACTTTGGTCTTTGGGCTTAATGTAGCCTACAGTACAGTACATGGTTTATTTTCCTTAGTGCCACCGAAGTTAATCCCGCTGTACTGTACAGTACAGTGTACTGTATGCGCTTTTACTAAGCACTGTACAGTACAGTAAGTAGTGAATTGCATCGAGATACAGTACTGTATAACTTTGTACTATGAGTGGATTGTCAGTACGAGCAGTAGCTGCTGTGCAGGAGTACAGAAGCTACTGTATACTGCAGACAAGAGTTTACAGTGGGAAGATATTCGTAACAATAATTTTAATTCTTGGTTTACACGAGATCATTCGCCCTTAATTTTCGTAAATGGCGTCGCAAATGGATACAGACTCATCCGCGGATCGCAATGTAGAAATCTGGAAGATAAAAAAGTTAATCAAAAGCTTGGAGTTAGCTCGAGGGTAATCGTATGAAATCGGAATGCTGTACACTGTACAGTGTACATGTACCATACATTTTCCGTTACCTTCTTATCTTATTAAAAATAGTAAAGTGCTGAACTTCATATAACGAAAAGCTGACAATTCTATTTCATCTGTATTGCGCTTAATAGCTATATCGGGATAATAATTAGTTGGAAAACTTTGACAATATGACTTTTACGGATCAGAGGTCCATTTTTACAATCCTCGCATTATTCGCGCTATGGTGACGCTACCAATTTATAGCTTAAAATTTCAAATTTTATTCGTGGAGGTTAACACGTTATCGCATGCTTGCTTTCACTGTACTGCGCACCGTTCGCTCTATTTCCTTATAGTACTACTACTGTATTGCCTTAACGGCATTATTAAATTAACTGTAAATATTTTTTACACGACTGTGAATGTATTCTACTTGTACATTCGATCGTTCCTAGTTCGTACCAGCTATGCTACGTGATGTAAAATACGTAGATTTCAAGTTTTCAACTAATAGTGAGTAAAAATTAGATCAGTTGAACAATTTCACCTATCGAAGAATTGTAGATTGATAGCCTACTGTTTCGTAGGTGAAGTGAGGAGTAGACTGACATTTAGACAATCAGTTATCAGTATGCAGTAACATGTTAATCGGACAACATCAGTGAACGCTTTTAAGCTCACATGGCACAGCCACTCGCATCGTACATTTTAGTACTGTAGTCCTTGACTCCTTGTTGTACTTTATACTATAGTACAGTATAGTGACTGTATTATGCAAACGCTAATATATTACACCTATCCGTCAAATTTATTGTACGATCTACTGCTCTATGGATTGCAATACTAAATTATTAATTACTACTGTATGTTTGCCATAAACGATTATAATCTTAATATATATCATACGCATATATAAATCCTTTTGATATATGCTATTAATCAGACAATTTTAATTCATTCCTTAGTAACGGTACCAGCATGATTTCTCTAATAATTCCTCCTAAAGACCAAATATCGCGAATTGCGAAGATGTTGGCTGACGAATACGGCACCGCTTCAAATATTAAAAGCCGGGTTAACAGGTAAGATTATCGGAAGATTTGCGATACTTTTTGGAGTAAATCTAGAGCTATATAGGTTCTTTACAAAACAGATTAACATTAGCCTTTCCTTAAATGCTTCGTTTCTTGCTAAGGCTATCAGTTTTAGGGGCTATTACGTCAGTTCAACAGCGCCTGAAACTTTATAGTAAGGTTCCTACGAATGGCTTAGTAGTCTATTGCGGAACCATTATTACTGAGGAGGGTAAAGAAAAGAAGGTTAACATCGATTTTGAGCCGTTCAAGCCCATTAATACTTCGTTATATTTGTGTGATAACAAGTTTCATACGGAGGTATTTAAGACGATTAAACACCTTTTAATGTAATATACGAGTATGTAAGCAGTCTGTTTTGTTTCAATGTTTATAATGATATGTAGGTATTTGTACTGCTACTTATACTGATAAGCATATAAGAAGTACTGCCTAAATAACTGTGTTGTGCTGCACGCTTTCTTTCTTAGAAGTATAGTAATTCTCTTGCTACGGCAATTACTGTTATGATTATGATAAAAATTGAAAAGTCTTTTATAGTCAAGGGGCTGGACTGGTAGTGTTTAGTGACTTTAACAAGAACTTAATTACGAGATTTATTTTTTTGATAGATAAAAAAACTGTACTTATCTTATTCATCAAAGTATATCATAATTATGTCTTTATTATTGTAGGCGTTAAGCGCCCTTTTAGCTGATGATAATAAGTTTGGGTTCATTGTTATGGACGGTAATGGTGCTTTGTTCGGAAATCTCTCTGGTAACACTCGTGAAGTGCTTCATAAATTTACGGTCGACCTACCCAAAAAGCATGGTAAAGCTAATTTTCTTGTACATGAAGACTAATTATGGAGTTATGACGTATTGGTTGTACTTTTAATACTTTCATTTTACGTAAATAGGCCGCGGAGGGCAATCTGCTCTTCGTTTTGCGCGCTTGCGATTAGAAAAGCGGCACAACTATGTTCGTAAAGTAGCGGAAACAGCAACCCAGCTATTTCTTACTAACGATAAGGTTGCAACTTTTTAGACTATAAGGAATTTAAATGATGCCGAATATTTGATGAAAGATTCTTTTATTAGCCAAACATTACAGGACTAATCCTGGCAGGCTCAGCTGATTTTAAGACCGAATTAAGTCAGTCGGACATGTTTGACCAGGTTTGCACTATAGCTGTAATTGGATTTGGAGGTTTACTACTTGTAATGACTTTAAATGCCATTCTGTTAATTTCGAAATTTATACTGCTTGGGATTTTAAAGAGGTTACAAATGAAAGTGTTAAAGTTGGTTGACGTCTCATATGGCGGTGAAAATGGTTTTAACCAGGTAAATGTTAGATGTTAGATTAAGTGAGAGTGATCGAAATTAAGGATAATACGGTAATTTGTAAAAAGTAGTCCATTTTGTAATACCGTTTCATACTATTTGAATATTAGGCTATTGAATTATCTGCGGAAGTGTTATCAAATGTCAAATTCATTCAAGAAAAGAAATTAATCAGTTAGTATGCTTCTATAATTACAATATACAATATAATAGTTGATCGCATGGATCTGTGACTTCTCAAAGTGCTTAACTTTAGTTTTCTACTGTTACTATACTGTCAGGTCGTTACTTTGATGAAATTTCACAGGATACGGGAAAATACTGCTTTGGCGTTCAGGAAACACTAAAGGTGAGAAACAGCATCGAATTTACGAAAAATTGTTAACAGACAGCTGCAGTGCTGACACATTGATTTGTACTACTGTAATAATTTTTCTTAGGCCCTTGAGATGGGTTCCGTACATGTACTGATTGTATGGGAGAATCTAGAAATTTATCGCTATGTACTGAAGGATCACAGCAATGACGGTAAAGTATAGAAATGTGCGATATTATTCTAAAAAATGTTAGTAGTCAATTATGAGGCTTATTGATGGCAAATAATTTTTAAAGAGGAGAAAGTTCTTAATTTAACTACGGAACAAGAAAGAAATATGACATTTTTTGTAAATAAAGACGTAAGTAGAGCTTCGCACGTCTTCATTACCCATAGATAACGTAATCTAAATTGGATTATCGCTGCTTAGACTGGAGTTGAGATGGAAGTTGTAGAAAGAATAAGTCTTTTGGATTGGCTGGCCAACAAGTATAAATCTTTTGGTAAATGATTTCAAATGTGAACTTGTAATTTTTTATGGATCTGTTAGCGCTCTAACTTTGATTTATGATGAATCTTTCAGGTACAACCCTAGAGATAGTTTCTAATCGATCTCAAGAGGGTTCACAATTTTGCCGCGGATTTGGTGGAATTGGAGGAATTTTGCGTTATAAAGTCGATTTTCAAAACCTCGAATACGATTCAGACAATGTTGATGACGATGACGATGACTTCTGACCCTGTTAACTATACTATTAACCTGGTCATATTTCGCTTGTAGCAAACTTTGCGATTTAGTGTCTACGTTGATTTCGACAAACGACGAACTTATTCGTAGACAAGGTTTAAACTTCTTTAGATAACTACAGGCTATATTGATTAATGTCTTGTTTATTATCTTAATGAAGGCATTACAAACAGGTGCAGTTTGTGGCTATCAGTACCATTCTTGACAGATAGTTTTAATATTAAAGAACTATATATAACACCGTCAATACTTTATTGATTGCGTTTGTATTTCGAAAATAAATTCTTCCATATGGAAGTTTATCAGCTTATTTCCATGCAAAAATCAATAAAGAGTATGCGATACGTTAAGCTGATTGATGCTATTGCAAGTAGGATAAAGCATTTAGCGCTGCCAAACGACCGGGGGCCCCCGATACTCCTCCTCCTGTAAGGGAAACAATTTGGAATACTATTAAAAACGCTATGCTACTAAAAATATCAATTAACAGATGGGGCAGTATTTTTAGCAATAGACAGTAGTAGATGTACAGTACAACAAAGTGGAATCATTATCAAAATATTATTATACGATATAACATCAGAATAAATACATATACTTTTATACAGACCTGGGTGAGAGCCAGAGCCGCATATAAATACTCCTTTGATGGACTTATTTGGACAAGTAGGTGACCGATTAAAGTACAGTTGGTCAGGTGAAAGTGCACCATGAAAGATATTCTGAAGGTAAAGGAAAGATGGGTAATTCAGATTATTTCTAAACGTTTGCATGATATTGCAACAGATCTAATGAATAAAATAACTGGTGCTGTAACTTGAATGCCAATGCACAGTAATCATAACAATTAAATAGACATACGCCGCTGGTTAGGCCGAAGATTTTTTGTAAGTCTGGCGGTGCTAATAGTTGGATCGATAGCGGAAGGTATGCACATTTCTATAACAGGTCTTTAAAGCAAGCGTAAATTGGAAAAATCATCGAATTACTGTATCATAAAGGATTCATTTGTTACAATTTGTCAATGACTGCATTTACCTCTTTGATATTTCTCCTTTCATTAGGTCTTCATAAGCATCGTGGATAAGTTTAGGATGCTCACAATTTAAGTGAATTGTTCCTCGATGTTGAGGACCAGGTAGCTTATTAGTAGTATTCGGTGTAGCGGTAAAATTCGGTAGCTGATTAATCGCCACTAATGACAGGAATCGTTACGGTATATTACAAGAATGTAAATATTACAGCAATATACACAAATTCTATAAACGCAATTAGTATCTGCTAGATCAGCTGAATACAGGCTCTGAAAGTTCTTACTGAGCAAATCCAACAGGTTACTCGCATATAGTAATACAGTAAATAGATATCTAAGGTTACTGACAAGACATTAAATACTGAATAACGAAGTACCATATATGCTAAACTTGGTCATTGTTTTATAAACTTGCTATATTCAGTTAAGAAATATTCATGCTGCAACCAATATTGGTAGTTTAGTGATTATCATACAATTTTAAGTGGTCTTCGCTGGATGAAATACATGGTAAAAAGTTTATGCTCTAAGGATTGTAATTTAATCTATAATAATAATTACCGTTAATTTTTGCTACAGGAGATGAGTAATCAAAGTTTCTTATGCTCCTAACGTGTTCCTCCTGCAAAGCCTCATTCGGAAGCAGTTGGGTGTAAGTTATATACGGTGTTGCATTAGATAAGACAACTCTTGCAGAAATCTCTTCCCCACTCTTCAATACTATTCCAACTGCTTTTTTCGATTTTGAATCCAAAGTGATTGCTTTTACACTCTATTAGCAGATTATTAAAGTTGTGTCTTTTAGTAACTCAATTTCAATGGTGTCTTTTTGTCTAGTTAAATGCCTTAATTTATAATGATATATCTTACAGAATTAGTAAAAATAGAGGCGCCGTGAGATTCGGCACATCTAGCAATTGCTGAGGAAACAGCACCCATACCACCTTCAGCATAGCCCCAAGCACCCTTTATGCCGTCAACCTCTCCCATAACATGGTGGAGTAATACGTATCTGCAACAAGAAAAATTACTTACGAGTAGCCCAGAAAGCGAATAAAAATCACAATATTATCAACCCATTGCCCGGAAGATATGGGCTAGTTGTAGTTCCAATTACTGCATCAGTAGCCAATGTGGCTTTCAAAACGTCAGATTTAAACCAGGTATCTAAAACTTAAAGTAACGAATGATATCAGATAAAAATACAGGTATGATCATAATTAATTATAACTGTTTTGAAGGTGCTTAATCACATCATAGAACTTATCTTAATGGCAGGGGCAGACATTAATTTAATAAAATCAGGGATATTTTTCCCTAGCTTTATTCCTACAATTAGCCAAGATAATTAACCGACATTAGTAGTTGTAGAGTACAGGAAGCGATAAATAATACCTAAGCAGACCTAAAAAAACGATCAACAAAACACCTGTTTGAAGGAGGGCGTACAGCGATGGCAAATTTTTCCATTTAGCCTTTATATTACCGTTCATTATGGCATCAATATCAAGTGCTTGATGGTCGTATAACGGATCAATAGCTGAAACTAAATATCGAAATGTCCTATAACCATTTACAGTATTAGACTGTTAGCGATATTAATTTATGCTATTACCTATTTCTGCTAAGAATGCCTCGTATTTATCAAAAATTTCTGCATCATGACGTGAAAATTGAGCAATTTGGCGCCTATTTTCGTCACCATCCCGGCCAAGCATCAATGCCTTAGGAACACCGTTGGAATACTCTTTCAAAACTGGCGTATAAGAGCTTGGGTCACGGATATAAACTTTCAACCCGAATTTCTACGACGAAATATGGATACGTTAAAACTTAGTCGTTAATTTTATATTTTCATATTTTTGTTTGAATAAATGCTCTGAGTATCGCTGCGATTATTATATTACATAATGGTGTATTCAATGCTTTCTTAATCTTAACTACCTTGAGTTCGAGGTCCTTAATAATTTGTGGTCTTAGTAAGCTTAGTACATACGAGCATCGAGAAAATTTAAATCCTAAAATTTAGATTCGATTCTTTAATTATAGAAATCTGCTACTGTTTTATAAACATAACACAGTAGTGCTGGTCGTTGATGTTACCTAAATACAGTAATTAAATATAATAATTAAATCATGGGTAATGTGACTTTTCATCTCAGTTTAATATTTTTAATTACTGTACAGTGTACAATCAATTTCGATAGATTATGGACGTATAATAATAATCCAAAATTGATATCGTTGATATTAGAAACTGTAAGGAAATTTGTTCAAGGGAGTAACTGATCGTAGACGTTTATGACGATTGTTAAGTAATTTGTTATACCATTTCAATACTCTAGCTGTCAAGCATATCTATCCTATTTTCATGTTTATCATCGAAATCTTAACAATTGTTGACAAAACTATTGCAGCACCGCTGCATTAGACAAACAAACAATATTACGATGCAGTCATTATTTCAATAGCCAATATGAAGGACCTGGAAAAATTTCCTCTGTAACAGCAGCTCCGCCGATAATTTCTCTATTTTCGAATACGCCAACGTTCAATCCAGCCTTTTGCAAGTAAGCAGCCTATGAGATGTATGAGTAATTGAGTAAGTAAACTCGTATAATGAAACTAACTGTAAGTTACGTTATGTAGTGTAAGTATGAGCTGAAGTTACAGAACTGGAATTAAAACTATTGTTTTGGTATTCATGAGCAGTATCCTATATGGGAAATGTATTTATTTATCATCGAATACGCTTATGATCAACGAAACCAGTGAACCCAAACCCATACATCATTCTTCTGCGTAAAGGTAAAAATTAAGATGAACGTAATGTACTGTTTATCATCGAATACGCTTATGATCAACGAAACCAGTGAACCCAAACCCATACATCATTCTTCTGCGTAAAGGTAAAAATTAAGATGAGCGTAATGTACTGTAATTCTTCAGACCTGTGACAAATAATGATACAAAATTATACAGTATATTCACTAACAATTGTCCTGTTTATCCACGCTTATTAATTATGAAATTTACCTACCCTTCAAGCTTGTAACAAAATAAATAAATAAATTAATTAATAAAAATTTTGTCAGATCTCTATACATCAGGTACCTTCAGAATCGCAACTCACACAGTATCCGATTTGTTTGTCATTATATGCTGTATTATTTTACGTAAATGTTAACAAAGACTGTAAATACCCGCTCACTCACCGCAACTAAGCCATTATGCCCTAGAAAATGAGGGACATTAATAACAAGTATAAGAATAAGTTCAGAAAGACCAAGAGATAAAATAATTTCAACCTTGTATCGGTCCATTTTAATAATTTAGACCAGTCTTTTGATTACGGAGTAAGTAAACTAAAGCATGGACTACTAGATACCTGGTCCACAGTACAGTAGTATCTAGTAGTCTATGACTAGACTAAACCAACTCGGATTATAAAATTTGCATATCATTATTACGGTATAATGAGTAGGTTCTGAATGATTACAAGCATCGACCAAACTGCCAACGAAAGTGGCCAGCAATCAGCAGTACTGCAGTCCCTTCCGTTAGCCTTGCACTGTACTGTATTACTTAATAGAACGACTTTAAAGTAAGGAAAAAATTAACAGAATGAATATAACTAATCTAGTTGTGCGTAGCATACAAGTAAATGTATGCTCAATATTTGATACAAGATAATTAAGCGAGAATCTTTATTTTATCGCTAGCAATTTACTATACTGAACAAATTGTCTGAATTGTACTGTATTTGGGAAGCTGTGAGCTGGTCTGAAATGCAAATGCATGCAAAGTGCCATGATTAAAATCACGATGAATTTATTATTAACAGCACCTGCTCCGATTATGGCAGCATCATAATGGACCTTTAAATCTTTTCGATTGGATATGCAACGGATCACACATTTCGACAAATCATTCGATATCTTTATTGATCTCTTATTGATATTCGATGTTCCAGATATTAATTTATACATTTTACTACAAGATCAGCTTAACCTCTTACAGCAAACCGATTTAACAGTAAAGAATTTAAAGAAATCGCTTAATTAATAAACACTTCAAAACGAACTCGCTGGATAGACTTCGATAAACCCGTTTTTGACACTAATGTTGTACTGTACAATTCTAATTAGTATGGTTTAGACTTACTGTACTGTACAGTACAGTATGCCAGTTATTTTACAGTGCTTACTGTACTTACTGTACTGTACTGTACACTGAACAGAACCTTTCTCACATCTAATTCTGATATCTGAGGCAAAGAGCACAATACACAGTACTCAGGACTGTACTGTACAGTACCCAGCAATGCCTATGTAATTTATATACTGTACTGTACAGTACAGTGTACAGTGGTACAATACTGTACAGTACTGTACGTACAGACGTGAGTGGAGTTAACTAGTACAGTACTGTACTGTACTAGACTGTACGTACTTTATACAGTACTGTATTTCTTGGAAATGTCGCTATGGCGGAAAATCATGATTTACGAAATTATACCTGCGAAGTAAGGGTAGATTTATTCTTAAGTAAAAGATCATATCAAACTAGAATAACTGTAGTTTATCCTTTGCATTTTATGCCCTGGAGGTCGTACATTTTCAAGTAATAAACATTATTATCTACGCACGCGTATGCGATGAAACTAAATTTCGTTAGCTTCTTTCCAGTTGCAAAAGCAGTAGGCGCTTGCGATCATGTGTAAATTTTTCCTGCCAAATTTATAAATGTAAAATTATTACATTTTTACGAGTAGACTGGTAGAAAAAACTATTACTGTAGAGTTAAAAAATTGAATACAATTTTCTCTAATTTTTTTAATGCAATAATGCTTGTCTATTAAGTAATTATCCGTATTGATCAAGATAACAACAAAGATATTTTATGTAGCGAATTTGTTGATTTACTCGTGTATAGTATATTTTATTTAATACGTATGCAAGAGAATCGTATGTAATATTTGGCTAATACTGTATGCAATAGTAGTTCTTATAAATTCGATATTTAGGTATCGAATTAGAGCAGTACAGTAATGATCTTCCTATATACTGTAAGCTGGATCAAGTCACAGCTCAATTTGATAAAGTACGGTGTCTGTTTACGGTAAATAGCTGAATGTATGTGACTAACTCGCTGGTAGGGCTGTAGCATCTTCTTACGTAGCCATGGAAAGCGATAATTTTACAGTATCAATTGCAACTCCTTCAGTATCGCTTTCAGATAGATAAACAATGGAAATGATCTTTGAACAAACTAAGGAAATAATGCATGACAGACGCTAATAACATCATTACAGTATCTATGCGTTGATAAATTATATATAATAATTATAATATAATACGTATATTTACCTAGCATTAAATCCGTTTATACGATACGCATCTCTTTCAGTGGATAGGAGAACGATGTGGTTGGCATGGAGTTTATTCATTTTATCGATCGTTACGAACAGCAAGTTCTGGTATCAGCTCCGTATATCGTTTAGGAGAATTTTTCGTTCTTCAATTCTCTGACTTACCAATTTGCATAGCTGAAATACAATTGGCATGGGAAGATACGGTAAAACATGATAAATTACTCAGTCTGCGCCTCTATTTTCGACCGGAAGACACACCGGATGGTAATCGTCCACTTTATCAGTATGGAGAGGTATTTATCCGTGTACTCGTAGATTAATGAATTGTAAAACACATGTACTATATCGTAGCCTTAATATCCAATGAAGCTAAATGCGCTAACTACATGAAATAGTAATCATGAATTAATCTTTCTCGTAATTCGAATTCCTATTCCAAAACTTTGCCACATTGTAGAATGCACTGTAATTGCTAAATGATATCCTCAGATTGTAGATTAATCACGATGAATGCTCATCTTAAACTATTTATATAGTGCGTACAAAATGTTAGAGAATAATATTTTACGTTGCATTTACGCGTATTACACGAATTTATTCAGAAAATACAAATTTTATAGTGTTTTATTTACTGTATATATACGTATATATTAATATACATCTCAGGTTAAATTTTTCACAATTCTGTAATTCGTATTTTGGAATCTTTCGTTTATTTGCACTACTCCAACTTGGCGGATAGCTAATGAACATTAACTGAGTACTATTTTGTATATGCGTATCATTTAATATAGAATACCTAAGTATTTACAACAGTCGCATGAGTTAGATTAATTTAGAAGATTATTTATTGTATGCATAGCCACTTACTACTAGATTTAACGATATTATGAGATCAAATTATTAGTTACATAGAGTGTACACATTATAGCAATTCACATAAAATGTGTAATGTATAAAGATGCAAAGATTAGTTTAACTCTTAGATCGCTTGCTTACTCGTTTAGTTAAGATCGTACTGGCAAATTATTAATAGTAGTGAAACGAATGAACACGTGTAAGCTTAGCTGAATCGAAGTAGCTATTATATTAGTGCAACTGTACAACAGTGGAGTAGTAAAGTGAACATAGATGTTGCAATTTTAAATTTCTTTAGTATGATGTAGTTGTATGATAGCGAATTTGCGAGATTATTGATAAGATTTTTGTCTATTGTAGGATGAATTACTAGCTTCTGATGAAAACATTATTATTAGATGTCATGAGCTCATATCAGCTGAACGAAATATCTACGATTGGCCTTCCAATCGAAGTTACCAAATGCACAATGGACCGAACATTGTGAATGACTATGATAAGAATTTAGTTTGTATAAATCCATCTGCCCTTCAGACTGTTAGTACGATAAATAGCGGCGACAGTATGACTGCTAGCCATCATGTCTGTAAAAGGCAAGTTTCTGTTTTGAGCTATGCTCATTACTGTCGTTATCGAGCGACGCGGAGTAGGCTGTGCGAGTCATATCACAAATGGAAACATAAAGACTTGACATGTGCTATAGGAGACGTTTCGCACGATTTTCAACGTATCTTCTTCTGTCGAAGTAAATTTTCATCTCCGGAAGTTCAACTAATGAAGCAAAATCGTCAATCATTAGGTGTAACTATAATTACATAGTCAATCAGAACTTTGTCAATATAATATCGCCAGTCCTATTGTTGTTGACTGTCTACTGAAACAGTTAATTAATTACGACTTGGGATCTATAGTACCTGTCTTAAAAGGACGCCCTAGGAAAAAGAAAAGATCAGATAACAGTTCCTTTACCGATACTGTCTCGTTTAGAGAAACTAGGCAAATGGTTGCAAAAAGACATAGTGACCGCAAGGTTCGTCATTTGACGTTAAATTAATGTAGTAGTCGACAGTTTATTGAACATATTTATATTCGCACTAATTTTAATAATTCTACGTAGCATTTAACAAAATTAATACGTGCTTACACCACGATTAGAGTTTAAAGCCTTTAAATGAAGAAACAGCTTTCATCACCAGCCTATTCAAATTTATGAGAGACAGAAATACACCAATCAAACACATTCCAGCTCTAGGATTCAAAAAAAGTAAGGTCTATATAATCATTTATGGGAACAATGTATATATACAAATTGTGATATTAAATTTCGTGTCTATTATTTCTATTCTTGGACATTAAAGTAAGTATGAGTATATTATTACCAGATCAGCATATCTAAATGTTTAATGCTGATCATATTATGTAACTTCTAATACATAACAATGCTTCTTAGTTAATCTATGGTCCCTTTATCGGCTAACTGAAAGATTAGGAGGATACGAAAAGGTCACTATTACCTATTAGTATATTATTTTAAATACTGAGTAGACTATTCATTTACCTAATTATCTGCCCAGGTTACTGCCAAGCGATATTGGCGTAAAGTATACGATGGACTCGGAGGCAGTAGTGGCATCACGAGTGCAGCGACGTGCACAAGAAAACATTATGAAAGGCGAGTTATGGCATTTTTATTTATGCATAAAATTGATTGATTGACTGAATAGTTTTTGTCCTCTCCGAATTACCCTACAGACTCATTTTGCCATATTTAGAATCTATGAAAAGGCACAATAATTCTTCTGACTCCGAATCAATAGAGCTGTAATACAGATATTTCGGTATTTATGTTACATGACAGCGATGAACTGTACGAAATTGGCACCTCTTGACAAAGTTCTTCCCTCGTTTTCTTAAGAAATATCGATTTGTTGAGAAATCATTGAATTTATTTTATCTTATTCAATTGAGTTTATTTATTCACTATGAGTATTTATTAGCGAAGTACCTTTGAAAATTAGGTAACAAATTTATTTCATAAATTACGGTTATAGTATGGTATATTTGTAAGGGTGATCATGAATCTATGGTATTTTCTACGTTTAAATGAAATGAACTATCCATACTAATGGCTTAAACGCGTTATTGTGAGTTCCATAATGGATGGCTTACTACTACATACTATACTTGGTAATTATCGTGCGCTTAAATGACTACATAATGTCAGCAGGGTTATGCTAATAAGAAGCTGTAGGTAAACTGTAAATCAATAAAGCCAATATTTACACAATTACTAGACCTGCTATTTTTGACAGCGTGTCTTTTTAATGGGTAGGTGATGGGGATAAGAGATTCAATTATCAGATGCTGCGAAGTAGTTTTTAGCCATTAGCCTACCCATAATCATGCAAATTACAATATCATTTAGTTATAGCCGTACAGGATATGCTATAAATTTTCCGATTAATTAAACAAGTACAATTACGATCACAAAGACAAAGCCCTATGATCAATTTGTTCTAAAATACGAAGATCTTTTATCAAATACGTTTGTTAGTGAAATAATGTATCTTTCTGCTAATACTGATAAGTAAAAGATAAATTATGTAAACTTGACCAAGTATGCATACTTGTCTTAATCTCTCATTACTTCTGAGTACGGTATGTTATTACACAATTACGTAACTGAGCATTTTAAAATTTAAAATTTTAATGTAACAATTATACACAAAATTTACTTATTTCATTATGAAAAATCATCTAAAAAATTTGTTACTCATAGGACCGAAACTTTAATAGCTCTACCGATTATATTATTTATTATTTTATTAAATTTTTTACTAACTATTATTACTGAAACTGTCATAGAAAAAGCAAGTTTAGTTAAGATAATAATATATATAGTTACACAGTTCTGAACACATTGCAGGAAACCCAGATTTAATATATTATAATATGCACCCACCGACTACTAAGGTATGAATAATCAGAAAGGTATTAAAAGTTTTGAGAAATTAAGTTTGATTTTCTTGTACTGTACAACAATAGAATCAACACCATTATGTATTTTCATGAGATCTAATAGCTTAAGGGAATGATAAAAAATATCTACTTTAGCTCCTGTTAGATAGATCTATGCAACAATAAAATCTTAAAGAGGAATTCTTGTTACTTTAAAGAGTCGCTTTGATCAAATTTGTTGATCAATCGTCGCTTCATATACTTCCAGTATTTCTTTCTAATAGGATCAATCTCATCAGCTAAACGATCACATATCTAAAAGATTATAGTAGACACTTTTATTCGCAATCTTTACGTTTAAATTTATCGAAGATTGCAACTATGACAATTCAAAATTTGATCAAACTCGGATAGAGAAATTCACATGCCTCATTTGATTTAGCAAGCAACTTCATCTTGTAATTGTTTTCGGTACTGCCATGTACATCGTCTAATTCTTCTTCGTATAAATCAAATAAGAATGCTAATAAATGAGATGATTCTAAACCTTGAGACAGTAAATAAGTACAACCAGATTTCAGATCAGGATGGAGGTAGGCCTTCATGCGTCCATTAAGGACTCTATTGAGAAAGATAACATTTTTGAAGTCTCTTAAATATAATCTTATAAAAATGATGCAATTAGATTATAACATAGAAATTTCATGGGAGGCTATGACGAATAACAAGATCATATTATACTTCAATAAAAAAGCATGCACCCTCTCAAATAATTCCAGGAACTTTCATTGTTAGGCGCTTTCGATATCCAATGCCAAGTAAAACTAAAATCAGTAAGAAATAAGATTATTTTAGCTTCTGTCTGCAATTTTATTGCAACGTAATCCTTTATTAGTTTTGATATGTTTAATACTGTTTGTTGACCTATGGTAATATAACCTTATTTCGTTATTGAGAACATCATCATTGAAACCAATTGTGTTATTAATAACATAGTAGCGCTGATTCCAAGCAGAGTTGTTTCTAACATCTTCTTTAATTCGATCAGAAGTATAAGCTAATTCATTATGGCCATTATCATTCCACAAATTAAAAGTGTTTAAACACCATTGACGATGCTGCCAAGCATGAAAATTTTTTGGATCATCTTGTAAGACTTCTGTGGTAAAACTTAGCTCCTGAGTTGCATCATGTAACCACTCCACTAGTACTCGACGGTGGTACCACACCTGATAATTTTTAGGTTCTTCGATAATGAAATTTCCAATCATTTCCAATTCATCCCATAGATTCTTCTTCAGTTCTTTTAATAACCTTCGACGATATTGCCTAACAAAATCCCCAAAAATGAATATGTTATAATTGTAGGAAAGATACCTAAAAGTGAAAAATTTTGAGTTTGAAAATTGAAATTTATACTATGATTTGGTCAAGCAACAAGCGCACAAAATGAAAGAGTCAAGCTAGTGGCAGTTAGCCAAAATATCTCAGATAAGGTAGCCCTGAAACGATACATAGTATACAGTACAGCTGTATGCACTGTAATGTGCACACACGTAAAATCTATTTACAGTATGTAATATACAGTAGATATGGATAGATAGATACACTTTAAACACTGCAGATCCTCGCAGTTATGCGCTAGAACTACAGTACAATGCTTAATTAAGGTTAAGCAGATATGACACTACAGATTATGAACGACTAAGAATTGAATCTTACCATACTGTGTAGTTTGCCGGACATATTGCAATTGCATCGGATGTTAGTTTAAAGGCGCGTTCACTGACTTCTTGACTCTTCATAACAGCGCGGAAGTAATCAAAAACGTCTTTAACTGATGTTCATTTCATAATCAAGTTATCAAGAAAAACGAAAGGCAATTGGCAACTCATAACTATGACCAGAATATTATATTATTATTTTTAATTCCGGACAAAAAGGGAAGAGTAAAACAACGAACAAATCATGCATGTTGCAATAAAAGTTTATTGCTCTGATGTAGAAGCTTCTTTGTCTAACACTTGCGTAACTAGCTATTCTTCATGCTCTGTGTCCAGCAAGTAATGCCTGCACAGCTGTAGTGAGTGCGAACTTTCGAAAAATTTTGCATTAAGGAATCCGGATCATTCAAATCCATAAAGTTCGACACCGCAATCAGCAGATACAGTTCCACGATCTCCGCATGTGTCCTTTATAAGCTTTTATTTTATTAAATTAACAGTTTTTAACTTTAATCCTACGACAATTTGAGTCAGGTTCAAATTTGTGTTAGATTTGTATAGTATTCGTAGCTACTTGCATCTCTTGTGTGCTTAAAATCTCAAGAAACTGGGTCGTAATATCATAAAATTGAAATTGAAGTAAAGTACCATTCTATAACACTTTTCTTTTCTTACTTCGTGGAGCGTTGCAAGTACTGTACTGTGCAGTAATAATCTCCGAACAGCGCACTTTCGCTGAACACAGTACAGTACTGGAAAGTTTAGCGTTTGAGAACCGCGTTGAGAACTAAGTGCAGTACTTACTTACACTGCTCTGAGTATGCGATGGTCACAACGGACACAGAGCCGTCATTTTGTTCGATAGGAGTGACATCTGCCCATTCGGGATTATATCGACATAAAGTGCTCTCTTTCACATTTTCTGATGATGAGGAATCGCCGAAGGACGCCATTACAATTTTCGTACTGACTACAACACAACTAGTAAACGAAAGTGGCATGAACAGTACTAGTACTGTACTGTATAGTACATGTACAGTAGTACAGTAGTACTGTACTGTACTGTACACTGTAACAGAGCGTACCGGTAAGATATTGTACTGAATGTACAGTACAGTACTGTAAAGTATCTGTACTAACATACTGTAGTACTACTGAGTGTGCATTCGGTCTTCACTGTAATTTCTAGTTTCTAATCTCAATCGCCGTGTAAAGCAAAGTGACAACGATTCCTTTCAATTTAATTTAACTATCTATAAACTACTACAGCATAACGTAAATGTACGAGCGTTAAATTGGTATGGATCACATAATGTCAGCAGATACAGAAAGTAAACCTGATTGTGAAGAAAAAAGTACCAAAGAGTGGAAAGGATTAGAATCAGTTAGCAACGAGGTTGAGAAAGCCGCTACGAAAATAAACGTTGCTCATCAACAATATCATCAAGATATTGATGGCTTAATAGAATACGTTGCTAATGTACAACAACAATTTACAGCCTTAAAAGGTATCGATCATCGGTGCATAGTTGATTGAAATAATTAACTATCCATATACAGTATATCTCCTTTTGAGAGATTTAACCTGCAAGGCTTAACTTCGTGGATGATGAATCGAATACGCGTACAGTAACATGAAAAAGATCGCAATGTGCAGTACAATCTCTACATACGTGTACTGTACACTGTTAAGCATGAGACCTTCGTTTCTAGAACTTATTTTATGATGCACTAAACATGAAATTGAGTAAAAATCAGCAAACTCACCCAAATGGTTGAGCCTAATGTACAATTTGTTTAAAAAAACAATACAGTACAATGGTCGTATAATCATACTCTTTTGTATATTTCACGCATATGTAAGAATTGATTGCTTCTGATGCCACTTTTAACTTTGTAGAGACCGATCAAGATCCTATATCCAGCTTTTCAATCATTCAGTCCTTAACGCGAACCATAGAACGTATCAAGGAGACTGTATCGAAAATTTCCAGTAATCATAAAGAACTTCATTCCAGTATTTCGAAAATAGGAAAGGCTATTGATAAGGTGTGATCGTATTGCCCGAGAAATTTCGATGGCTATGCTTTCCAATCTTTGACTCTATTTTATAAAAATAAACAGTCATGGACAGTAAACTTTCTAATCAGCAATGGCAACTTTAAAGAGTTATAAGCAATTTCAGTCCTAACTAGATCGATTTGTATGCATTTTCTAAACATTTTTACTAATTATTTGTCAGGTAAATTTCACTATACAATACCGTAATTGTACCTTGTACTACAGCATATCCAAATTTTGAATATTAATGTACAATAAAATGTACTAGATCGCAGTTAAGTGTTTAAGGTAGCCAACACTCTCGAATTAGAAGTTAATGATAAGCGTTTGCTAACTTCAGATATTCTTACAGAACTTTGTAACGGATGATCATATACTGGGCAAGGAAGACGTCGTGGACGCAAATAAACAAGGCGCATTAATGGAAATCATCTGTGAACATTTACTACGGCTTGGTTGTATCGATGTCGGTAGAACCCTTATTAAGGTTCTACATTCAATCAACCAATTTTATGTATTATTATATATCAATTATTTAATTATATACAGTATAAGTGCTGACATATGTCTACAAATATAGATCTAGAATCATAACCCACTCAAACAATTGTATCTTTGCTAGGAGGCAGAATTAGATTGGGACGAATCTAGACTAGAGCCTTTTATGGAATTAAATCAGATCCTGCGGGCATGTAGAGACCATAACTTAGATCCTGCAATGCAGTTAGTAAAATTTTATCACTTCTTAAATATTTTTAAATTCTACCGTAATATAGTCGTATGCATCGGATAATTTAGAGGTCGTAGATACGTATATCATGTAAGACATAGTAAATATTTACAGATGGGTAGTGCAACACAAACCTGCCTTGGATGCTAGAAATAGCCCGTTAGAGTTTATGTTACATCGAATTAAATTTATATCGCTATTGCAAGATAATGAACGCCGGGCTTTGGAATATGCTCGTCATTTTAGCAGCTGTAGCCAAAGACATCAAAAAGGTCAACTAATTTATGAGTGAATTATTCCAGTAACAGTTAATATGATAATCTTACATAAAACAAATATACTATCTCTCACGGATGAATAAATTATCCTCTGCTACAGAATTACAAAAGTTGATGGCATGTTTCCTATTCAGTAAAAATGGTCGTCTTTCAACTTCACCCTATGCGACGTTTTTGAATCCCAATATTTGGATGGAGGTTTGCGATGTCATTGTTAGTGATGCTTGTGCTCTAATGGGTCTACCATGCGAGAGCTCGTTAGCTATAAGGTATTAGATTATGATCTGGCTACGACGTTCTTATCGCGTTTTCACAACGCTGTATATTGGTAACGGATTTGCAAAAAAGGAAAAATATGCTACAGTTATATCCGCTATATTGACTTCTATTTTTGTTTATACAAATTTTATCTAATTGCAGTTTAAATGCGGGTTGTTTAGCTGCAACTTCTCTTCTAATGCTCAAGTCTCAATTAAAGTATCCTCACTTACATGATGTTTGGTCGAACGCTGATGAATTGCCTGTATGTTTTATAATACATATTTAGTTTCGTTTCGAATAGTTAACAAAAATTTTATTTTTACAGATTGAGATTGACTTGGGCCCGAAATATCGGTTCCATTCGGCATTTGCTTGTCCAGTAATGCGAAGTAGAAGTACGGAAGCGAATCCACCCATGAGGCTTTCTTGTGGACATGCAATTTCCAAAGAAGCTGTCAACAAGCTATTAACTGGCAGCAAGTAAGAGATTTTAAGTATTTAATCTATATGGTTTATTACAATATGCTCATTATCGCTCATACACATACACGTATTTTTCAAGTGTTTATATACTACAATTTCATTAATTTAAACTTAAAATGTAATTAGGATGAAATGTCCTTACTGTCCTCAAGAAACCCGTAGGGACGAGCCCATGGAATTACACTTTTAAAGTCAGGTAATAGCGAGATAATTCCTCCCTAACTAAGATCTCATTTGTCTGTTTGTCATAAGAGTATTACTTAGAAGTTTCCTTGATAATTTATCTTCCATTGTTATTATTCAGGCCTAATCTCGATTACATGTAATTAATTTAAAGTTAGCTGTTAACGATATATACGGTATGGTCATCTTGGCTTTCAAAGATACATCTATATATAATGTTAAATAGGTATAGCTGTAACCATCCCAATTTTTATCGTTGCATGTGCTCAATATAAAGATGAACTCCTGTACTATATTGTATCATATACTCTAATATCATAAATGAATTGGTATAACCTATAAAACTCTAAATGTTTAATCCTTGGTTTTACTACGTAATTCTTGCTATTGTACTCCATTGCGTGCCAGAACTCCTGATGCCAAGAGTTATCGCGATTTTTATGATTGATTAGAAAGTAGCCCTTGCTTTCACGCATTGCAACCTTGCCTCTGCTTATGATAATGAATAAACTATGGTATCAGGAGCGCTCGATAATTAAAATGTGTGCTATACTCGTATCTGTTATTCATTGTATGTTATCCACAGTATAAATAGAAAATTGTAAATACACGTACAACAGTGTATTGATATCTGACAATAATATGGCAATTTAGTAAGATTTCATGGGAATTAAATATATTAATAGCGAAAATATATAATACTGCATATTTTGTAGTAAAAGATGTAAAAAAATTTCGAATGGCATTCGTTAACTATAAAATCTGATACGAGGGCACTATCTCGTTCCTAGTTACTTAAACGAAAATGGCTGAATACGCGTATATAATAGCTTTGAAATCTATGATCTGCTAATATTCATTTTCAATACGGTTGGTATCTGTAATCGATTTAAGAGACTTTAAAATTATCTCTTAATGTTAATACAAAACGGTGGTAAAAGCGTAATCTTGGAGATCATATTTAGCATAATTCAACTACAAACTTTCTCGAATACGATTATTAGCAAAATATGACGTTAATCATTTCCTACCTGGCCTTTGAAAACGACGAGCAATGTAATTTGCCGTGTTACCGGCAGTGCCTAATATTTATTGTACGCTTAAAATATGGTATTTATTTATAGGCGTATTTGTATAGTAACTGATTGTCTTTAACCGATATAACTCACATCGAATTATTGTAGCAGTTCATTGTGCACTCGTCTATGTTACATTCACATTGCGACGCAGTAAGCCGCTATTTACTTCCACTTTACACTATTCACAGCAATGCGGCAGTACAGTAAACTTCACAGTAGCGGTAGAGTACTCAGCGGGACTCCTACAGTGTATCGTCTATAACTTTAGATCTCTGTACGTACAGTACACAGTCTCCTTTTACCATCGATGCATGTATAATGTACAGTATAGTAGGCCGGTTCAGCATGCACAAAGTTGCAAAAAAGTCAAGCTGGCATACTCGGTGACTGTCATGCTAGCGATTTAACCTCTGACACCATGGAAGTTAATAAAAAACACCGATCAGATATTATCGTATTAAATCAGCGCTCGTTATTATCACACAACAATTAATCTAGTTATATCATAGTACACTACAACAACTGAACTATGATTGCATCTGTCTGATACTTGTATGCATGCGTGAATCATAATATCAATAAGCGTCAAGTGTACCCTACTATTCACTTGCGTTCAGTGATATACCAATCTTTTACTTCGAAATCTGGCCTAAGAAATATTCCCAGGTATGAATTTAGGATGTGATTATCATTATACTGTAGACACTGCGCTTGTATATCTCAATGATAACCACAGTTCTGTACACCAGCAAGGACTACTAAAAGGAAAGAGACGAAACAAAACAGGAAACGGCCGTTTACTATAATAATAACATGAAGGCTGATAAATTAATTATTTTACTGGCCATTTCAACCGTATCACACGTCTTCAACGGTGAACTATACTGTCTCTTATTAATATCCAAATTAGCCGCTATTAGCCTGCTAAGTTGGTTTTATGCTGTATGGTATACGGTTTCATTGGTACGGTACAGCAGAATGATCAAAAAAGTGATAAACCTCCACATTATTTTGTTCTGAAGGCCGTTTCCTGCCCCACCTCCTTCTTATTGGTAGTCCCTAGCACCAGCATGTGGCACACATCTCTCTACTGTCATTCCTTTTTTAATATTATGAATTATTGCATACTGGACCATTCGCTATATGACACATCATCATACTATGTACCAACATATACACGTATTTATATACTGAATGCCTCAGAATATGCACACAACATGAGAAGAGGTATTTAGTTTAATGAAGTCATTTTCAGCATAGTAATTATTTTCAGATAGTAGCTATGCATTGTATAGTATGCAGCTACAGGAATGTGTCAGAATAGAGCGTTGATACTTGTCATAGTAGATCATAAATAATAAAATGTACTAGAAGCCAACAGACAAAGTAAATCTATCTTGCTACAATAAAACTTAAAAGGCATGATTTCAAAGTCATCAAACATATTTAAACTATTTATACAAACGATTTTTATCACTACATTAGCATCATTATTGCAATGTACATTATCGCTAGCGCCATCATAAGAATTGCAAAACGATAAAGAAAGGACGAAACATCAGTCCATCCATTAGTAATCATACTTTTAGGAAATCTACAGCATAAATCTAGGTTATATAGTTCTAAAATACTAAATTGATCCATAAGAACTCAGTAAGTTATAACGTCTTCGTGGCGTATTCTTAATAGATAGCACAAATATAACAAAACTTATTCCAAGAAGAATAAGTAAAATGCACAGCAAAAGGGCAATTATAAAGCCAGACCCTCCAAATTCAGAAGTGAAGTAGGCAGCTTTTTGTGGGATATAGTTGGTTCTATCGAGCATATATCCCATTGGCCAGCTTAAATCAGAGCCGTTAACCTATTAAAATTAAAATGTAGCGTGTCTTCTTAATAATCTGAGATCAAGCGCAGGTAAATAAAGTATTCACTTTATAGTTGAATCATATAATTACTTTTTTAAGAAATAGTAACTGTTTCCACATTCTCTGATTGAATCCGTACCCATACTGGAGAATAGTAAGTATATAATGTAACCTAAAACAGTACACTGGGAGTTCCGATTTATTCGCCGATGTTATATATACAATCTGTAAGAAATCAATAGTAAGAATATGAGTAGAATTACGACAAATAAAGAAATTCTTATATTTTCATACCTGCGACCACGAAAGTGAACATAAGCGCTTTACTGAGTTCTTAAAAGCCGTCATTGAAATATTACCATCGGTCGTGGTAAGGTTTAAAAATTTTACATCGTAATAAAAGTAAGATGATGCCTGAAAAGTATTGATAAAGTATCGTCTAGCAATAAAAGTCTTATATCGGAGATCTATGCATTTAATTAACTGCTTAGTAGCTAATGTACCAGATATAATTATGCTATTTCTTGCATATGCAACTTACAGCATATTTTCCGTGGAGAGCGGGTTGAAAAACTCCATTAAATGAGCACGAATCATCACATTCTGTTTTATTAAAGAGGTTTTTGACTTGCATTTGGCATTTTTTTGCGTTAAAATCTCCGTAAAACGTAATGTTAACAGGCATATTAGTTACACCTGAAACAATAATTTCATTATCCAAGTTAGTTTGACTGACTAAACCAAGGCTGCATGGTGCCTTATATAAGTAGTAAATGGTTCTATTAAAAACTGCTCCATTCGGCGCACAAGGATCTACGACCATATTCAGACTTGAAGAATTCTAAAATACAAAGAGATCCGAGTGTAAGCCAATGGCAATAAATAAGCGTGCTATCGTAATAACCTGTATATTATAGCCCTGTTAGTACTTTCATATAACACTTACAGACGCCAAGCTTGCTAAATATCTTCTTGTGATTTCATTGATGCCGTAACACAGGAAACTATGTGAATAAACTCTATACTTCGTTCCAAACAAATGAAAATTATTTTCATACTTAGGATGCAGAGTAACTGCAGACTTAGGACTAAAGGATATCTGCGTCGAAGCTCCTCCCATATCTAAAGCTCCGTAAGTTTCGTGGTTAGTTGTTGTATCCAGATAGGTTACCGGAAAGCTCTTAAAAAACATAATAAAATTATCATTTTACCTATGTTCAAGCCAGTATTTACACCCCTTTGTGCCTCGTGATACTGCATAGTTACTAAAGCAATGATAGCAAAGCGAATAATAAAATCGACTAATAAATTTTCATCTACTACCTCCCTGGAATGGATCACACCAGTAATGTAATTAATAGCAATCCAAGCAAAAGCTCCTTCCTTTTCCCCAGTAATTATCTTTACACTTTCATTTGATGTCTTAAACGGGAGCTTCTGAAATACGTTTCTAATCGAATGTAAAATTGCTTCTGCTTGCGATCTGTTCACCGCTCTATTGAATATACGGTAAATATTCCATTAGATAATCGTTCAGTACGTACTATAGACTTTGACAGCGCCTATAACTTGTCTTTCACTTTCTAGTAGCAGTACAATCGTACCCTATATTGTGCATTTATCACTATAATACCGTAGCTACTAGAGTAATTGTTTTTTTGGCAATCTTTCATAGTTCATAGTCTGTAAATGTAAATTCCGAATTTCGCGCAAGGAAGCATAAATAATTATATAATTTGTAGCAATGATTATGTTTTCATCCAAGACACTAGTTTCCATATGACATTAGAATTATTAGAGATAATTACTGTAGAAGCCTCATCCCAGCGGTAGCGCCTAAAAATAACTCAGTTTCCGATCTCTCGTCTATAGGCACCAATGGAGTTATCGCCTTTGATATGCAAGACAACAGCGGCATTACTAAATCGCCAGGATGACTACCATAATCCGCAATTCCGGACCCTAAGAGGAGACATCATTCATACTATCAGTACGCTCCCATGATCACCTTCTGCTGCTTAATGAAGAGATAAATTACAGATGGAACTTGATATGGAATTGTAGGCATACAATATGGTACTAGTAAACACGAAAATAGACTCTAGGTGACACGATACTGTATCTGCATTCCGTAGTCGTAAAAGAATGAATGCAAAGTTAGTGTAAGCGTGTCGTAAATACATTTGCAAAGAGTTGTAACAAGGTTTCAAGTAAATGGTATAAATTTTCTGTTCTACACATGCATCTATTAATGATACAACAATATATCTAGTTAACGCCTGTACGTGAGAATCATACAAAATGAACTTAAATATTGCAAACAAGACTAGCGCATAACTCAAATTATCAAGGCTACTAATAACATATATGATTATACCTGCGCATTTTATAGATGCTAGTCGAGAAATAACACCAGTACAATTGATTTTCAAAGCAGGCCATGAATACAGATTGGCTTGAGTGTGCGTCGAGCCGGCATCGATTACAACACCAAACTACAGAAATGACAAAAACATTAGTGACCATTTAATCACTCTTAATTACTAACTCAGCAATGTTTAGCATTGGCTGTCCTACATGTACAGTATGTACAGTACAGTACTGTACACGTATACACTCAACATAGATACCAGATATTATGACTTACATCAATTATTACACCATCAGATGTATCCAAATACAATGCTGTACAGTACTCATTAAGTTAGCGAATCCATTTTTACGGTAAAAACTCAAACATAACGCTACTCACCTACACAATTGAACGCATTGAATTTCGAAAGCAGATTAACAGAAAAAGAAATTGCAAATTCTACCTGCCGTGGTATGACAGCAATCTTTCTCTGATGCAAAACGGAAAACGTGATAATTCCAATTATTCCTAAGATTCCAAGTATTAAAGCCAGACACAAACACGTTTTCTTTGTTGGCTGAAATCCCTTTCCTATACTTGACGGAAAATGATCATAAATACCTGCTGTAGTCTTAGCTGGTATCGGATGAATTTCAAATTAATTATTAAATTATTTGGCGAATTGGCGGGTAGCAGCAATATAATATCCATTAGCCGACATTAAGCGTTGAATCATCAAATTCATCATTGCTCCAAAACTAGCAGCGATGTTACAAAATAGCAATAAAATGTTGTAATCCATAAGAAACGTTACTGTACTTTTCGATGATTAAATATTGACTGCAAAAAGTGTTCGGATTAAGTGCATTGGACGGACCTTGCAAATTCTTATACTATATCAATGTCTAATACACTTGATCCAAGTGTTCAAATGTCTCGCGCTAATACTAGAGAGAATTTGAGCATTATACCGTATGAGCAAAATACCAATTGTGATACCAATCTACCAATCTAGGTAGGAACCGTATACCGTATATTAAGATAATCTAGTTGTAAATTTCTTTTAATTTATTGCTTTGTGCAGATTATATTCCAGTTCATTTAAACGGGTAATTTACTGGTATTAATTAATTAATTGATATAATTAGCCATATTACCCTAATGGTACTGTACGAGTACATACTTAAAGTTTTAGCAGAGTAAAAAGAACCAGTAATTTGTACAGTAGTTGGCATATTCAAAGCTTTTACACATGACTGTATTACACTTTCTATATTTTGACTTTATTTACAATCACGATAAAATCGATTTCTTTTCTTTCAATTAATTAATACAGTAATACGCTTCGAAGTCTCACTCTTATGCCTCATAAGATCCATAGAGAAAGGGAAAAAATATCCTTCATCTGCTGATAGATCACATAAATCCATACGACGTACTGCAAAAGTGAAGTTCCTACAGTAATAAGCGATATACTGTACTGTACTGTATACTCTGTAGTGTACCGTACATACAGTACAATTTTTATTTTATTTTACTACAATGATTTAGCAAGATTTGCAGTAGTTGAAATACTATAGATTTGATCCAAAATACTAACTAAACTGTCAAATTGTAACGCGTTGCTGGATCAATTCGACTAAACCGCTTATATTCGAATTGATCCGCGATGTTTATTGTTTACTGTACAGTAGTATATTGTACCTGAAACACGCGTATACTGTACAGGTGTACTGACGTAGGTATACAAATACAAACATGAATACAGTATCTCGCTGCAACAACAACTAATGTAATTTAACAAGCTAGCTTTGGCCTGCCGGGACGCTTCGCCAGGCAGATTGATTATCTTATAATTATTAGTAGTGTTCATTCATGTACGCCTATCATAATCAGTAGTACAGTATGTGATGATCGTTTAAAAAAGTCACGATATATTAGATTAGATTATACGGGTAGACTCGTATTTCGTAATACAGTATGTATGGAGTTCATATTATATTGTGGCTTCTAACCTTGATATAGTAGATAGACCACCGCATCATCTTCGAAATTAGTTGCCGACATCTCGTCGCATAGCAGGTTATCATTTTCATCGTACAAACCGTAATAACCATTTATAGTTAGCAAGTCAATACCAGTTTCTTCTGCATATTTTTGTTTCATCTGAAGGATATCATCACCCATTTGCATCTCAACAGTGTGACGAGCAACGGATTTCTTAAATCGCCGTTCTATGATGATTCTCATCTTTCGTATGTATGATTTATAATTAATAATAATAATAATAATAATAATTATGCTATATGCTGTACTGTATGTGGCGTATATTTTTTATATGTAACTTATAAAAAATATGTCATTCTACTACTTTCTAATAGTGTTTCATGTCGGAAAGCTTTACTACAAGTATAGTGGAAAGACCCACGAAATGAACACCTTTGCAAATCTCATCCTTTAATTGTAGATCATATTGACATGGTACTAGATGTTTCAGATTACTTACTGACAGTGAAATATTTCAACGCCTCAACTCTCGAATGACTGATTATTACAGTAAAGTACTGTACAGTACAGTACTTAAACTGAGACTGAGTACAGTACTGTAGAATAGTACTGTACTGTACTGTACTGTACTGTACTACCTTATTGGAATCGTCAGTAATGTACTGTACAGTGTACAGTACAATATACTGTAGGAGAGCTGTGCCGTACTGTACAGTACTGTACTGTACTGTACACTAGTGTACAGTACAGTACACGGAATACTCGAAGCATATCGATCGAACTAAAATTCTCAAAAGCGCGTTGTGATTGGATGAAAAAAAATAAAAGTATTCTGATTGGTTAGTGAGTATATCGCATACTTTACTGTACCGTACTGCATAGACGTGCAGTGTACAGTACTGAACACTTGTACAATGTACAGTACTGTACAGTACAGCACAGTGTGCAGTAGACCCTTAATGTGCAGTACTGTATTGTACAGTACAGAGGGTGTAGAAATTCGATCTACTGTACAGTAGATTTAAAAAAAACAGATAAAATGATCATTTCACAGTACAAACTGTACAGTACATTTTGTTCGTTATAACAGTACTGTACGGTGCGTGCGTGCGCGGGCCGGGCCATAAAGTAGAGGAAAGCCAACGATAGTTGTGAGATAACTTACTGTACACAGGCTACAAGCAAATCGAATATGGCCTCCTTAATGGTAGGTTATAATCAGGATTAAATCTTATGTCATCTACCATTTTTTCTCTGCATCGATATGCTATAATACGATTGAGATAGAGTTACAGTTTAATCCAGGGATTTGATATGAAATTTTGTATTATTTTATTAATAATTTATCGAATACTTAACGGGCATCGCAAACGTTTTACAGCAGCCACAAATCATTCTGTTAAAAGATGGAACTGATACTTCCCAAGGAAAACCGCAACTGATAAGTAACATTAATGCTTGCCAACTCATTGCAGACGCTGTTCAAACTACTCTCGGACCGCGTGGTATGGATAAGCTGATTGTTGACAGTACAGGTATTTTAGAATAGTTGAAAAGCTGTAATAGTGAACTATTATTCGTTAATTTTATCCGAGTAATTACAGTATATGAAATAGAATGACTGCACTGTTTCATATGCGAATACTGAAATAACCGTAGGCTGCTGCCAATGATAGTAAATTTCGGATCTGTAATCTGCTGAAATACTAAATGAAGATGTTAGTGCCGTGCATTCGAATAGCAGTATGTTGTAACATGATATATGAATCATGATGTGTTTCGTTTATTCAGAATAGAAGAACGATTGCTAATCGCAGTTAACTTTAGGCTAAGTTGAGAATTGATGAATTAATTTATCTATGTAATCGATTAATTGTTGTTAATGATAGGATTATTGACAGTAGTGCGAACCTTCGGATCAATTTCATTGAACCTGCTTTATTATTATTAATGAGCACAGAAATAGAATAAATTTTTTATTTTATATGCTTGAACTGTAAATTAGCTACGATAAGTTTTGCATTTTGCTTGTACATTAGTCGATTCATAATTTAATGCGCAAATTATGATTAATTTTCGTAAAAAGCTTTACTACACTGCGTAGCATTCCTTAATAAGCCTTATCCTTTGTTATTCTTTTTATTTACAGGTCGAACTACAATTTCAAACGATGGGGCAACTATTATGAAGAGGTTGGAAATCGTCCATCCGGCAGCAAAGATTTTAGTTGATATTGCACAATCTCAGGACGCAGAGGTAAACAACAGAGACTGAATTATCATTGTCTGAATCGTATCACCCCTGAAACCCTTTCTAATCAGCCAGTATATAATTATATGGTGCAAAATGGCGCGGCTGCCAGTTAATATCTTTGCAGCATGTATATTCCTAAACGAAATTTACTATTGTAATACATCACGAATCTATATTAACCCGGTTTCTGCAGCATTATCCTTCAATTGATATAGCTTAGGACTGACATAGTTGTATTAAGTTAAGCCTTATATTTCTTAAAGATTTATAAGGCAAAGTAATTAGAGGATGCTTATGCAATCTACTTGAATAAAATTTTATATGGATTCATAGATAACAAAATAAAATTCCTTGCAAGTAACATAATCCAATGTTATAACTTAATTTTTGGCAGTTGTCCGGGAGGAGCAATTGTCTTAGTCTGAATACCTTCCTGTAGCAATAACTATGGATTCCTTCCAACACCACAAATCAAAGCTCTCCAGCTTATTTAGTCATATTTAGTATCTTACTGACAGTAAAATAAGGGGGCTGCTACTGCCAGTAACTTTTAGGGAGTCTGGCAGTGAGTGGCAAGTAAGTTGCAGTAAAGCATGGCAGTAGAGACACACCAGTCATACTTATGGGAGCAATAATATTATTAAAATGTTTTGACCATTTATTATTAAAGTAGTCTAATATTACAGAAATCTAATCTGATAACTAAATATATAATGCAATAAGTGAAACTCGATAGCAAATGTTCTTTTTATCTAAACTATCGTGAGGTAACTCACATTAGTTTAGGCAACTAAAGTTGTTTTTAAAATTTTGTAACAAGTTTGCACATCTTTCTAATGCTAATTTTCGATATAGATCCAAGAGATAACTAATATCATTTATCTCTATGCAGGTTGGCGATGGAACGACTACGGTAGTTTTACTCGCTACTGAATTTATGAAACAAGTAAAGCTCTTCGTTGAAGATGGCGTTCATCCTCGTATTATAATTAAAAGCTTACGACGTGGAGCTGAACTGGTAATTATCACAATCTCTTAATAATATATTTGCCGTGAAGTTTGTACTCATCTAAAGATTATTGATTGCTGCTATTCAAAGTTTAAGTATTTTTCTGGTACAAACAGGCTCTAAGAAAAATTCAGGATATGGCAGTTCACGTTAAAAGTGAAGATGCGAGGTAGCTAAATCAATTATTTTGAATTATACATTTTCAACAACAGATCTGTTAGCATATAACCTTTAGCGTTTATTTGCTCTGTTTTTAGTGAGCAGAGAAAGCTGCTTGAAAAATGTGCAATGACTGCTATGAGCTCTAAGTTAATTTCTTCACAAAAGGACTTTTTCGCGAAAATAGTAGTAGACGCTGTTACTATGCTGGATGATTTATTGCCACTAGATATGATTGGCATGAAAAAAGTAGCAGGAGGCGGCCTACAGGATTCTCGCTTGGTGGCTGGTGTTGCATTTAAGAAGACTTTTTCTTATGCTGGTTTTGAAATGCAGCCAAAAAGATACCAAAATCCAAAGATTGTACTTTTAAATGTAGAATTAGAATTAAAAGCAGAAAAGGAAAACGCAGAAGTTAGGATCGATAACGTTAAGGTGTTGTAACGCAAGAATTTTCTGGTTTAATTTTTCGATCGCTCGTTATTTATATCGGAATTAATATATATAGGAGTACCAAGCAGTAGTTGATGCAGAATGGAAAATATTATATGACAAATTAGAAAAGATCGTGGAAAGTGGAGCTAAAGTTGTGTTGTCAAAATTGCCTATTGGCGATGTTGCTACTCAATACTTTGCTGATCGGTTCGTTATTTTAATTTATGGCTAATATTATAATAACTTGTTTAACTAATCTTTAATTGAGAATGGCTTACTTAATTTATCTATTGTTAGTGATATATTTTGCGCTGGTCGGGTGCAAGAGGAAGATATGAAGAGAACGTTAAAGGCCTGTGGAGGTAGTATCCAAACATCTGTCCAAGATCTCAAAGATGATGTTCTTGGGAACTGTAAGCTCTTCGTAGAGGAGCAGATTGGTGGTGATAGGTAAGGATAATTCTCAATACATGTTGCATTATAGTACGTTAGGATTGTTACAAATTTTCTCGAAACTTTTGGTGATAAAATATTACAAGACATCTGAACTATTTGGGAAATTGGGAAATTCTTCTTTTTCTCTCCGTTCGATAGGTATAACATTTTTACTGGATGCCCGAAGGCTAAGACATGCACCATTATCATTCGTGGTGGCGCTCAGCAATTTATGGAAGAAACGGAGAGATCACTTCATGATGCCATTATGATTGTAAGAAGAGCTATGAAGAATGATTCTGTTGTTGCTGGAGGTGGCGCGATCGAAATGGAACTCTCACGTTATTTGAGGGAATGCTCTCGTACGATTTATGGTAAAGAACAATTAATCATTGGTGCGATGGCAATGGCATTAGAAATTATTCCTAGGCAATTATGCGATAATGCTGGCTTCGATGCTACTAATATTCTTAATAAATTAAGACAAAAGCATGCAGAAGGTAATTTAACCAATTTAGCAATAAAGAAATATTTATTATATAATGCATTCAATAACAAATCTGCTCTGGTAGGAGGTATTTGGTATGGTGTCGATATCAATCGAGAAGATATCACTGATAACTTCGAAGCTTGTGTATGGGAACCAGCCATCATCAAAAATAATGCTATCACCGCTGCTGTCGAAGCTGCCTGTTTAATTTTATCTGTAGATGAAACCATCAAAGGTCCGAAGTCTAGTTCGGACGGTCCACCTCCGATTTCACGGGATATGGCAGGTCGTGGGCGAGGTAGACCTGCTAGACCTCGTGGCATGTAATTCCATCTCCGTTCGTTTCTTAATGAATTACAGGTTGTTCAAATTCGTGAAGGGCTTACAACTGTTGACAACAAAAGCTTATATAAACTTGTATTCTCGCCGGAAACCTAGAACGAAAACATGAAAGAAACCAATCACTTTTATCGTATTTGTAATTATAATACGTAGCTATTTGTGCTTATACCATACGCGTACTTCGAAATCGATGCATTCGGCAGTACATGACATTTGTATTGTTACAATGATTCACAATTGACTTGATTTATTTTATAACTTGCTCTAGCTATTTATAGAACTTTGAATGTTTCGGTTTATACTTTGTTTGATTGAAAGCAGTCTTTTCATAATAATAAAATACCGACATGGAATCCCTTCGCCTATTAAGTGGTCTTACCCATAAGTGTTTACAGTTAACAGTCTTTTTATAACTGTAATAAACATAATTATGGAAAGGAGAAGCGGTTATAAGCTTCTAGTAAGTGACTGTCTGTAGTAACACCATAATGTAGTATTTTTGTAATCGCAATCACGTAGAGTATGTGTACACTATTCATGTATAGAACTTGAAGAGGTGTACGTGCCTGATGTACCAATGTAAATGACTGAGTAATTACAGTATACTAGTCGAACCCACTAGTACTTGAATAGTACATCACCGTGCCATAGTAACCCAGTTGAAGGAAGTTAATATACGGTAGCACGTGCATTGCGTTAGTTAGATTTGTAGGGTGTAAAAGGTTCTAACTCAGATAACTGGAGTGAGACTAGCAGCTATCTTTCCACGAGAATATCTACCTTTATTAATTCTTCTAACCTCTTTATACACCGGAATCAATGCTCCAAACAATAATATCCGATACGTAACAGAACTACTGTACTACCATACAGTAACTGATAAGAATACAAGGTGTCATAAAATAAGATGGTAGCAGGCGCTAGCAATACGTAACACGTTCGTTCAAATTCAGTATCATTTAATTAATTAAATAGACAGTGTAATACTTCTGGGCACTTGCCAAGAAGATTATTACGTAGGATCAGAGCGATATAGCTCCGACTGTCTGATATTTAAGGGTTAGCTTTTTACTCTACTTCCAGGACCTCAGGAAAATTTATAACAACTAAATAACTTTTAGGGCTTCCTATGTATGTTATTTTATATCAACGCATTATGATAGAAAGCTATTGTAATGATATACTGTATGTACTGTACAGTTGAGGGATCCAATGTACAGTACAGTACAGTACAGTACTGTACAGTACACTAACGCAGTTGGCCAAGATATCTACAATTAAGTATCATACATATTATACTGTACTACAGACACTATACGCATGTGCCGTGATAATTAAAAAAAATTATTTATTTTTATACTGTATAGTAACTAGGATAATCCGCTTGTAATACAATATACTCTATTTGTCTATACTAAATATCATATATGAACATTTCGTAACATTAATCTATGAGATACAAAGTACAGTACAGAAGTGAGTAATAGAATGAACGTAAAAGTTTAAGTCTAATAACTTTTGAATTCTAACTAAAGGAAAATTAGGGGAAAACACCAGTTTATTTATGGTTTAGCAAACAACTTGGAAAAATTAATTAAAAATGATAATAAGGGCAGAATTACTGCCTCAACCAATCAAACTACCAACGTAAAATACGATTTACTCCCGAATACAGGAAGATCCTAATCTTCACTTTCTATCTTCAGCTAAGACTTGAACTACGCCACCTTTTATATGCTACGCAGAGCAATTGGTGGTAACATACAGTACTATCAAATTACTATTCTAAAGTATTCCAAACAAAACTAGCAATTAAACACATTTGATCAGATAAATTGTACCCCAGATTCCCAAAATTACTAAATCTACAAATTGTACTCTTCTACGGTATATAACATATAACTAAAAAATAGACTAAGACAGACTAACAATCTTAAATTAGAACCCAGATCGAAATGTTTAGGTTTACGCTGTATTCAATAACGAAGTATCATTATTTCAACTGTACTTTGTAATCGAAATTGGTTACAAGTTTTTTTTATCATAATTGAAGCATGAGCATTATACTAATTAAGTACATCGCATGAATTACAATCTAACATCGTGATATCCTTATCAAAGTTATGGTATAGAATATTCTTAATTTCTAACCCGAATAAAGAAGTCGGATTACAATATGTTACGATACTAAGGTAACCTTACTGTGGTTAAACCAAATTAAGTTATTTTTACGACTACAATACTTATTATAATAAGAAAAGCTTGAAGGAGAATTCTAAAAAATTAACCTTTATTACAAATGCATTCCGTATACTAAAATTCCGTACAGTATACCACCTGAATCCTGACGGATTGATATCAGTAACCCTAGTAATCGCGTAGTAGGTATGGTACAATGCAGATAGAATCCAATAAACAGACGCGCAGGCAATTGTTATACTGTACAATTAATTCAAGGCAACGTCTGTACGTTTTAACTACTACATGTGAGTAACCTGAAACAGCGCCTACTTCAGTAGAATCATACGTGTACGTAAATCAATTCAAATTCTAGCTAAGAAATTTCTGATATAGAATAGATAGTACTGTATGCACGGGCACCTTTACCGAAAAAGCAATTTATGAAAGGAATCAGGCATACGACTACAAATTCTGCTATTAAAGCCGAAAGTATTTATGCATTATGTCAAGGCCATATAGGCATTGTGTTAAAAAAAAGTGTATTGTATAAGCGTATATTAATTAATTAAAAGTTCAGTAAATGAAAAGAAATCATGCTGTCTAAAGGCATGCAGATTATATATATTTAAAATTGACATAGGGCACATAAAACTAAGTTTTCTAAAACCACTACATGACTCTGGGTGTTGTGCGTAGTCGGCTAATATAGTGCAAGTGTCCAATGTGAATATGTATTGAATGTGCAAATTATAATTTCAGCGAATAAAGTATGATAATTGTTATTTTAATTCATATAAATCATGTAACGAAATATTAGTTATAAGATCTTATAAGATCTTAGTATACAGTACATCAATTATATCAACAACCATACTCTTCTCCATATTTTTTTTCAGCATTTAACCGTTTATAAGGTGTATGAAAAAGTACTACTAGCAAACATGATGCGATTACAGCAAATGAGGACATAAATAGCAATGACCATGTCATATCAAGAGGTCCACTGTCTCTATTAGCCGTACTATTAGCGCAGTTAGAGTAAGGTATTTCAGCCACAGGAAGTGGCGTAGATACAGCCTGAGAAGATACGATACAAATAATTCCAAAAATTTGCCTAAGAAATAATATTCAAATTAGATGCTTTAAGCGGAAAAGAACATTTTTTATATCGAGATTAGCAATTTTTTACGATGTAATAACTAAGATTCATAGTAACATGCATTATACCCCGACATCCATAGAAGACCAGAACTCGTTGCTTCCGCTACAGGGTAAGTACATTCCACAGCTAATTCTAGACCGACTGGAAGAAGTCCAAATGCAAATGCTCCGAAAAGACATATACATAGTATAGTTGGAGCAGGTAAGCCCCGAAATCGGGTGATCTACAGACATAAAATAAGACTTATTATCATGAACTGTCGAAAATTCTACCTCAAAATCTTATATAAATTACGCAATAAAAAATATAAATAGCCGAAGAGATTTGCATTATACGAGGCATAAATATTTAATATATATTGCGAATACAAAATAGGATTGATAAAATATTAGAAGGTACACTTACCATAGAAAATGCTATTAAGGTGAAGGTAGCGCAACATATCAAGACCTTCGCGGTTTCGATAAACTTTTTAGTTCGATCTACATATACGCCGCTGAGAAGCGCTCCGATTAAGCCGCATCCAATCATAAGGGCACCGCAAAGCCCAGAGAACTCCTAATTGGATCGAAAGGAATTATGACATACCGATATATATCTTTAGTAAAGTATAAACTATTATATATCAGACATCTTCTTGCATTCATCGTACACGACATACATTACTATAACCGCGAACGCAGAGAACTTGTTCGATAACGGTACTCAATGCACTAAATATGCCGATTCCAACTCCCATACATATGAATAAAACAATATAAGATCGAGACTGGAATACCTGCAATAAATAATCCGATAGGCATGACGAATAGAATTAAAGGGATCAGTCAAATTTATAAATCAAAATTGAGATACATTGCTGATCATACCAATTTTAAGCCGTCAAAGAAAGGTTCCCCAACTTCTGCAGCTGATGAGCTAGGTGGTCTCGGCGGGGTATTCTCACAAAATCCTAAAGTAGCTAGAATAACAGCTATTGCCGGTATAATCGTATACAGTTCAAGCTAAGAAAATATGAAAATTAATGTTACTAACAGCTTCATAGCCATCGAACTCATTGCAGGAAAAATGCATGCATTACACTTACCATTAACGGTAACTTATTTGTACTAGTAACTATGACAGGAGAAAGAGCATTCGCCAGAAGGATTCCGCAGGGGTTTGCTGTTTGCAGCATTACAAATTTAATTTGATTAAGATTAGATCTTATTATTTTGAGCCGCAATTTAACGCTACTTACTGTATTCTTAAAATGTATTTATCTTAGAATGTAGCTATCACAGAGTGAAGGCTGCGGTAACGATACTGGTATCATGAACTTAAAATTGTGATCGTGGGCGACCAACATGTAACTTCTTAACGTACAGTGCTTTACTTTTAAAATGCTCTACTTTATCAAATACTAACCGACCACCACACTTATACCTTGCAATCGAATTTCATCACAATATTAACATAAAGAATTGCCTTAAAGAAGCAACTAATTCTTTATGTGATTTCTTTAACATACGATAGCAAATGATTTACTTTCACATACACATTGTACTTAGAGTGTTAGCGATAGCTCGTTGATTGCCAGGAAACCACAATGCCGCTAGTTTTGTTGGTGATTCCAACAAGAATGGTTGAGCAATTGCACCTAAGGTTTGTCCTATCATAACTACAGAATATTTGTATCTCTTATTTACAAAAGAGAGTCCACTCAAGATTCTGATTACTGCGCCAATTAAAGTGACATAAACACTGAATAAAACCTATAACAGAAACAAATCATTGTTAGGAAAAAATAATTGCTCTACGTTTATCAATAGAGATGAGCTAATACTCTGTTAAAATAAACATCTGTCCAGTTGACTAGAAACATGTTCCGTTAAGATCATATGGTATCACCAATCTGTAGCAGGAACGATCCTGATAAATTATTTATTGTTCACGTTCCTTTTATATATCTTTACCAAGGAGAAACTACTGACCCTACTACCGTAAATAATCATTCGTATCTTACACCTATCCGTAGGCCCCATGTATCTATAAGCCAGGACGAAAATAAACCGATTACCAGGAATGCAATCATGTAGGTCAAAGATAGGAAATCAACTTGAAAGGAGGTGACATTGTAAAATTCTGCGGTAACATCGGCTACTGATGCAAAAGATATCCACATCTAAGTGAAATATATACAGTGTTTAATTCAGTAAGTAAAGTTTATAAATCTTCGAACCTTAAAATTAATATGTAATCACAGCTAATCAATTTTAACGTTAAATGGTGCCGCTTTCATACGAGACCAGAATTTTCAATAAATCATCCGTTAATGTCAGAGTATGTAAATCGCGCCGTAATACTATGATATGCTACTAGTATACTTAGCCTAGGCCATAATATCATGGCCTTTCCAGATTAATATGTTGTAATATTAGTGTAGCTGTGCCTGACTTTGAATTAGGGATTGCAAATGTAAAAATTTGTGCCCCGGGTATGCTGTTCATAATTATAGTTAAATCCGGGTGCAATTACTACTAAGTACCTGAATGAATAATGTTTGATACCAGTAAATTCAAATATGGCCTCGATAATATGCTATCGAATTTCTTTAAAATTTCTTTGCTGAGTACAGTTATCTACATTATTTTTATCTGCATAGTTGTAATTATAATATTATGATAAAAGAGAATTAGAGATGTTTTAATCAATAATATTATACTCTATAATTATAATTAACCATTTTATGAAGATAGAGAACTCCTTGTCTGCAATCTTTATTCGCTATTAATTATCAGATGGTTACATGCTTACACTTTCCAATTTTGACGTTTCCTGTAGCTGATATAATATGGTTTTATTATTTCTTTAATAGCAATATAAACTAGTGTATCCGAACGTATAGTACTTAAGCTTTTCACTTCTTTCAATAAAGAATAGAATTTATTACTAGGTATAATCTGCAAGAAGGCAGTTAATTGAAGTAGTAAGGTATCGATTACTGAGTCATGAGTGAGAATTGGCTAGTCGTCGACGAATTATTCTAAAGCGGATAATTCAGTAAATAATCCCGAATTAATATAACTACAATTATGCCTACTTTTATTATACGTACAAGGGCTACTAAAAATTGTATACAATTACAGATATACAGTATGGCTAGTACGTGTACTCTTTAAAGAAATTATTGGAATCTTTTAATCAAAGATACTCGTATGTCCAGTCTCTTCCTCTAGCATCTCTAGTACCCACATTAATAAAGTTAGCCCAGTGATATTATTTAAGGACTACTAGTAGCCCTTACACTATTACACTGCATTCTAAAGTATTCTATCTTAATCAATGCACAGTAGTCACTGTTACAAAAAGGTTAATCGCGTTAATTACGCGTTAGCAGTTATTGATCAATTTATTCTATCTAACTGTAAGCTAATAATTACCGTAATAATATTTTAGGTTTTGCAATATGCAAGTACGGTACTCTTCAGCATGGTTGAACACACGAAATATAGTATTTTAGTCTATTCATGATCGATATTGATGTTGGTCACTCGCCGTACAGGCCCGTGCTAAATACGAGTACGTATCTTATTTATAATTACAGAACTGAAATAACGTTTTTTTTAAGTATTCTCTGACGGTTCCTAAAGACTACAGTACCTGTGTTTATCATTAGAATAATTAATTATTATAATTACTGTAGTCTTTACATTATTATCAAATGCTCTGTATTTTACCCATAATAGTGGATTGATATTTTACTAATTTACAATTTGATGGTCGTAAACTGTAATACGAAAAATTAAGCTAATATCAAAGCAATACAGTACAGTATACTGTAATACGAATTGGTGCAAAATCATCCATCTCCGTACCATGGTATTTCGGTAATAACTGTAATAATTCGCAGCATATAACTATTAAAATAAAATAATTTACAACAATACCATTGCATTGCCAACATTTGCCAAACAGATGACAAGTAACATAAACCATCTCCGGGTATAAACGACAAATTCTCCATCTCTGTATGACGAAGTGGATTGTAGCTGTGCATCTCCTTCCATAATTAATTAATTCTAATTACTACTAAAGTCTTGTTTACTTTAAAATTGTAGTTATTCGTAAACGGCTTACTGTACTGATATGCACTACTGTACTGTACTGTACTGTATTATGCAGGTGTTTGAGATGGTATCGTACTGTACTGTACTGTACAGTGTACTGTACTTTATCTAAAAATCCAGCCAGCCAACGAGCGTCATGTGACGAGTTTTCTTCCAGTACTGTACACTGTACTGTACTGTACTGTACAGTACTGTACAGTAATAAAGTTCTTTTCTCTGAAACAGCTCTCTCTCGTCTCAGTCTACTGTATTAGTACAGTACAGTACTGTACTGTACACTGTACTGTACAGTATCGCTTGTATCTTTTTACTATTAGAAAATTCTCGTAGAGAACATTACCATGCTGTACACTACAGTACACTGAGTACAGTAGCCCATGCCACCTTGTGTACTGTACTGTACAGTACGGTACTGTAAAGTACAGTGTACAGTGTACAGTTACTATTGTCTTTCCACTACGTACTGTGCTGTACACTGAGTGTACAGTGTACACTGTACAGTACTGTCCTAAACGGCTAAACCTACTGTACTGTACAGTACAGTATCTTTATCAATAGCAGTACAGTATCAATGCTACATACCGTACAGTACAGTACTGTAAAAGAAAGAAACAACCATTATTCGCGTATACAGTACAGTACAGTGCACTAGAGACCCTCTACTGTACAGTATAGTGTACAGTACAGTACAGTACAGTATAGTACTGTATACTGTACTGTACCTGTGTCGAGACAGTACAGTACAGTTATTTATTTCTTCTTAAAGAGTGCAGCGTACAGTACAGTACACTAGTACTGTACCTGAATACCAGTGTTCTGTAAAGTACAGTACTGTACAGAGTAGATTTTAGATTACTGTAAAATCATTAGATACGCAACTGTACAGTACATTTTATTTTTTTAAGGTGTTCTGTACTGTACCGTATGACGGACTACTGCACTGTACAGTACTTACTGCACAGTACAGTAACGTGCTAGAAGAAGTAGTAGCTACTGTAGAAACTGTCCAGTACTGTACACTGTACAGTACTGTAAATTATACTGTAAACCATAGAACACGGTATTCTACTGTACAGTGTGTACTGTATTATTGTAGTTAAGTACCGTAAATCGAGCTAGTTGGGTCTTTATTTAAGTACAATAATACTGTACAGTACTGTATAGTATACAGACAGTACTGTACTATATTTACTGTATAATGTACAGTACTGTATATGTTAATAATGTTATATACGTACGAAAGAGGTAGCCCGATTTTCATTTCCATCCGCTTCCAGTAAAAATCCTTGTAGCGGTACTATTTGAGGCAACCGGTGAGACTTTCTTTATAAATCCGCATTTTAATAAATGTATCAAGAGCTAAAAATGTGTTGTATCGTTCTTTGTGAACTATAAAATATGCAGTGTGTAGTATTATTAAGTTTAATGCGGAAGACATCCTCCATGCAATACGAGCACAGTATTATTTCTGCCTCGAATGCTCAATTTCCAGACTACAGTAGGTATTTTTAAAGTTTTGGATACTGTATAGTAGCTGGACTATATAGACTGTAAATAGATAAAGCAGAGACAGAGAATGATTTAATTGATTCGGACTAACGTATTGCAGATAATTTGCAGTTAACTGATCTGAGCTTAATCTAAAGTTTTCAGTTACAGCACCGAACTGTTCACAATAATAAAAAATGTAATAAAATATAAACTATTAAAACTATCGATAGAATCCTAAGTGGTTGCGAAACTTCAGTCTTCAGTATATTCGGTGGAACTGCACTACAGTTTCTGTAGAAAAGGTAATAAAATACTATAATACAGGAAATAACTCTGTACAGAAGTAGAGACTGAAAGAGTTGATTTACTTTCAAGCTAACACTACTGTACAGTACTATCCAGTAGGTTCATAGCCACACATTTATTGTCAATTTGCTATCTTGGACTGGAGCATACTGTACTATATTGTCGATTACGTACAATATACTGTACAGTACGGTATCGTGAAGATGAATTAGTTGCAGTTGTACTGTATGTCTTTAAACAATACTGTACTCTGCTACATTTACTGTTGTGAGTTATTTTGCTTGTACCAAACAATATTTTTCAAAATGATTGAAGCTTTGTGCATAGAGTATTCACACAGTGTACAATCTCATGGCGTAAAAATTTTTCTACTTGATGTCTTATTCCTGTTTAAGTGTTGAAAATATAGAAGCGAAGATGCCAACCCATCCTATGCAGTCTCCGATGCCGGATATTGAGTAAGTTTCTAGAAAGTAATCTCACTGTCACTATATATCATATCATTAATAATCTTTGGGAAATCAAGATATACTGTCAAGTGCATTGCAGTGCTACAAGGACTACTAGGATTGGCTACCGTACGTACAAATGGCACCAATATTTTTACTATAAAGTAGATACTGGAGCATTTCGTAGACTATGGTGATAAGATATGTAATGTAAACAGATTGTTTTAGTCCTTTTAATTATTATCAGGATGTACAGTATAACCCATTTCGCTTTATCATTAGTGAATTGAATTCTTAATTAGGAAAGATAACAACTATCTAATCACACATTACGGTAAATACTTAAATTTGTTACTACAGACAATATTTTTATCCCGAATTTGCGCTAGATCAAAAAAATAATTTTCGTTAATGTGATATTGTATAAGATAGATGTACTAGGAACCTCCTTAGAATCGACCGGACGTATCATAAAAAAGCTGTTGGATATGTTCATAACCTTCCTAATCTTAATTACTAGTTTTTAAAATGTTACAGAAGTGGCTTTCGAAGAAATTCAGCTGTTATGCCAGATTACATTATATACAGAATGAATAAAAAATTACGAACAAGAAGCTTAGTAAGACATACCTCTTTCTAGCTATTAATCTTTATATAATATAGATGAACTCTTCGTTTGAAGTAATTTTATAGACTTAACTGTTTTGTGTTGCAATTTTAAAAATACGTAATTTAAATTGATTGTCCTTAACTAACGGCTATACGGAGAACTTAAATTTAAGTCTATACCTACACCTTCGATGCATATCGATGATATTTGTAGAGTAGTGATAACATGTGGTGGGACGCTTTTGCCGCAGACTTTTTTGAAGATGATGCTACGTTAACTATAATTAAGTTAAGTCCGAATGATGACTCTCGTAACCGCTTGAGTAAGTAATCTTTACGAGTAATAGTTATTCGTTTAAAAATTTATAGCTTGTTACAGTTGTGTAAGCGCAGAAATATAAATTGGGGACATGCACTAAGATTTTTGTAATCAAGATTGTCTAATATTTTGAAACTATGATATTTTAAAACCTTATGGTATTCTTATATTGTACAGTAATACAGTCTAATCTGAGATGCTTCGTAACGGTTTGAATATTTTTATAGTCGTGTACAATCTATAACGTCATGTACTATATTTCGGAATTATTAATAATTATGCGGAGAAACTTCTGGCATCTTTCTGTAATATAGGTAGATGTGTTTTGTCGTATCTTGTCTTATAGAATTTACACTCGCTGTAGCTAATGCAAGTAGTTATGAGATGGCTGTGAGGTTTTCAAAGATGCAAACGATAAAATATTTTTCCATTGTACGTATAGTATGCATCTACAATATGAAATGCTTTAATGGGGAATCATTCCTTTTCATTATTCATATTAATTTACTTTCAGCTTTCGTCCTTAGTGCTTAAATATTTTTATAAAATTTATTCATTCGCTTTCTCGTTACTCATATTGAAGTTTGCCTGGCTCTTTGTAATCATTTGAAACCAGAGGTGTAGGTTTCTCTATTTGCTAATGCTAGAACCTGCGAGTAACTACCAGAGTTGGTACATATGTATGTTATAATTCGGTAGCAGGTGCCGGAGTAGCTCATTAGTTGGTTGAACTATGCTGTAATTTGTTTACTTAAAACAAAAATTGATGTAAGTTTGAACACCTACAAATATGAAAAATTCAGGCGTTAGTATTGTAGATCATGTATAGGAATACTTACGGGTTTATAAACAAGCATCAATGTCTTAAGTTATGAGGTAGATGCATATACAAGTTGTGCTACACGAAATCATCAAGAACTTAATAACATAAGTATTGTTTAATTCAGAGATTAAATCTGTGATTGCAGATTAAGACCCTGTTCTGCAAAAGTAACAGAGTAGATCAGTATGTACGAATATTAATCCGGGAGATGGCATAGCATTTCCAATGTGGGTTGCTTTACATTGGGATGGTATAATCAGAGTTGTTAAGCGGAAGTAATCCTAGCTCTGGAATTATTCTTTCGAGGTATAAATAATTATTCATGATACAGTGATAAGGCTGTTCTAAATGCATGGCACTGTTTGTTGCTTTACGATTGTAAGTCTGTTACTACAAGTTTAGTGAAATATGAAGAGTTCACCTATGGTCATGCAAGTGCTTTGAGGCGATTTATTGTCTCCTCACGCCTCGTGTTACGTACTGATTTTACTTAATGTTATGGAGCACAGTGCCATCGAAATATAGGGCTATCGCTAATTCCCTGACAGAATCTAAACTTGATAAAATTTTACGATATAAGATTTATAGTGATCTATATTTACTGTATACATATAGATCACGCATATGTGTACAGTAGTACATTGTCCTCGTATCATTCCCGGCATAAAGAAATCAAAGGGTTTTCATCACGATTTAAATGGAAATTATTTTATTGTATTGCAATCGTACAGTGTTAGGCAATTATGACGCCGACGAAAGCTTGTGCTGCTTACTGTAATGTTAGAATTTATTGCACTTGAGTTTGACTGGTTTAACAGTAAATATTCCCAATGAGACTTTTGCAGATATTTAATTGTTAACAATAATATGATAGCTAATTTTGCTGTCAAATGCATATATTTATGGATTATTTTGCGATTTAACTGAGTGATTGCATTACAACTTTCTTTCAGCTATTGGACGCACGTTAATTCCTAGGTTTTTTCGAAGCATGTTTGACCGTGGAGTAACGGATTTGTACTTTATTCTCAATCAACCAAGAGATTCTGTTGCAAGAAGTATCATTACTATGGAATGTGATGATGCTGCGATGGTATCTGACCATGGATCGCCATGTCCTTTAAAAGTATATTTGTATTAAATCTTTGGCGTTAATGATTAATGATATAAAATCAAGTATTAATTATCTTGTTATTTCATAGGTATATACAGAAGGTAAACTGACATTAGATTTGACATGTGATGATAGTATGAGAATTCGAAGATGGATGTTTGCTATTAAGAATCATAAAGAATACATGCAAGTTAACGCAAATGAAAATAGATCCTATGGAGTAAATACTACAAATTTGATTGCCTCGTGTTTATTAAGGTTAACCTCATCTGTTCACCTGTATGAAAAGCCTTGTTAACTTTTAGGTTTCTGCACAAGTAAGCTTTTCGGAAGGAATTAATAAAAGTCCCTCTCGCCGTGACTTATTGACTGAAACGATGAAATATCTTCGTGTGCGTAGATTAATAATACTAACGGTACGATTTTTAATTTAAATATTGAATAATTAATTGACTGATTCCCGCTAATAGATGTGTGTAACACTACAACTGATGCAAGAATTAATGTCTAAACAAAAGAGTAGTGCGAATCCTGTAAATCCTCGTGGTAAAATTTCTTAATATTTTATCCGATTCTGTACAATTTAATTTAAGAGTTATGTACTCATATAGATTGGCATTGTTAATACACTATAGAATGTCTGAATTTAACCGTGCTTCAGAAAAGCCAAGTAGCTGGTACCTCCACAGGTTTCACAAAAACAATTTAATGTATAAGTAGTTTAGTAACGTTTCGATGAAAACATAGTAAATTTTGCAGGTATGGCTGTGCCAGTGATTCCGCAGCAATCGATCGTGAAACCACAAGAATTGTCTCATACTTCTATACCTGTGCCTACAATTGACGAGTCATCAGGTTTATCACAAAACAAGCAATCGCAAGCTAAGAAACGTAAACGTAGAGCTTCGACAACCACTGGTAATTCTAATATTTCGTCAACCAAAAAGAAGTCGCCTGACGCACCAAATGTTGTCATGCCATCTCAAGACGTAATGATTGTTGGAGAACCGTCTCTTATGGGCGGTGATTTGGGTGAAGATGACGAACGTATGATTACGCGATTGGTTAATACCCAATATGATGGTTCGAATGGATTGGATGATGAAGAGTATCGTGGAAGTCCAATAGAAACGACTCATATGTCTTCATGGAATAGTGATCGTAAAACTGCACAAGATGATAAAGGGATGGATTAACTTACAATTTTTCGAATTGAAATAAAAAATTTTGTGAATTACAATGAAAGTGATCGTTGATGATGCGGTCAGTACTAGAATAAGATGATAACTTTCAAACAATGAGTTGACCGTAAAATACAGTAGATCAGAAGAAATTCTTTGCGTTCAGTTGACACTATTATTTCGTCTTCTTTTGCTTATTTTCTGTCTGTTACTGTAAATGCCTATGCTACCTATACTGCATTTGTTGTTCTTGTATGTCTTTAATGTGGCGAATTTGTAGAGCCTATAACAAATGCAGTATTTTCAGTTTTTATATATTTGTATACAGAAATACATAAAGGTAGCTCTTGCCAATATTTTTTACATGATTACGAAACTAAATATGCTGTATTTAGGGCTGTAACGAAACTTGCAACAGGATTGAGTCATTACTGTATCAGTACAGTATAGTATCTATCAAATTATCGTATTGCTGCTATTGCTATTTCCATTAAGATAAATGTATTCGTGTACTCGTACTGTCTTATAGTAATTTACTTAAATAGATATTCTAGTACTTGATCACGGCAGAATGCAGTCTTTCATGTGTAACATGTATTTATTATTGTAATAATATCACTTAATAACATTTCGTAACGACTCTTATATTGAGTCACGGTTAAAGTTATTAACTTAAGGCTCTTCTTTAAGCGCTATCAGAAATAATAAGAGTGAGCAACATTTTGTCGAACAACTGTAAACGATCACTGCCTTTATATGCAGGGACGCTGATACCAATTTTAAAGCCCAGAAATGGTAACTTGAAAGACTCCCGTTTCGCTTTTGTTAGTTTAATATTCACGCTATGTTTTGATTCAACTATAGCGATAACTGAAAAGTTTACTAGGACATATTTGTGAATACCTAGGCAGCTAACACTTAGCTCGAGGCTACAATTTAGGCCCATTACATGTATTGTACGCGTATATTTAATAAATGAATAATCACGTTACCAATCAAGTTTATGATATTTCATCCCAAGATTCGTTTCATAAAAACGTAAACGGCTTATCTACCCTCTACATAACATCGAGCTTCATCAAGTTCTTACTGTACGTACTAAGCCGTAATATCATTAGCCTACTACACTTGTACATTACCAGTAAGATGACGAACTGTAGGTTTCATACAAATTGATAAATTGTGTAATCGATGCAAGTCGTTACTGTGCCCAAAAGCGTTTAAGCACTCATACAGTCAGTCAGTAGAAATTTGTCAGCACACATTTTAATCATACAAACGGTGCAAAAGTTTTAGTTCTACTGTAGATATCTTTCAATCTTGAAATAATTAATGCTTATGGGATAGAAATATATAGATAGTGGGGCAAGTGATCAATTGATCACCTTAAACACTAGAAAGGGCCGTAGCCTTCAATAATTACATTAATCATAGTTTTTAATTCATTCCTCCCATTGGCAAAGTATAACATTGCACCGTTACTTTCATTGCTTCTGAATCTTCAAACATAAAAGTATGCTGATACAGCATATAAATATCCTAAGCTGCACTATGCAAAGCCTAATATTAGAAGCCATTTTTCTAAAAGTAAGCGAGTAGTAGTATATCGAATCAGGCTATAGCATCCATATGATGTCATGAATTGATAATTTATCACTTAACCTCTGCTAACCACAGATAGGAGCTAGTTATGGATGACAGTATTTATGAAATGATACTAATTTCATTTTTGTGAAATCCTTTTAATGATTTGATCTACGACTTTGATATTGAAATTCTCATTAGTAAGAACGTAATTTAAGAAACGTAAATTCTTTAAAATTCGTTAATTCACCCTTTCCAAATGAGCATAAATTATAATCGACCAAGAAATGCAGTAAAAGTATGATTTTTAAGTTACGGTACAATTCAAGGTCTTTATTGTAGACATCCAAATTCATTTCAACATTAAATGTACATTAACAGAACAGTGTGTAATCTATTTTTAAAGAGAAAATTGATCGTATCGTACCACGTTTATACGGTGGCTTATTAAACTACTTTGAAATATTAGTTGAAACACTACAGAAAATAATCAGAGTCATCATTAACGATCGTACGATAAATTTCTCTAGTAATGATTGATCGACTAGTAACAGGCGAGGTTGTCAAAATGGTTGTGGTCTCAAAATTGGTGACAGTTCGAGTAACGGTTAAGTCGAATGTTGTTTGACTGGTCTCGGTAATAAATATGGTAGTAGTTGATGCTGTTGTTGTAATACTTGAGGTAAATATTTCAGGAAAGATTGTATCGCCAAATGTATCAAGGTAGTCTGTTGTAGTCTTAGTAGTCGTTATAAGCTTAAGGCTCTGTTCCGTTCTAAATTTAGTCATAGTTTCTACCTCTAGACTTGTACTTCGCGCAGTAACTGGAACAGTAACAAGGGAACGTGATAGGGCTGTTACTGTTGTAGTAGTAGTAACCATAGATGAGCGAGTATATGGAACGTACACCGGTTTTGTAATATATTCTGTTATTGTATAATAGCGAATTTTCTTCTTGTATAATTTTTCCTTCTCATGTTGTCTATAATACAATTCTAAAGCAAGCATCAAAAGCATCGAATTAACTAAAAATCACTCTAATCGTACTGCATATAAAACAATCTCAAGCTGCGATAAAATATCAATTTTTTATATATCATTTTAAGTTCGTTGCGATTATGATCGTCCTGTATGGTGTTAAATAATACCATGCAGACCAATCATCATAATGTACAACATAAGTTGCATGAACCAAATCTATAGCTGTTTCCGCCAATGAGCGATATGATTGAAAGCCACAAATCATGAAGTAACTTGAAAGTATTCCTTATCAATAAATGTTATATCAATACCTTTAGCATTACTGCACTTAGGAACATCGCAGTAGCCCCAAGAATTAAAATCGTGGTAACACCATGGCCCTCCAGGCTTTCTATCAGGATTTCTACAGTAGTTATGCTTATAGGAAAAATAATTTGTTCCTCGTCTTCCATAAGTATTCCAGAACATGCATGGCTTGCCATACTGCGTCCAACTAATTTCGCCGCTATAATCGGAACCCAATGTGGCTCGATTATAGCAATCACGTCGAATGTCTCCGTAAAAATGATAGTCTCTTTTAGCAATAAAGCGATTTTTAAAGTTTTTTTTTCCAAATACAGCGTTACAGCAACTATAATGTATCAACATGATGGCCAGTGATATCTTCGAGAAGTATATTGCGTTCATGATTAATTGAGTTAATGATGAAGTTCGATCCCCCAAAAAATCAAATCAAATTATCATTGAATGGTCCTTATATACCATAAAGAAAAACCAAGTGTCGGCAAGAAGCAGTAGCTTTCTTATTTATTAGGGTCCGAAAGTGTCAGTTATGATTAATATCTTTGTTGGTGTTAACGAAACTATTCTTGCAATAACATATTTACGGTAAACATATTTGCTGTTGTTTTTAATAACAACTGAAGATATCAAAATAAAATTTACTTATTCAACACTGCGAAAGATATAAATAGGCTTCGCCGAAGTCAAAGGTGCTTATTGAGATTGTTAATCAAATACGAACCCCTTTTGTGAATATAGAAGATAAATTGTCTTTCTGATATGATGATAGCGTTTGAGTTAATTACGTATTTGTTATATATCAATAACTATATCTTCGTATGTGAAGCAAATTCATATCATATTCATCCACTATTCAAACAAGAACGCAACATTGATTGGTATCAGAAGAATCAATATAAAAATTTAGGTGATTGCTTCGATCCCACGGACTATGGATATAATTACCAAGGAAAGACAAGTATAACCAAGCATGGAGAGAAGTGTATTTATTGGAATAACCATTTCAGCCATGATAGCTCGAAATATAGTTACAATCACAACTACTGTAGAAATCCTGATCGCAAAATGGGAGGACCATGGTGCTATATTAACTTAAAGTCTTGGGCTTATTGTGACATATCGGTCTGTAAGAATAAAGGTATGTTATCTTGAAAGTTTATGAATTAATTACTAACTCATGTATTGCCCTAATTCGGATGAATTCATATTGTTTAAAAATTCGTTCTTTAATTTGATTCAAGCCCGCTTCATCTTTTATGGCTCCTTTTTGCGATTAGCTCAATAAATACCTATTAGAACACAATCTTTCAAATAGTTGCATAAATATTTTATAGACCATACTGACCAAGTAATATTTTCAAGAATGTTTATATTCTTGGTATTTTGCAATACATTAGGATTCTTTATTTAGAATATCTTAAATTTAAAGATTTCATTGGATTAATTGGTGTTGAAATTGATAATCAGATCATCTAGTGCTATGGTAAATTGTAATAGTAGCTTTGCATAATAACTCCGAAATAAAATCGTCCGACGGTATATCTATAGATTTGGGCAATGATTTTCCAGCATATTATTCTTTGCCTCTAATTTTGATTTTCGATATTCTTTCTCCAGTAATGGAGCTTGAATATACATATACGTATATTCTTTACGTTGTAAATAATGATATAATCCATATTTAACAATAACCAATCTGGTTGTAATTAATATGTTGTATTTACGTACAATACAGGGCGCACTCCTGGTTTAACTAGCTTTAAACAGAAACATGAGAAAGTTAAAACTCTTCAAGATGAAGAACACTTTTACGTAACGGATCTAATAACCATATATCAACCAATCACAAAATATTATACTGATTACTCAACTACCACCACCACGTCAGTTACTACCGTGAGTAGTTTCATGACGTTATCGTCTACATTAAGAAGTTTAATTACAACAACCAGAACCGCAACAGAATATAGGACAGTTTTTAGTCCAACAATAGTAAGACAGACAGCTACTAAAACTGTAGCATTTACGTTGAAAGGCTATAACCCACAAAATAATTTTTACACCGTAACTGAATACTCAACCACTACATCAACACCAACTGTTATTCGTTCAACGACGGTTCGTTCAATTGCAACAAACCGTGAAACAGTAACTGAAACCGATTTTCAAACAAGGTCGTTTACAAGCGTTTACACTTTGACTCGTTACGAACCAACTACAGTCACATCGATTATTTATCGTACTGCAGATAATATTTATTACGAACAATATAATTAGTGTTAACACAGCTTACACTGGCAATTTTTGATAAACTACGACCCACTTAAATACATTTGAATTACGGATTGTCCATGTCAAGGCTATAATTATCACCCTTTCCAATTTATAAAATATTGTACTAATAGATAGCGCACTATATTTTCATAAGTATCATTTTAACTAAATAAAGTTCGATTCCTAACATTTTTTCTCCTTTATTGTTTGTAATGAATAGTTTGGTATAACCAGTCACCCGTGTTCTGACTCAACATAAAGTTAAAGTTTATTACTGTATTCGATTATACTTAGCTAGATATTAGAATCTGCGTCAATGTCATTCCATCAAATAGTAGACCATGGCGTCTAGGGTAGGATTAATAACTTTTATCGCACTTTTGAGCAATTAAAATATAAATCAGTCAAAATACTCGCAGCAGATTATTGAAAAAATTGAATCTTTCTCGACATTCGTTGCTACTCAGAGCACGTGTACTTATACATTATTTCTTTATGAAAGTGAATTGGTACAGTATAACTAATACTATATATGAAAATAAGATGATAGCGTAAAAGACTTATATAATTTACAATATGCATTCAGTCCTTAAGTTAACGACAAAAATGAAGAGTAACAGTAGTGTACTTTACTAATATGTTTACATGCAACTTATTAATCTAGTTAAGCATGAAAGTACTATCCTACTCGCACTACATGTTGAATACACTTCTTATACACGTATACTGTATACTGTACATCGTAGTGTTACGGGTTAGATGGGATTCATTAATTAATTATACGTATTATAATGTAATTAATGAAAGGAGGTAGACCACGAAGAGGAACGCACGTTTGTTAAAAACGTCATGATGGTTTTATTTCAACCGAAGTGAGTTGATATACTCTCCGTGTATTGTAAGGACATATTGGTAAAAAAGACACGTTCTTTTACCCTTAGAAAACGTGTTTTCGTTTAAACACGGCTTTTGGACTATCTAAAAACGCGGTTTGCGTTTAAACGTGCAGAGTAGGAATAATAGTAAACTCAGTTTTCGTTTAACCGTACTGCATTTCCAAAAACGCACAACACTGGTAGAGAGTGTAGAGTGTAGAACCGCCATTAGCAAGTTATACGCGTATCAGAAAACTTCTTACTGTATACTGTACAGTACAGAACAGTATACGATTTTATACTGTATGTTCACTCACTCAAATTTGTACAGTACTGTATAGTTAAAACAGCAACTACTTTCGAGAAGTCCCCGTAACGGTATACATCATTGTAGCTTAACATAGCTCGATGATTGCACTATACAGTACTGTATGAACTAGTACTTAGATAAAGAAGGAGATGTGACGGTATACTGTACGGTCATTGTATGTACATTGAACATTCGTGTGGTTCATAGTATTGGATGTGCTGCTTATGACTTGTTACGCTTTAGATATGAATACCGTATTAAGGTATTAGGGATAGATAGTACAGTATGATAACGTTTGATATACTGTACTGTACAACGTATACATTATATTCACTGGATAAGAGACTAGTTGCGACGGTCGTAAATGTAATAAGAGTAAGGAGCAAGACAGGCCCTCGAATAAAGACTTAACGTAAAACTGTTACAGTCCCTGGTTAAAATGACCAGAGAAATAGTCAGTCGACATATTTTTGGATTTATCGTTGAATTTGGCTGGACATTGTGTTACAGGATAATATTTGTACTGCATCATATAATCTTCACAGAGCGACTTCCGATATTTAGAACATTTACAGTCTGCTAAAACTCACTTAATTGCTTAAATTGCGCTGCTAAAATAAATCAAGACCAAGTGAACTAGTTCTCGTATCTAGCCTAATCAATTTTTTACTAATTATACTATGCGCGTATTTGTGCCTGCCCTAATAGCATTGGACCGAGTCGTACAGCATGCATGCCATGTGAAACTGTTGTAATTTGTAAACTGTAACTAAAAATTTGCTTATCAGAGACTAGCTGAACTTGCACATTATGTCCGAATGATCGATCACACTTCTGACAATGTTAAGCAATTTTATACTCGATGCCGATACACTGCAATTAGACCAACTCACCCCGTTATCTTTCAAACAGATTTAAAGATGATATGTGAACAAATACTATATGAGAAAAATAACACTGTTTCCGTGTTAAAATAGATTATCTCCGCTAAGACGATATAAGTAAGTTCGATAATCGGTACTAACACAATTAGCATCTGTCTGTCAAATCATTAATAAATATATTTTTAATCGTAAATATTGTTCATGATGTAGACCAATGCCAAACCAGATAGATGATCAACAGGATCCTAATTCACGGCATGCCCTCATCTCTCGGGCAACAAAATAGTGATTTAGTGTGAGAAAAGATTGTTTACTTGTTATTCTAAAAGTGTTGTGATATGCAATTAGTAAATTTTGCACATTGGGACTGATAATTAAAAATTAAATAGAGATACTCCTCTATGCTTAGTAAGTAGGAGTACTGTATGGTCTGTACCTTTTTAAAGGTCTAATATTCATATTGGATCCATACCAAACAACTCCATTTGCTTTATCTGATTCGGATTCTATACGAATATTCTGCCTTTGCGATGTTATTTACCCCTAGTTATTGTCGTTATTACCTTTTGTGTAAGTGTAACAAGTAGTGAACTTATCGATGAGAATATAAATACAGTACTGTTGTATAAATCATATTTCTTTTCAACATCAGAATGAAACACATCACCTTATTTTTACTTGGACTTAAAATACTGATAGCCATTATTGAACCTTCCTTAGGCTCTATTTCTTCTTATCCCATTAGTGAGAAAGGAAATGGTACGAAGAAGTCACTGAAGAAGTTACTTATAAGTGCTGATATTAAACGTTTAAGATTTTCCAATTTGCTGCATTACTCTGTGTCGTACGACCCACTGTATGTCTATTCATACATGCTCGTTTAATGACTCTTTATCTAACTCAGTAACGTACCACGATATATCACACGATTGTACGCTTACTGTACTGCACTATATATGTTGCTGTATATCTTGCTGTTAGATGTAACTGACGCAGTCGTTGCGTCTCTACTGTACGTTAGCTCCATGTTAAAGCTGATCTTTGCCAGTTGGGTATATCTGTTTCTTTTATAAAGATCGTTTCTTTATCTCTATAATCCTTGTCCATCTACACGAGTTATTATTACACTCTGCAATAGTATTTTTCATTTATGTAAGAAGATTTAATATAGGATAAGCTGATAGTATCCATTACGCCTGTTTTTAGGGAATATGATTAAGAAAATTATTCCGAAAGATTATACAACTTTACCATATCGTAAAAGCTATCAAGGAGAAAAATATCGTAATTCAATCCATAAAGCACCGGTACCGAGTATCCAATATAACAAATTTTACTTTAAAGATCTCAAGAAATATTTACCGTTAAATATTCGTCCTTCTGTTGATAAGGAGCACATTAGTATAAATGCCAAACAAACGTATAAAAGTAGGTCACTAGTCAGTTACCATACCATCTATCGGACTATCACAAAATATATTCCAGAACCGACTACGGTAATGTACAATATACATCATACCGCTACAATAACTAAGTATTATAGCTACAATCACCAATATGATAATCACGATCAAGGTCATATTTACTTTGATCGATATAATGCATGATTACGTAAGTAGCTTACAATATAAATTAGTAAATCGCGGTATTTGATCAATGGTGGCGTAATATTAAACAATTAATTTAGCTTAATATCAACATCAAGTATTCGTGATACATCGTTTGATTCTAATTGTGTTCAGTATGTCGAATTTTTATAGTTACTTTACATCTTTGATGCTATGGTTATTTCAGATGACACAATAAAGCTTTATAGTGCGCGATTTACAATGAAATGTGATTACAGGCTTACGTAATGTGAATTTTATTATTTTATGTTTTACTTTACTGTTATCTATAAAAATTGTTACTGAATGATTATAAGCTCACCTTTCATTAATCAATAAAACGTAATTGATGATTACTTCATTACATTTAGTTCTCAAATGGAAAAGAATAATCTCGTGAAATTAATATGCCATAAGTTTATGTCTTGAATTAGAGTAATTGTGTGGATTTCGAATTATTAAGATTTTTGATGATTTTTAAATTGGTCTACTGTTCGTAACTCTAATTGCTATTACGAAGAGATTTTAAGAGATCGAAGTTTCTAGGCTTTCATAGGTTTTTTACTAAATCTATTTATTACTCACTAGAAATTCGTAATTGCTTTACATCGCAGTATTCATTAACTTAATAAAGAGTTTAATATACTCAAAAAGCAGCATTACACTAATACTGTACCATAGGAACTTAAACTAATCAATATACAATTATATATCTGTTACCTACAGTACTATTGTAAAAATAAGTCATCATAATCTATATCTATCCCACTACACCCGACCCTGTTACGCACCTTGGCATAGAAAGTGTATATATAAAGTTATACGCAGAAAAGCTAATAATACTGCACAGTATCTTATCTGATATGTGCCATCAGTTATTGTGCATAACATATCTACAAGATAACCAGAATACAGAGCTAAGTTTTAGTTTACACGATATTTACAGATTGTAGCCGTAAATGCTCTGCAACAGGCTATAATTTAGTTAATCAGAAATTGTGATTATATGCACCTGCGACCGCTAGGAATACCGACCGTACTAAAAGAGAAAGAACTGCACACACAACGTCGTTATTATTATTGCACGCGTAAGCTACTACAGTATCATTATATATATACAACAATCGTATAATTAACTCAAGGAATTTACTGTCTGCTTGTCAAGACTATACGAAAGCAACGCTACTAAAATTGAATTAAATGTATTTAAAGCTAAACTAATCACAATGCTCTAAATTTCGAGAAGCAAGTGTACACTATACGAACACTGTACTCTGTGACATGCTAATACATAAAGTAAAATTGGACAAGTAAAGACTATGCGAGTATGTATATGTTAACATATACATATTAGTAAAAATGTAAGTAAGGTACGCGAGTATTACGAGCGATGGGGGTACTAGACATCTTCAGCGGGCGTATTTATCCACGTACACTAGTTGTAAAGATAAATTTAGGTAAGTATATAACTAGTAAGCTTGCTACACTTCGCAGAGAATACGATAAGATGCTGTTGATGACTGAGCACATTATATGCACACAAATCTATCTCATTATAATTATGATACTGTAAGTACGCGTACTACATTATTTAATAGAGTACAGTACAGTATTCCGATCAGTATAACTTATAACTTCAGAAATAAATAAATTAAATTAAATTTCAATCTTGAGTTCTTGAAGTCTTTAAGTTAATTAAAAAGACACAGTACAGCATTACCGTTTACAACACTGTAAATTCTTACGATTTTCGTATCGTATATAATAAATGAAACTGTACTAACGTGAATGTGCAAATATGCAGAAGCGCGGCGTAGTACGTACTTTTCTCTCTTTAATAATTATATATACAGTATAATTATAAATCATTAAGCAAACTGATTTCTGTATCCTACAGCACTGTATCGTATATGGTCTAGAATACTGTGCAGTATAAGAGGATAGCAGTATTTTAATTTCTAAGGATACTCGACTCCATGAAATATAAAATCCAGATACTGTATACAGTGCTGTACTCCCGTGTACTGTTGTGGTGTGGATCATACAGTAGTCTACGTTGGCCCAAAAGGGACAACTTTACAGTTTTCAGTAAAAAAATAGTGAAATCATTTCGATGATTTAAAAAATAGAAGGGAAAAAAAATTTTTTAGTACATACAGTGCAGTATTGTAGTGTATACTGTAGCTTACAAAAAGTAAAACTTTCTTTCCTGCTCAGTATATAACTGGGTATTACTGAAAGGAAGAGACGAGAGCTTATGTACACTTCGTTACGGTACTGAACAGTAACATTGAAGCATGATTGATTTAGATTGCGGGCTACTTAAACAAAAATAAGCCATAGATTGACTCATGCGGACTACTAGAACAAAATGAGGGAGGTCTTACATTTTATACTGTAGATCATAGCCCTAAATGTAGCTAGCGAAGGTCGCATATCATGATGGCATATAGTGGAAGTATAAAAGCACGAGTTGCGTAATAAAAAGGTTTAATCTACGAGCTACTCGCGGAGTAACTAACGTGTAAAATAATATAGATACATAACATCTATACTCCTTATGCGAGTATAAGCCATCAGCATAATTTGTTTATTGTACGTATAAAAAATTCATATTATAAAATTGTAGATTGCATATATATTGTAATATCCATATATATTTTAGCCAAGGACTACTCTCTGCTAGCTGCTAGTCTCGTTACTGGCTTCTTTTAGTCTAAACATGTCACTTCTAGCAGTGTGGAATGGATGATAAACAGTGAATAGAACTAGATTTATTCTATAAGAGTTATTTATATTCATGATGAAAAACTTCAACGTATATATAGTAGATACAGTCACCCTAAAAATAAAGCAGCATATTATCAAACAAAAATCATCCTTCATTAAAATAGAATCAATAAGACCAAAGAAATCATGATTGAATTATCCCAAGAATCTTAGCTTAACAATATCATTTCCATTACTGTGTATTCCAATACTACACGCTCATCATACAATATAAATGTCAGATCATGATATTATACAGTAGATAACTCAACATATATGGTCTACAGCTATGGCCATCCCTGTTCTTGACAACTTATGCATCCAGAAAAGGGTAGGTATCACTAACCAGCTAATAAAATGATCATTAAGAAATATACATAAAATTTTTCAACCTCGATGTTCACATCAGTATGAAACTTTAAGCAATCTTCGAATAAAGTGAATAAGTTAATATCAAGTCTTGTGATGCTGCGATACGTGTATAAACGTAGTGATACCAGTAAAATTATTTTTACAAATAAGGGTTTCATACTAAGCTTTCATTCGATTTTCTTAAGTTGCTAGCAGAGATACTAATAGCTAGGCAGTCTTCAGGTAAGTTCTTGGAAGATTCCTTCATGTTGTGCAAGTTACTTTTATCATTACTACGAAATGAGGACCTAGTTCTTTCGTATTCCGTAGCTTGCCTAGCAGCAATATATTGAGTAGCAGTTACCTTGATATAGAGTAAGTCTGTGATGGCATATACTGAATAATCCGGTATAAAAGTGGAAGAATTTGAGCAATTAGTCGGATTTTTTAGCTCCTGGTCGCACAAATTTATGCTGCTGATTTTATTCGTACTATCTGGCATTTTCTTAATTAAGCATGGAGCACCGAAATACGAAAATGACCCACTTTCAAATCCGAGATTCTCTGCGCCAACGATAACAGATACCTTTCCTTCCACAATCATAATGAAGTAATCAGCCGGTATACCGCTTTCGTACAAAGTTTTTTTGCTAACGGTTGCACCTGCAACATGAAGGTCGAAGACAACCTCTTTCTTTAGCAGACGTTTAAGGATCGTTTCTGATATAAACTCTTCAAAAAATGGATCTACAACTAATGAAGAATTTTACCGCCATGAAGTAATAGATTAAGATATTTGATACTTACAACAGTTTGCAATATAAGCAGCAATCGTATTTAATTAAAGATAACTAATTTCGTCACCAATTAAATCAGTCATCATCACATACCTGAAGAAAGGTAACGAAACACGGCTAAGGTTTGTTGAGGCGATAACGAAACTGAATCAGCATCGCGATACATCGACAAATCAATAATATTCTTTCGATTTGGGACTGGCTTCCGAGACCTGTTGTCGACTATATTTTAAAAACAATACCCTGATTTAATTAATTATCTTAACATAGCTACATGTAGGGTTGAACGAAATCGAAATGAGTAAATGAAAAGTATATAGTGTTACTAAAGAAAGTGTTAATATTCTAAGTTCAAAAAATAATTTGTATTTTATTAACAGTAATAAATATAATTGAAAATAGTATCAACATACTGTAAACGTCGGTCTCATCAACGATTTCGCTTTGTATCAGTTCTTCAATCACGTCTTCCAGAGTAACAACTCCAAGTATATCATATACTGGATCACGATCGTCAACTTGTCGAACCACCTTAATCAGTACCATGTGAGAAATACCTTTCTTAAAATAATCTAACATTCTATCTAATGACGTATCATCGTACACCCAATTTACGGGACGGTTGTGAAATTCGACGATAGCTCGCAAAGGTGATCTATCATCCGGATCAACAAAAGCCAAATCTTTCACGTGTAAAATTGAGACCACGCTACAACAATCTCCTTCATAGACTGGGATTCGACTGTGACCACTTTGGTAGATTCTGTCGATTGTATCGAAGTCTAAAATAGAGTCGATTTCGAGCATAAAAACGTCTTCGTATTTAGTCATGACGTCTACTACAGTTTTCTTCTTAAAATTAAGTACACCTGATATCATTTGCATTTCATCGTTTTCAATGTCATTGTGTTTCTTGGTTATCTCAAGAAACTTCAATAATTTTTCTCGAGTGTAAATACGACCAATTTCAGCTCCAAGAATCCAGTCAAGGATCATACTTAATGGGTAAGATAATGGAGCCGTAACAACCATGAATAATTTAGTCAACCAGATAGTCCTAGCGCCAATTGCTAAACCATATCTGGAACAGATAGATTGTGGTATAATCTCTCCAAGTATGACAATAGAAATTGTTGCACCAATGACAGCTACTATCCCTGACGTGATATCATCTAATAAAATAGTTAATGTATTATTTACTAAGACGTTGCCCAGTAAGATGGTACACAGGAGATAATTTCCATGTCGTCGAATAGGTTCGATTACTTTCGCATATTTCTGTTCAGTTTCGTTGCCAGCCGTAATGACTACTTGTAATTCTGTCGGATCTAGGGCCATTAGTCCTAAATTAAGTCCGCTAAATAATCCTGATAGTAAAAGCAAGGCAATCAGAAATAATATCTTCACAAACAACGGTAAGGGAATGCCAAAAGCTTCTATAGTCAGCCAGGGTTCTCGTCCTTGGTGTACCCAAGTGTCATTTCTAGATTGACGCGTGCAAAGATAAAAAGTAATGCCAATTTTATCAGTTGAGAAGGAAAAGTTTCCAGATATGTTTTTAGTCAAGTCATCTACAATAACATCGGAGGGGGCAATACTACCCACAACATCGCATGAATGTCCGCTTTCTCCATGTGTTACAGAAAACCCAACTTGAGTTGTCGGCGTTATTTGCCTACCAACTATACGGCAATGTATCTTTGTGTAAGCTGGAAAACTTAAAGCGCCGTTATCTTTAAACTTGGCGGTAGCTGTTAAAGGTAAAATAGATAGAATCGTCGTCGAATTTAGGAGTTGGTTATGTGAACGCCTAATTCGATCCTCTTTCAAAGGATGAGTAACATCAACAATGGTGTCATTAACAGAAATTTCGGTTAAACCATTCGTAGTATAATGAAATGAATCTTCCTTAGCTAGAAGTTTATTAGATTTTACACACTCTAGTTGCAAAGTAAAGATTGTGATGAAATAATAAATGATAAATTTGTATTGAATCAATCGTAGAAATTTATACCCTCGATTGAAAGCAAGGGGCGCCATGTATATTGGTCAAACAACGGAATTTGAAACTCAGTAAGTTAGTACGAAAACGTTACCGTACTACAAGAGTAATTACTGCTAGAACTCCCTTAGAAGTCCCTGGTACGTAGAGTACTGTATTGTACAATATACAATACAGCTACCACCAGACCGGATCATGAAGACCCCTCTAGTTGGATGCCGATGAGATACTGTACAGTGTACAGTTCTGCTGTATGCTAGGACTGTACAGTACAGTAGTACTGTACTTTTTTGGCATACAGTACTGTACTGTACAGTACAGTACAGTACGTACTGTACCCTGATTTTAGCATACAGTACTGTACTGTACTGTGTACTGTACTGTACAGTACAGTATAATAAGAGGGGGTAGGCAATGATTCAAACAACTTTTGCTTTTCTCGTATGGTGTACTGTACTGTACAGTACAGTTAGTACAATACAGTACAGTACATTACTGTAAATAGGAAAAAAAATTGAAAAAATGTGACTTGAACCGACGAACAGTACTGTACTGTACAGTACAAATAAATACACTACACTACCGTACTGTACAGTGTACAGTCTGTACTACAGTACAGTATGACGGTTGGTGCGGTTGTTGATTCACGTCCGCTTGTCCACTGACTCCAATGTGTTAGCTTGTTGAAAAGTGCTTTTCATTATACTTAAATATTTGAGTACGTTTCTGACAGTAAGGAGTTTTTCAAAAGTCAAAGCGCGTTGATAACCCTCTAAAAATATTTACCTAATATTTACTGATGGCAGAAGACGAAGGTAGGTAGAAAAGTTGAAACGACAAACTTAAAACGGATACTAATCAGAAGGTTACGTATGAGCATGTAAAACATAACATAATTTACTTTACACTACATCTACATTGTACTGTACATTATTATACTATACAGCTCTACTGTACACTAAAATAGGAACGTGATCCCGGACTGGACCGGACTCCTAACGGTTACGATTTTACTGTAATACTGTACTTGGTAAGGCACTGGCGAAACTCAGTTATTTATACTGTAGTACAGTATGTTGTTTCACTGCTTCACATACATATGTATGTACAGTACTAGTACCATGCAATTACTTTATCCTCATTTTAGTTAGAGACCACTAAAAAGTAAAGGCTGTAACACATACTGTGTATAGTACGTGATGTTTTACTGTACACTGCACTGTACTGTACTGTACTGGACAGGCAGTGTGACATATCGAATTGGCTGTACGTAGTATTAATAAGGTAACTGAGTAGAGTGGTTGGCGGTTAGTTCCTGACTTCTTGTACTGTATTCTGTATTTTTAATGTGGACTGTTCTACTGTACGTTCATATAAGGAATGCGTGCATATGGGGTTTGATCGACTCCAAACTTTGCTTTACTGTACTCTAAGCAAGATCTTTAGTTTGCTATCTGGTTTCATCTCTGGGTGTCGATCATTTATACTTTTTGTCACTATATACCCGCATATTGACTATGGTATACTGTACAGTACGGTAAACGGCACACAAAGGACAGTTATTCCACTATTCAGTAAATCTTTGTTTTCAGTTCACAGAGTGCAATTTATTGGCAATATTTCTGACGACACCACCATTAACATCACTACAAAGGGAAACTCACAAATTTTTGCTCATATTGGCTTCTTAAAGGTCCTGCATAAATACCGAATAGAATTTGATATTCCAGGTATTATCGAAACCGTTTGAAATTACGAAACTATATAATAAACATACGATACACGTAATTTGTTACGTAAGTTCATAAGTTCAAAATAGGACAGTAACAGACGGCGTCCTTTTTAGATGCTATCTTTTAAAAATTCAGAAAATGTAACAGTCATTTTAAGCTACTTTTTACGTCTTTCATTTACTAGACATATTAGGGGAACATGTAGTTATACCTCCGATGCAAAACATTTACATTAAGGTTTCTCATATTGTTTATAATGCCGCTAAGAAATGTTATACAATTGGGGCTGAATTAGCTGTAATCAAGGAAGGTCTATTTAGGGAGCACTTTATTATTTACAAAGGAGAAAAGATTTCAAGATCTGATAACGTTAGCAAGTTATTAGATAATGAATACCTGACTGTTATCATTAAAGCGCAAATAATGGGAAAAGGCAGAGGTACTCCTTCTTTAAAGGATGGAGTACATAAAATTGGTGTTATTGAAAGTGATAATGACTCAGACTCAAGTGACTGGAAAGGCTTCGATTAATTTCCTTCTACTTTACAACGTTACCTAAGTTAAGTGTTACTACGAAAACATCATAATAGTGTAAGGATCTCTGTATTAAAAAGTTTGCTTTATTAGCTTTGAAAAATTGTATATTTAAGACACAATCTTCAAGGTATCGCTCTGTGGTTATCAGTAAAAATCTTAAATCATACGAAATACTTTCGAATAGTTTTCTCCTTATTTAATGATAATAAAGTGTTACTATTTACATTACCAGATTACGAGAAATATTGATTTAAAATGTTCTTAGTGCCGTATTACTACTCGACTGTAGTACACGTACAGCCGATAATTATAATATATATATATAATTAATAAATAATAATTAGTATCATGTTGTTATTGCTCTGTCGTTTGAACTGGCTATTAACCTATGAATTAATAAACAGATAAAAAACTGTGGCCGTTACATTGTACTGTACTTACTGCAGTCTTGATGTTAAAATCATCGAATATTATTGAATCTTTAAATTCGTTACATATCGAATTAAGTTTAAATGCACTAGCACAACTGTCCGTAGCTTATCTAATAAACAAGGTCCAACCAGATGCGTAATTTTCCTTCTCTTATTGATTATACCAATGAAGAATTAACTGTTACATTACGGCTTCACTTTTAGAGTAGACTGTATGCGTCAACTATTTATTGAAGCTAAATTTTGGAATCAAGAAAGTGAATAGACCACTATCCAGTTAGTGATAACATATAAAGTCAAAAGTGCAAGTACCATACATACACACTGTACGGTACAGTACAGTACGCGAAGTATGGCTAGGGCGGGTTTGATTACTAAAAGTAAAGACGCAAGGAATTGCTGGCTAAGATTCCGAAGCATAAATATATCTGAAATATTTGATTAATTACGTCCGTTTCGAAACGCGTAAGCTGAATAAAGAAAGCAGTTAGTATTTTCTAAACAGAGTTAAAGTTGTCCGCTTGTTTTTTTATTTATTAAAAGTAATGAATAAATCTAACAGAAACATTCTATGGGGTTACATCGATTCGTCATCGTAGATATTATTCAACAGCTTTAACAAATCTGTTTGAGTGTATTGAATCCCATCAAATGTAACATTGGAATCCTGATATTCCTATAAAATAGAAATAGTGTTAAGTGTTTTAATCAATTACAGAAAGCTACGAGGAATCACATTGGAGAAAAGTGTTGTGATGGTACCTTCTTGAAATGACATCTCTTCTCCTTCGGAAATGTAGGATGATATCCACGATTGTTAAACATTTCATAAAGTAAAACTGGATTACTACAAAATCGAAAATGAATATTAAAGTATTATTCATTTCCATGATTGAAATTAAAAGATCACGCCTTTGGTGTGGGAATAATTTCTTAGCGATCGATTGCAGCTAACAGTAGATAATATAATTACTGTATATTGGTTAAAAAGAGAAATATTCTTTTGCTTACTTGCGTGACAATGACTGATCCGAGCTATCTTGCCCAATTAACGAAGCACCACGAGATAAATATCTTGAGTAAGTAGATAAAGTTGGATGGTAATGGACCTACAACAAATAATGATCATAAAATAGTAAATATTTCAATAATTCACAAAAAGGTTCAAAGTAGAAACTACTTTCAGCAGGGCTAATTCCCATAAAACTGTAATATTTGCATCGCAAGGCTCCCATTTTTCAACATGAGGGAGAAATAATTTCCAAGTTGTACCATCACTTTCTAATAGCTGTTCGGTTTTAGGATGAATCTTTCCAAAAGAAAGAAATATAAACTTCAAGTATAATAACTGTAATTAAAAAGTGTTCATGGTACCTTCGATGACATCAATATAAGAATTACCTGCAATAGAGTTCCAATTAAAGATTGTAAAGGTATAGCTTCGTTTGGAAACAGTAACAAAGATGTAGTACAAAGTCTTTTAATGTAAGCAAATAATCTTTGAACAGTTACCTATAATAAATAGGTCATATTCCTAAATTAACTATCAGATATTTACAGTTTTAACTTAAAGGACTAAAGATCATAATAACTCCTCTTTTATTTCGCCAACCTGGTTCCGTTTCCTACATAACATCAATTCCAAACACTCGATAAGCAATAAGAAATCATTCTTGTAACCTTTATGGTAAATCCAATAGGACATTTCCCACGTTAAAACAAACATTTGAACATACCAAAGTTATCATTATGATATTTAAATAGGCCGACGAAAAGAATTTCCTCATACGTGCATTACTATAAATTATTAATTATACCATTTAAGGGTAATTTCAAGAGGATATTATACATGCTTCCATAAAAACGACGCGGATCAATGCTTAGAGCTTCTCCTGAGAAAAGTAGATCATTAGCTGTAATTGATTGTAATTTGATATGAAATGAAAGGTTAATAAGTCAAACCTCTCCCAGTTAAAATCTTAAAAGCAGTTAGAACGCAGGCGATTTGTTGATTTTTGTTCAAGGTCTGCTTTCATGTATTATAACTGTTAGTACGAGAGCTTATTCTAGCGTTAGAGTAACAGATCAGAGATAAAGTATTACAATCTTTATTCCTTAACCTGAGTGTCAAGCAGGTGTCCTAGAAGTGTCATTAAATCCTCAAAGTAATCTATACTTATCAAGTGGGCGAATCTGAAAGTAATTAGGTAATGTCATCGAAATATGATTTATTACATCAGAATTCAATCAAAGAGACTTACTTTGCAATGCCTTTTAGCACCGACAACAACAGTTTCAATTTTGAATCGGATTTCAGTACTTGAAAGTATATTGAAAACATGCAACCGAGAATTTCAGTTTCCTGATATAAATGTTTAATTAACAAAGAAAAGTAAGTTTAGCAAGGTGGAAACGGATGTCGAATAATCACATCCAGAGCCAATCATTTTATATTAAGCAATTCAAACTTTTATCTTGAATTACAAAATCTCGTCTTTATAAGGAATAAGATCTATACGGATAAACATACAATCTTAGCTCGTTTTTCTTCATCCTCGCCTCCCTCAACCGCAAATAAGTCTTGCTGCAGTTTTCTAGCATCACTTCGTAGCTGATACAGAAACAAATGAAATGATATTGAATTTAGTATCATAGTCTCATAGAAATTTCGGTATGAAGCCATAAAAACCTTGCGTTCTTTTCTAAAATTTTGCCTTTTTTCATGCTTACGTATAACCCGTTTTTCCTTAACGCTAACTTCCTCAACTGTATACTTATGCAGTCGTTCATGCGAGAAACGCAGAAACAAGAAAGTGTCCAGTACCTAGTTCATCGAATCTAAGTTTTAATTCTAAAATTAATTACCAAGGCTTTGCAAGATAAGCGATCAAATCTACCTTTTCCTTTATGTTAAAATTTTTAGATTTCACCATTTTCGATGTAACTCTAACGCCCTATGTTTTAATGTTTGAAGCTAGAGCAAATAAGATAAATTGTGATGGTATGTTGCACTGTACCAACTGAGTATACAGTGGGTCAATTACATTCGTATGCACCTCTAATGATATTTCTCCTTGCACATCGTTTTTATATAGCGCATTTAAGGCATCGTAACTGCATTTAGAGATCTACATCATATTAAATTACGAATCATTAGTATTTCAACCTTAGCGATACTGATCATGTACACTTTCCGAGATCAGTAAGAAGAATTAAATATTATCGTTCGATCATTTAACTTACATCCAAATCATTAGAGTTTACCATCTGAATAACGATTGTTAAAATATTTGAACGAAAATTAAAATGACTCAACGATAAGAGCAGATTACATAAACAGCGAGCTGCAGTTGTGGCCAGTGTCTGTAAATACCCCATAAGTAATCTCACATTACTAACGATCCAGGTGTTACTATAAACTCTTAAGCAAACTTCTTACCTTTTCCATCGATAAAAATGAGGATTCGATCTGAGATTTTACATCAAAACTTTTTCCTTCTGGCTTATAATCTAATTAATTATTCATGAAAAGTGTTCGTTGGTGAAACGTATACATTACAATCTTAGGATGCTGTATTTTACCTGTTACAAATCCTTCCAGGGTACTAAGAAATTGTTGGTAGTTTTTTAATAATCTAGTTTCATAGAATCTTAGTCTTTTTACATCTTTAGAAATCTTATATGAAACATATTAACAATGATGTCTATTTCACTGTACAGGTAGGTTGCATGTAGAGATATTACATAGTTTCCATAATGTGTTATATTGTAGGATTTTATCTTCGTCATAATACCGTACTACGTACCCGAGTTATCTGCTCCTTTTCAGACGAAACTCGAATACGATAGCTGTAAAAGATTTATGATTCTTAAAAGATCAGTTCATTTAGGAAACGCAAGGTAGTGATATTATCTCAATAAAAAAGGATATCGTGTAGTGCTCAGTACTCATATTCCAATTACTATAGCTACTGTAAAGTGTACAACTAGATTAGTACTTTAATATAATTAATCAGTAATTGGAACCAACATATTGACCTAGGTACAATATCTTTAAATACTTCAGTTGTCGAAACCATCGCTAACTTTCGAATGGTAACAGTAATATCAGTATCGTCTTCCTTGCACATCTTTCTTAACACTTCTAAGGAATCAAGCTAAACGTTAAGATACAAGACGAAGCTAGCTGAAACAAAGTCTCACAATTTTCCATCCCATTCTATACATTATGCTATAAATGTATAGCCTTACGTTTTGTTCAGGGTTCTCTATTATTGCACAGGCGAATTGAGCTATAGTATTTTTTTTCTGAGATAGTTTTTGCTGTCTTCTTACGTACAGCTGAGCAATGCAATCAACGTCTTCTTCCGTATGTTCGTTGGGAGCGTCTATTTCTAGAATTATATCATGCAGTACTTTAAACTTTATCATCATGTTGGACTGCACTTAACAATACATAATTATATACTCGTATCATCGCATCTCAGAGAATCGAAATTAGTTCATATATTTACTGTTTATGCGTAATTTTTAAGTTACATTTAATATTACCTCTGCTTTCCATTTTACCAACGGTACCCTTCTCTCCAGAATCTACAATTTAAAATTAGTATACTGTAGTAAAACATTTAGCCTTGACCGATTAAGGGAATGTAAATCACGTTAAATAAGTTCATCCGAGATGATTGCGATACAGTACTGTGCTGGAATACTATACGACTGATTTGATGTATAGGATCTGCAAAAGCAATTTACTCAGAAAGTAATGCGTATCAAGTTATTAACATTAATACGTACCCGAAAATCTTTCCTTTACGCCCTTTATTACAGCCCTCTGTTGGATAACTTTCCCGTGACGTTTAATTGGTAACAAGTAGCGTACATGACTCTCTTCAACTTCATGCATTTTTCGTTTCCGATAATTTTTAAATTTTGAGGCATTGCTATGATTATAATTGTTCTTTCCTTCTCTGGAGTTATGATCAATTTCTTTACTGCACCCCAACTGATTAGATGCTTCAACGGTGAAATGATTGCTCATTATTATCTTCTTCTACAGTATTGTAGAATACAGTTCAAATTAGTAGTCTTTCTGGAAGATGTTGTTCTTGTTCATACAATAAAACACTGCACGAGATATCAGAATAAACTGTATCGCTTTAGCTGCTGCTCATACTAATGCGGCAGTAGAAATAATATAGTACTATAGTATAATGATTGCGCTGTCTTACGGTACACTGTACAGTACAGTATTATGATCCGAGCTACTCGTGATGCTGCGTGATTTACTTACTGATTGTCAAACGGAACACTACCTATTCTTCGGACTGGAGCTGACCATCGTGGACCAAGAAATCATAAAAATCATACCGCGCGCGATACCAAACAGTACTGTACTGTATACCGTGTACTGTACATTGTACCGTATGTACTGTACATTACGTACAGTACTGTACTGTACAATATACTGTACAGTACTGTAGAAACCTTACGGTACTGCTTGTCTTTTTTTGTACAGTACATGTCAAAATTCGTTTCCCAGGGTGATTCTGTACTGTACAGTACAGTAGTGTACACTGTACAGTACAGTACTGTACAGTAGAGCAATCTTAACAGTACAGTACCGTGATCTTCATTGTCACTTCTGCATGCTGCTGTGGATACTGTAGTAGTGAGGCCGTGTCGAATAAGCTTTTGAAAATTGTGCAGTACAAAAGTAAAATATTAAATTTTAAGTCCTAGAATGGCCGATCAGCCAAAGTGCAAAAAATTCCGCCTTTGTACAGAAGAGGACGAGAGTTCCACTTCAAATGCTTCGTCACAAGATGAGTCAGTTCGCTCACCAAGTTCAAGTGATAGTGAAACAAGCCATGAGATAGATAGCAACGCGGACAGTATTGATTCGGAATTCAACGTCAATGTTGAATTCAGCGGATGTAGTATAAAAGATACTGATAGTTACGCATTACAAAATTTTTTAGATAGCCTATTTTTAGGATGCAACTTTGACACGAACGATTTAGCTATGTTAATCTCATCTCAAGCAAATATTGGTTCTGTAGTTATTTCATCGGGAGATGATGATAATGATGATGAAAATTACAGAGACATATTTGCGTTCATAACTGCTCTTAATATGGCTAACGGAGAGAATGTTATTGATGAAATTCGTGTTTGGTGCTTGAATAATTGTTCCGATCAAGAAGTATCGCTGAAGATGAATAAGATTCTATCCTCCTATAGTGTATACATGCTTTTATGTGAACGCTTCCTAGATATTCCACCGGCTATTGGACTGAATTTATACGATACACTTATGAAGGATTTAAAAACAGAAAATATGAAATTCGACTATTATCTCTTGATACTTAAAACCTTTTCAGCTAATGACCGAGATGCAAAAGGATTTGAGTTTGCTTATCCCGAATGTGAATTATTATTTAATAAAGCCGAGCTAGCGTATCACGTTAAGATGCAAGATATTAGTTCCACAAGCGTTAACGAAATGATTCAGTACTGTTCCGTGGTAATGATTAGTACAAAGGAATTTGAAACTGCGATTAATGATATGAGAGCGCCTTATCGGATCTGAGAAAAAAAATGTTCATCTTGTAAGATCGATATTGGTAATGAACTTTTGATCATTTTTTATTTTTATTACGGGATAGTCTTCGCCGCCTCAGAAATTTTAGCAATGGAATAGTTTTAAGTTATTTCGTTTTATTGCATCATAGTTCTTTAGCACAATTCTGGAATGAATAATCTTCGTATTATACGAAGGACGGAAGTGACTAGCTAACATGTCCATAATAATTCATTACAAGACAGTTTAAGGAGGCTACATACTAAACTGCAGCTAAATGGAAATTATAGGCATGAAGTATGACCTTCAAGTTTTACGTGTTATCTTGGCTCACTCACGATATATTGGTAGCAATTTTGCTTATGATATGAACTTAAATAGTTGTAGAGATTCTTGATGCTGGATTTTACGCGTGTTTACAATCACAATAAGGAAAAAGAATCTCTGATATTTATCAAAGACTACTTAAAGGAAAAGAGGAATATTTACATATCAGGTCTATGCGTTCACATAAAAAAATAGATATACAGCCGTATAGGCTACGCAATGTACTCTGCACTGGACAGTATATTACTCCACATCGCAACGGCTTAGTGAATGTGATATCATGATGCTTAGGTCACTTATGTTTCTTTATGGATCTTTGCAAGACGCGCAATTTACGGAATTCCTTCTCCTGCACATGGTATACTGTTTTGTATACACTCCGTAGCTACTATGCAGTTCGTATGGTATGCTAAATATCGGAAAATGTATACTCCGAACCTTGACAAATCGGACTAAACCTACCGCGTAATAATGTAGATTCCCAAGGACTGGATCAGAATAAGCTAAAAACTACGATCTAGGTAATGACGATGCAAGGCTTTATTGTAGTGGCGTAAAATAAAATTTATATCAGTATGAAAAAACTAATTCTTTTTAATTGTATCAACAAAAATTGAAATACGAACTGTAATGTACATTGAAATGTACAGTATATTGGTGATACAGCTGTAGTGTATACTGAATGAAAACGGATGATAAAATCCTACCTTACATAAAAATTCACCAATATCAAATAGTTTAATCTAGCGATCATAAAACTTTAAAAAAAAAAGGAACTATGCTGATAAGAAATATTGAAAACAACATCATTAGGCTATTTTATTCTATTCTCATACGAGCACATGTAAATACGAAAACTTTTTCTCAAAGAAATTTATAGTAACGCTTGAAGTGACAAACATGAACGTCACAAAACGTAACGATGTCATTAACTTAATTAAATAAATTTCGACTGAATCCAGAATACACCGCGTAGCTCTAGTGATTTACCTACTTAACCATGTAACCCATTATAATCATACGTACAGTATTATTGTGCTTGTATTTGGGCCAATTTAGTAATTTCCACCGTCACATTACACGGTTTATAAGTAAATATCCAAAGCCGTTACAAACATGAAGTAATTGAAGGATAATTGCTGAATTATATAATTATACTAGATTAGAAACGAAAATAGCGTAATTTTCTTGATTAGTATGCATGGACTTTACTTCTAGTTATGATTTAAAAGGACATGAAAATCTGATCATTTCGAAACTATCCGGGTAGCAGATCACTCAAGTCTTCTATTTTAACTTCTTTCTTGGTCGATTCTTTTCTGATACCTTCATAAAATGGTAGAAACGATAGCCGTAAAATTAGAATTTGATTAAAAAGTGTAAACAACCCTTAAATATTAAATATAATCTAGAAAAAGATCAGACTTTGGATCGCTTATACGCTATATCGTTTCATCAAACGCTACAGTTGTTCAGTATCTTAACGTAATAAATTCATCCTATTATTACATATTAGAGACTGTGAGAACTGACTTCCATTGGAACTTCATATGAGTCGTCACTATCATCGTCGATTATAGTCTGTAAGGTAGCTCCATGAATTTTAAAGTCGCGAGATGTACTCCGCTTGAAATATTGCATCAGGTTTACCTAACAAAGTCATATAAATCAACAAGCCAATGAATGTGATGCAAGAAGTTTGCTATCTTAGAAGCACCTTAGTACTCTAGCAGTACTGCAGTAATAGTAACTACATAATCACCGTAAAAAAAATACTTTTAATAATTATTACCGTACTGGTAATTTTACTGTAAGCATCATGCTACCACAATAATTAACTATAAATACAGAATAATCAGTTTATTGATATACAGCATATAATAATAATAATATGCTAATGTTGCACCAAACTGTAGGATATTCCATTTTCGGTGCTTTAGTATAAAATTGAGCAAAAACCTCACTTGCAATTTCGCCTCCAAACGAATGAGATGAGCTTCGTACATTTCAATAGCATAAATTAAATTCGGAATAACACGTGATTCTCGTACTGCCTGCAATGAATATCATTACATCAAATCACGAAAGAAATAGCCTAGATAATATTTTAAATCATGTATGAAAAATTTTCGAACAAAAGCTGTAAGATAGTAAGGCGTATTAAATTGGTTACATTTCCGCGAGTTGTGGAGGAACTATTGCTCTTCCCCTTCCGTTTCTTCCTAATTCGATTATCATCTGTATCTTCAATTATGGCACGATTTGCCTTATTGATATATATTGTAAAGAAAGATTTTTAAGTGATTTATGTACCAATGGAAATAGGTAAATGTACCAAAGTATCCACCTGAAGATATGTAAGCATTGCATAAACCTTAGGTGTTACTTGCAATCCAGACAGTTTTACCTGCAATTTAAGTTAATAAGATGATGAAAATGTTTATGATTAAAAACTATAATATTTTAGTATTTGTTTTACTATTACCAAATTTTCGAATCTTTCAGAGACAGTGACACGTCTTCGCATAAATAACTGCATATACTACGGGATTAAATTAATAATATAGTATTAACATTTCATTGTTGAGTAATCTATCACTAGAACAGCTGAAGATTACTAATCTATCCAGCCGAAACTGAAGAATACTTACATGCTTGACAAGGAAGGTCATACTGGTATACAATCGCGTCACACCCTAAAAGAGAGATCGTGAATTTCGAAATAGAATATATTCTAAATAAACTTTCGATTTTGGTCCTGTACGGGTTTGCAACTCATACATTCGTAACGCAAGCAATACTATTTGGAGATTAAGATGCATTTCAAAGTATCAATTTGCTTACTAAGCGCTACTATTGATGTGAGGGTAAAGTATAAACTGAACACTGAACACGCAGCAATGGATTAACGAAGCCCTTACTTTAACGGAACATTCAGTGCATGTCTTTGTCGGAATAGCTGATTCTATGATTTCCTGCAAACATTGCGCTACCATAGTTAACCTTGAGCATACGGTCGCTTCCATCTCACTATAAGTCCTTGAGAACTCCGCCTCACCTATAAATATTTTAGAAATCGAATTTCAGGTAATGATAGAAAAATTTAAATTTTTACAAACGATGCAAAAATATCACGACATGCTCTACCGATATCATCATCGAAGATCAATGCATTCAGATTGGAAACTAGCCAATCAATGTTTTCCATTGCAGCTTCCAATTGAGATGACAGTATGACCTAAAGTATGAATATTTAGCGATCTTTGCGATTTTCAACAGAAGATACGGACAATGACATGTTCGTAAATTACCAAAACCGTTGGAGCAGCCGTGAATTCCGTAATTATAGCAAAATTATTATGCTTTTTCACCTCTATATCCTTATTCAAATATGGCATAATAATTTTTTGAAAAGAAGGTTAACGGTAGCGAAATAGCTTATTTTGCAACACGCTAATTTCTATAATACTGTATACGCGTATACTATACTTCTTCAACATCGCCGAGTTGTCCGTGAATGTCTATTGATACAGTTAATAGCTGCAAAAGAAATATACGCGTATGTAACTATATGCAATATTGTACCTACAGTATAAGCAAATAATCGGTTTACAGTACAATACATAATGCAAATTATACCAATCCTAGGATATCTTCAATCCGATTACAAATAGTAAATAACTGATCGATGAAGCATTTAACAAGTTGAAGATCATCTAGTTAAGTAATCAGAAATCAAATTTAGTTATCGAAACTATTTAATTATAGGATGACAGTAATAAATGTTAAACAAACGCTCGCCTATAACTTGATGCTTGCAAATTGCTAGAAGCCATTCATAATGCTTCTGAATCTGCTAAATAAAAATTACAGAATTTATTAATAAGCTTAAAGTCATAATCTGACATAAATCTAACTTGTTTGAGCCCTGATTCACCAAGATGCTGCAATAGGGATAGAATGATGGTCATTGCGATGTGTGCCTGCTTAAATTCAGCACCGGCAGTGAGGGCTGAATTTATTAATTTTTGAAAAAAGGCCACCAGGGCGTAAATCATCTCATCTTGATTGTTAATTTGTTCATCCAAGATACCTACGAATCATTAGTAACTTGTGATATGGATATATGATATTAGGGTAGCTCAATGCTGACAGCAAATGCAAGCAGATCCTTGCATAGAATTAAAATATATATATAGACGATTACTAAGATTTCGTAGGAAGGGTTCAATTCGATCCGAAAAGCTCTTAAAAATCGTATTGATCAACGATCCAAAGGTTTCGAGTTGCAAAAGTGATATTGATTTATTCTATGATATTTAATTACAGAAAATTATTATACAAAAAATCACCACATTATAGCGATCGATAAAACTTATTACCATTATGCCATCATCAGTAGTCAAAAATGTCTCATGCACCGTTTCCCCAATGATGGATTTAAAAATAGTTCTGAAGAGTTTTAATAAAAACAGCCATTACCATACCTTATTATTGCCTCACATTGTTAACTCTTTGATAAAATTAAATACTAAGGAAAGCGTACCTCCCGACTGTTTGGCAATATTGAAATATCTCCATATGATCAGCGCTACAACTTCCAACCTAAAGTTCAAGGCCGTCCGTCATTATAATAAACTAGAACTTCATACTAATTATACTATTAACTATCTAAATACGATTACTGCCTTACCGCATACTCACTTCATTTAATCTATCTTGTAAAGCTATAAAAGTAAACTTAACAAAACTAATCGACTGTGATAAAATTCGCTGGCTTTCCTGATAACATGGGGAAACGTTTCTATCATGTACAATAATCTTAATATTAGTCATTAACTAGGTCTATTTGCTAATTAATTATAAATACTTGTTAAGTTCGAGGAATATAATTATAGCAAAGCGAAAATTAGTGAGATATGGAATGAATTTAATTAATCTTAATAAACTTACCCAAATATAATCCGAATTAACGTCGAAACGCAACTAAATGATATCATGGTTTCCAATCTATATTTAGATTTTACTGAACGTACTACAAATATTGAACACATGATTACCCACGATTGTCTATATTTACCCTATTCATGAAGTTTAAAACGTGTCGAAGCATGGCATATAATGATTTGCTAGAATCAGTTAATTGCAGATAGTATTTCTGTATCAATAACAGCGGCATTGTCTCATATAATGTTGTGTGCAACTATGATCACACAAAGTTATACCGTGAGGATTGTTTCCGTTTTCTCGTAAAATCTGAGTTATCCGAGAATATCTCTCAAATAATCGTGTGGCGTCTTCGCAATCGCCTATGCTATAAATTTGACGTGGATTAGATACATATATAAAATCGAATTGGCAACTGTCAATTACGTCTCGTACGGTGGTATTTAAGGTATTTACTAAGTGTTATTAAGCCCTGCCCGTTATGATCGATCACTTACGCAAAATCGTTTTTTCTTAACATAAACTCAATTAAAACCTGCAGTAAGAAAACAAATGGTATAAGAAACTCACTATTATTCATACCGTGAAATACGTAGTAAGATTAGTGTCTTTCAGAAGAAGGCAAATATTACACCTCATAAAGATTGGCAATCAATTTACAAAGAATTAGATTTCTACATCCTGCAGCTGTAACTGGAGAAAAGTCAGCCTCTTTGTCCTAGTAATATTAAGGAAATTAAATTTTAAATGATGCCCATAATTCCTTAATACTAACTTTTAGGATAAACTACCAATTGGAAGTCTTCTATTTCACACTTAATCATCCGAGTAACAACAGAGTTTAGCGAGGATATTAGATTACTTGCTGGTAAGTCATTTACTAAATAAAAGCAATTCAAATAATTTAACAACCCAATATCAAATTTGATTCTAGCCATACCAAATTATGCAATATACGATAGTTCTACAACTAGATTTATTGCCTTCACCTGGATCTTTAAGAAAGTGTAGTTGATACAGATAATATACTAAAGCTGGCTGAGATTGAAACAAATTAATCAGTAAAATTAATACAATCTATAAAAATTAACTACTTCTAAATGAACATTTAGATGAATCAGTCCTTAAATGAAATTCACCAAAGGTTCGACAATAAAGGTTTCGTCGTTGACCGTTATGAGACACGAATGAAGTGCTAAGGGAGGTAACAACCCTGAATCGCTTCGATATACCTTACTAAACTATTAGAGATAATCAATCGATATTGTAACGATTACTTACAATAGATATATTATTAATAACCATATACTAACTTGCTTCATCAGAATATTGTAAACGAGTTTTTGTAGCTCTGTAGCGATAGAAACAGTCTGATAAAAACCCTATCAAAGGAATTATACATTATCAGATATTTAATAATTCCACATAGCCTACTATATATCAAAATTGAGCTCCGATTACTTTATACAATATCTCTTTAACAGACGCCTGATGTGACAAGCAACGCTGCAAATGTCCTATAGAAGTATCCGATTATTGACTGAGTACTTCAATCCAAGGTATTACATCAATTGTGTATTCATTAATTACCATATATCACTTACTTAAAATTTCTGATTTTACCCACTTATGATTGAGCTTGCTACCGGTCTGGCTGTGAATATGTACCTAAATATTATAAAATATATCATACGTTAACTTGCCTATGAAAGCACCGACGTACAGTAGGATATTAAAATGTAACGTACCAAGTTAGATTCCTGACTGTATAAGACAGCTACCTGGCTTGATAGATTAAGGTTGCCCTCGCGCTCCATTTCCTTATGGATCGTTAGGTAAATTTTGAAATTGATAACAGACGTATGAAGAATTATGGATTATATACCTTATACGCTTTCAGTAGAACAGTCATACCAAATGCAGCTATTTTACGAGCTTCAATTGATCTGCAAGAAGATAATTAAGTTAATTTAGCGGCCAATAAAATTACTCAAATTTATTTATCAACAGTACAAGGTCAGAATATAATTCTCTAATTATACGCTATTACGGTTCATTTTTAAACAATTACAACTACAGGACAAAATTTGTTAAAGGCACACGATCGTTACCTAGAAAATACAGCCTTGAACAACATATTTAGTGTATGATCCCTTAGATTGAAGTTCGACACAAATTGAGGCTGACAAAGCAGAAAGAATTGATAATCAGACGATTATTTCCAAGTTTAAATGAAGTTTTAAGGGTTCGAACAATTCCTATCTACCAATAGAGCAAGTAATATTTCTCTGGAGGTTTCGAAAGGTAGCAATGATATATGATTAATTGCTCTCTTAAGCTATCATTGTGTCGTTTAAGGCCATAAAAGAAGTGCCGTTACCATTTCATCCCAATTTAATAGTTGAATCACGAGTTCAATGGTAGATAATGAAATTTTAGTAATTAAAAAGTGTTTGCACTATGTCTAATTCCAAACAAAGTTATGGACTTCTTACTTTGGAAAATATATTTGAAGAAAGCTGATTGATTATCTTTAAGGCGTAAGCGAGCATATCTGTAAAGTGCAAAGTTTGTTTAGTTATCTTCGACGATGAAATAGACAACTTTCAAGATATAACCTACCAATATAATTTGTAACTGTAGCTATTCCTTTGGAAATTATCCGATTTATAATTTGTTCTAATATTTCTTCCCTCATCGCGTCATGAACCTTCAAGATGGATAGAAAATGATAAAAATTTCTACAACTGTCTGTATTATGTTAATACGTATACTGTGTGATCACTATCTTAATAGAGGTGAAAACAATAATGTACCACTACGGTCATTTAAAATGTGTAGAGTTCGCGTGTATAATACTAACCTTAAAGCATTTTAGTATAATAGTAGTTCCTAACCGGGAGACTTGCAATTGTGCTATAGTTTTAAACATTCGAAGTGCACGAAAGGTCATCGCCGTTTGCAAGTTACAGTACAATTAATAAATTTTTATTTACTAAAATACCTGGCTGTATTTTAACTAAAAAACCATCAACAAGAATGAATCCAAGTTCTAACATTCCCTGAGTGACTTGATCCCATCCAAGCGAACTAGAAGAAAGAATAATAATGCATATGATCACTATCTAGCACTGAGAAATATTATTTGTAAATCTGTTATATTAGTGAACATAAATCTCAGAAAATTTTCATCTCCATTGGTCAAAGTCATGGCTATAAATACAACTCTATAAATTTATCATTGATCCGATATCAATTACACAATCCTGCACCTATTTTCGATCACTTTGAGCGTTGCTTTTTCAATCGTCAGAGGTGTACGTGAAGAATCTATGCGTATAGATAGTTACCATTTAATTTTTTTGATGGCTAGTTCAATCAATTGATTATTGTACCTCTTAACCATCGACACGAATTAAAACGTTCGTTATCTTTGTAGGCTTTGATGATACTTGATTTCAAAATATCAAAAATCTAAAATTTAATCAAAATAACTTCAATATTACAATACTATAAAGATCGTAATTTTGCTCTAACAATGAATAAATAATTATAAATGGTCTTCAAAATGACCCTAATTCAAAATTTACCAAATCGTGAAAGCGACTTATACGGGCAACGGCTAGGGATAAAGCTAAACGGAATGACGATGAAGTATTTGAATTTTCCTACATAAAAATAGCAAAGAGTAGCAGTATTTAATTGAAACTTATGACAGAGAAATCGAATCATTCCACAACAAAGTGCTTTCGTATTCAGCCTAAACGATTTTCTTATTTAACCTTAAAATATTTTATAAGCTCTTTTCCAAGATCCTATAAAAACGTAAATAGTATTAGATTATACGAAACTGAAATAAACATATCGTCAATGGGATCATGAACTTATGAACAAACTTGGTCTTGCTTAATTGCGTAGGTCATGTGTAAAATTACAGTCCCTTCTAACGGTTGTAATTGTTTATCAGAAATAGCCACAATTTCGCTAGTAGTAAGTAGGTAAGAGTATTCATGAAAGAGTTTTACCAACGAACAGAAGAGCAATCACTGCAATAATAAAACATATTTTACTTTGATGCTTCCTGTTCTTTTCGGATTTGTAAGTTTAAGCTTGTCATATATGAGATGATACCAGCTAAAATAGTCCTCTTGAAGCCCTACAGTACGATTCATAAAAGTACGTAATATTTTGCTTGCAATCAAATCATCTAGGTAAGCAACCCTAAGGAGCAAAGATATCCTGACCTGATTTGACATTAAAAGCAACTGATATACCAAGGGAGGCAATTCCAAAATATCAATGCTAGGTAACGTCCTAGTAACAACACCAATAGGTAGTTCTTATCGGTAGTCTTACTAATACCGACTAAAGTAAATATCATATTCATAACTAAAAGCCATACTTACAGTATCATCTTCTCCACTACCACACGTAGTTCTTCTTCACTCATATCAATACCTCTGTAAAGGTAAATTGAGGTCAGCGCAGAGCAAGTACATTTCTTAAATCTATAGTCACCTCTTATTGCTCGTATACAGACATAAATTTGGCACACAATTATTTGGAAACATACTTTCGTGAAATATCACTGAGAGTAATTGTAATTTCATCTACAATATATAGGTAGCGTACCGAAACATCGATGCCATAGATACTATGCAGCTGGCATGCCATCTAGGTAAGATAAATTTAAGAGCGTAAGTAAACTAATCAGCACCAATAGGGGGCATCACATGTAAAGTTACGAATAGGCAGTGCTCTTTAAGTGATACGTGCAGTTGTATTTGTATAGTAAATACTTGCATAGTCACAAAATGACTACAAAGCTAGTTTACTATAAATTAGTATTGCCTTAATTTTCTAGGAGTTGTTTAGACATAGTCATATAATAGTATTTTATTCCAACAATTACCTGCTAGAGCATAATTTATTCAATATGTAAGCTTTATATTGAGGTCCACTCATTGCAGTGCAAATATCTGATTTGAATAGCAGGAATATTCGGAAGGGCTCAGAAATTAAAGCAAGACTCTACATCGTAAGTATAATAGCATCTTATCAGATAGATCCGCTACCTTACCTTTTTTATGGAAAACACTTTCCTTCAATGAAATAGCAGATAGCACTTTCGCAAATAATTCTAAAGACCTTGGGTTTAAATTTTAGGTGTAAGAGTAATTCCGAACTTGTACGATTAAAATACGCTAGACATAAATCTGGTGATGCTCCTACTTTTCATTTCTGCAAATACCAGATTCAATGGCTTCCAAGAAGATATTGCATAAATCCAACAACAGTGAACAAGACGCCGAGTTTATCTATAAGATAACATATAATCAATTTATATGATACAGAATCCAGCTTAAATAACCTATAATTACTACTTTATGTAGAGGATTATACTAGAACTTTAATACTGTTCATATTGTACAAATAATAAAGTTCGCATTTTTTGCTTGAAGTAAAATAGATCGTTTACCTGTACCAATAGGTAACTAACCATTCCAGCAAGTACCTAATAGTTACAGCAATACAAGTCTTACTGATAAGTACTGTATATTCGAAACATTACTTACAAAAATCTAAATACGCCACAGGCTCTTATACACTAGCGAAGGACAACCGAGTAAATTGACATTGGCTATATAATTTTAGATGTTAATTGTCTCACCTTCTGTGGCATCTGTCCTTCATTGATCAACGATACACAATGTTTTACTACAAAGTCATGTTTTTGGAATCCTTCATTCTTATCAGTTATTAGAGCTTGCAATTAAATAATATGAATTCATCAAACTAACGGCATCTAAATCAAAACTTAAACGCTTACTATACTACTACATACAGTATGTACGTCGTTACTGTCACCTTTATAGCTAAACTGTTATACGGCAGTTATACAAGTGCAAATAGTAAAATATAACAGCCACCATTTTAAGTTTACTTGTCATATTCATAACGTTCATTTATACAAGTATTCCGCATAGGTAACTATTTGCACTTTTACCATTTGGCAGTTACAGTGATTGATGTCACAACATAATTTTTTCTAATTTTTATACCTGCACATATATCCCATTACAAAATGCCACTCCTCTATCCTTCCTTGTGTGCCGAAGATAATTTACTAAGATTATAAACTTATGATATTGTTCAACTGCCTTTAAACAACATAGTATCCTCTGCAGTCAACACAGTACTGTACATTAAATCACTCTGCTGCTACGCGTATTTGGTAATTACAGTCAAGTACTACAGTAGTATTAAAATATGGTATAAGAAGAACAAATTCATCATGCAGCCGCTTAATTTTTGTAGAGTCAGTTTTATTCAGTAATTAAAATAAAAAATTTTCGCTAAAATAATTATTGAAAAACCAGTATAATGCCATAATGTCAGAATTTATTATATATTGTAGGCGAATGTTACCTTTAAGAATAACTTGCATAAGTTCACATGTCTGTGGATGATGTCCATCAATCAAGTTGCAGAGCTGTAATTGAATCCAGCATAAATTACGTTAAATTATTTAATTTCATACGACTTGTACCTATGTGTACCTCCTGGCTTCTGAAACAGATTACTGTAGGTAACAATTTAAAGCCCATTTACAGATACAGTAAACGAGCGAAAAGGCGTACCCGTAGAATGCAGCTAAGTGGGTAAAAGCAACCAAGGGCCTACAAATACGAGCTGTATATCAAGTGCGACACTCAAGTACTATGAGTACTGTACAGTGCCGTAGTGGCCACTGCAGAAGAAATCTTTTAAATACGTACAGTATAGATGGTTATTTCTAAATGCGAAACTAGAAGACTTACATACGTATAACAATAATATGGATAAAAAGTTAGGGATAGCAACAACCTTATAAACTCTTTAAAACTTTGATGCATTACCTGTTTCTCATTTAAGCAGTTAACGGATTTCAGTACTGCATCTTGGTTTCCTTCAGCAAAACATTTTAGCAAAAAAGAGCTGCTATTCATTCTTAATCTAGTGAATTGCAAATGCTAGTGGACGGTGAGTAACAAATAAATTTTTAAAGTTTATTTATTGTTTAGGAAAGGCAGTACTTCAGAAATCAATGACGTTTAATAAAAGAGTTTAAATTGTCTTCCAAAATAGCGCGGGTGATCAGGCAAAAGCAGGGTCTACAGTAGTTTGTACAGTGAATGCAAGCAACTGATGCTGTACTGTACTGTACTGTACTGTACAGTACACTGACAGCAGTGAATAACTTCGGTGAACCTTTATTACGAAATTCGGGCCACTGAAGCTATCCCTGCTGACTGATACGGTAAAAAGTTACTGAACCTCTGACAGGTCTATCAAATGGTAATACTATCTGTTAAATGAGCACATTATCTTAAACCGTCAGCAAAGCGACGGGAGTTTGCACTAGTACTGTATTAATTAATTAACAAATCAACACTGTTCTCACTGAGATTTCTGAAGGAGATCATACTGTACCGTACGGTATTAAATCAGTAGTAAATAAACAAATAAATTAATTAAAATCAAAATCAAATTTAATCATAATTATAATTATAATTATTATTGGTAATTATAAATTGAAGTGCTATCACCGTACAAATTCGAATCTTAATGGCGTGAAGGCTTTCACTCAAGTCAATGATCTCGTGAAATAATGGTAATGATTAATTAGTTTGACATATTGAATCTACAGTACTGCACTTGACACATAAACAAGTGCTGTAATGTTACTGTACTGTATTGATCGCAAATCATATTACGTGCCACACAATTCAAACTAACTGTAGCAATCGAAATACGAGTACATCTAAAAATCTCGTCAAAAAATGGTCATGATAATTCACACAGGAGGCTTTAACCCTTCTGTGTGAATACATTATTCATGCAGCTGTGCATATTTTACTTTACCGGGTATTTTATTTGATTATACCATATCATATAGCAAATGATTTTAGAATGAATATGTACTTAAAGAAACAAAATCGAATTCGTATTTTAATCTCTAGG